AGCAGTGAACAACATTCTCCAGTGACAAGTAAGAAGACAAAACACAGCATATTTGCTGCTCTGAGAGAGCCTGGTACAAAAAAGTGTATCCTATAGCAGCGACATCTGCATCAACCATTCTTGACCCTGAAAGCACAGCTTCTTATTGGTTTGAAGGAGGTCGCTCAATTTCTGGACAATCAGTCTCACAGGTAAGTTGTATATTCAAAAAAATGGCCTTTTTTTTCTTGTACAGCACAGGTGATGCCTGGAAATTAGATCATCCTGTAATTTGACGGTTGAATTCAACCTGCTTTTGCCACTCTTTTTGCATTTTTGTGCAAATATTTCTCAATTTTGCAAACGGTCTTGCAATTCAACCACTTTGCAATTTGACCATATAGTCTGGCAACAGATTAAGGTCCAATTTAAAGGTATAACCTGTAAAAGCAAATATCTTGGTAATTTAACATTACTTTTATTACAGAATCAGTATTAGCTCTCTCAATAATATGTGAGGTTGAACTTTTCAAGATTAGTCCATCAGCAGTGACATCTGCAAGAAAAAAATTCAAATGTATTTTATATGCTTGTGCACATCAAAGCTTCAAATGTTAAAATCAACATTCATTTCACAAAAGTTCCCTACAAACCAAAGCACTCAAGAACACATTACTAAGAAAATCCTCAAACCTAAAATTTTGCAAGAAATTTTGTCATTTCAAATAAAGAGCTTTAATTGAAATTTGATAATTGATTTGCAGTATTAAGATGTGATGTAAGTTGATTCAAGTGTGTCATCTTTAATTCCTGCTCTCTCAATTAAAACCTGTTCTTTTGTGTTCAGATAATAGCTCACCAAAAATGTTTCCTTTTTCGACTACAAAACCTGAACATATCAAGGAAGCAACTGATTTTGAAGAAGAGGAAATCAGTCAAACAGAAGCTGATTTTGACCCAGGAAACCCTGAATCTGGCAGAAGTGGGTCCCTCCTTTGGCTTGAAAAATTGACACCTGATGAAGAAATAACCTGGCCTCCAGAAATTGATGCATATGAGGACCAAANAAGGAAGCAACTGATTTTGAAGAAGAGGAAATCAGTCAAACAGAAGCTGATTTTGACCCAGGAAACCCTGAATCTGGCAGAAGTGGGTCCCTCCTTTGGCTTGAAAAATTGACACCTGATGAAGAAATAACCTGGCCTCCAGAAATTGATGCATATGAGGACCAAACCATACCCATGAGTACCCAACACAGTAAAATCAATATGCTATTGATTTCTCTCTAAAAAAAAAGTGAATGACATCAAATACTCGCACACAGATGACAGCAAAGATTCCACGACACTAACTTTCACTAGCCAGAAACAATCACTATACACAGCTGGGAATGGAGAATCTGAGGATGATGAGCAGTAAGATGTCATAACTAGTAGTAGAGCATCCGCACTGTGGACGCTCTACTACTAATTACACCCTAATTGAACTTGGGAATTCAAATTTTTATATATTATATTTGAAAAAAGAATTGCTGTATGACATTATAGGCATAACATTGCACTGTTTTTCTATGTTAGTGCCCCAATGTAGCAAAATATACATACATACATACATACATACATAACATACATTTGAAATCATCATTACATACTGAGTGAAATTCTGGAAATTTGGAATTTTTTTGGCTGGAAGAACTCAAAAATTGATTTTTTTATTTTCCTGAATTAAAAAATTTTGTGCAGCTGTATTTGCAATGACATGGGATTTTCAATTTGATCAGTTAAAAATTGAGATCTAAAAAGGAATTTTTCCCATTTTTCACTCAATTTTTTGAAAAAGGTCCGCATTTTTTTATATCTCAGTCAATTTTTGGAATTTTTCAAAGTTGGAAATGGGGAAATGTGCAGAACTTCATTGCACATCCACCCTATAAAAAAGGTAAAGTTTTGTTGAGCAGAAATCATATGGTGAATTTTTATATTGAGAAGGTTGGAAAACAAAAAATTTTTGGACTTTCAAGTTTAACTCATAATATTTTTGGAGCAATTTCAATTTTAAAATTTTTCTTGGATGCACAATGCATTTCTACAAATTTGGAATTTTTTGGCTGGAGGAAGTTCAAATCAAAATAGGAAATGTTTTCTAAAAAGAATGTGCCAAGGGGTGGGATTGAACCGAGTACCTCTGCAACCGTTTCACTGCACCCTAATTTTTTTCCATGCCAAGGAAAACCTGCTAAAAGTTGGTGCCACAGACACATGTTACACCACATCCTTATTAAAGTTCCCCCAGACCCCTATAGGATCCTCAGTTAACACTGCGGACGATAAATTTTTTATGCGCTGAACAGGACGTCGTACAACGTTTGGGCGAACGATGCCTTTCCTGTGATATAATGGGCAAGGAAAACAATTGTCTGTCTGTTTTTATTTTATTTTGTATTTGCAATGCACAGTATTGTGCATCGAATTCCTCAATTTCTCTTTCTTTGGCAAAAACTTTAATTTTCCCCGACTTTACGTCGAGTTTAGCCAAAAAGTATCAAATTCATAACGTTGACGTGCGATGCATATATGCAGCAAAAAGCTTTTGAATGCAGTAAAATCTCATAGCTACAAATACCATTGCAACAAATTTTTACAATTACAAAGTGTTCCACCAGCCCTAGCAGAAAGCCCATACAGTGCATGTTAAAACAATATTTCTATAACAAACTTCCTGATATTTCATTACGTTAAAACTTCATTGAGGAATGTTTAATAGATTCTCCGCATAGAAATTTCTTGATTAAAAGGCAGGCACAGTTTGAAATTTTGAAACCCAAAGGTGTTGGGTGGCATTTTTCTGCATTCCTGTCATAGGATTAGCATTGGGGCTTTATCAGGAGAATGACTTTCTTTTTGTAGGGTTTTTCCCAGCTTTTACTATACTCAGCCGAAGCTGCTTTTGGTTGACCTTTGGTCAAACCAAAATACAGGAGCCTGCAAAAGTCCCTGCACTGCCAAACAATGCAAAAGACCCCGCCTCTGCCCAAGGGTTAATTGTAGCATGGAATGAAGCTTTAATAATATATCAATGTCAAGCATGCTTCCAGGTGATTCCACACATCAGAGTGAAGAAATTGTGAAACCTTGATGGAATACATGATTGAAGCTAAAATTTCTTTCAGAAGATCACCCAGTTTTTCAAACAATAATAAAAAATCGGAGACTGCCAAAAAAGCAAGATCTGATTGATTATAGGCATGTCTGACGTGAAAATGGTTTCCAGTAATTAATTTGGAAAATCTCATTATAACGCATTTTTTAGTAGACCAAACTTTTCTGAAGTTCCCAAAAAGTTTGCTGTAAAAGGGTTCCACTACTGTATATTTTTATGTTATTCCACATTCGACAATGGAAACTTCAGTCATATCCCCCAAAGAATTCATTTGATGCGTGATTATAGTGTCCAGAACCTGAAGGAGACTTTGTCAGTCCCTACAATTGTTCGGTTTACTTCCAATGCACAAATGGACTCCCCTGGGAAGTGGTCTGCCCTGATGGTCTCTGGTTCGATACGAACCTGGGCAGGTGCAACTGGGCAGCCCAAGTGGATTGTCAAGCTCATCCCACCTCGTCCTTGGCTCTTCATCGTCCCCGAGGTTTGTCAACCGCAGATTTCTTAAGGAAAATTGCATTATTATGGTGTCTCAATTATTGGTTAATACTTGGGCTTCATGATACAATCCAGAGGAGAGAAGTCAAATATCCAAGGTGATTGAGTTATTTAACCCTTGGAAAGCAGCAGCCTCCTTTCCATCCCAGGGCAAAGTTGGACTTTTTCCCAATATGGGCCTGCATTATATTTTTGCACAAGGTTATGCAACCCCTGCCAGGTGGGAGAGGACAAAGTCAGATTTTATCTGGGGGTAAAGAAATGCTGGGAAAGTCCTGAGTCAGACTTTTTCTGTATTGACCTCTAACTTGGGCTCCTGGCTTTCAAGCTTAAATTTAATCTTTGAATGGGGAAACAACACAAGGCCAGGGGAAAAAAGGGAGCCTTGAATTTTTCATTTTTTCATTTTCAAGTGAAATTTTTCTGTGGAAATTTTTTTAAAAATGCCAGAATTTTTCCCAACTTTGTTCTGCACACTGTTGGGGTTTTTTAAATTCCACTGGAGTACAACCAAAATATGCAAAAAAAAGTCCAACTTTGCCGCAGAAGGGTTAAAAATGTTCAAATATTTAATCTGTAATTTGAAACTGTTGAAATATATTTAATATGCATAAGTGGGTCTCGCATCAAAAACCTAATTTATTTCAATGTGAGATTTTTTAAAAGTAAAAATTCATTGTGAAAAACACAAAATCCCTTCAGCTATAATTTAAAAAATACTGATCAGTCCCAGACAGTCACAAAACATAATTAACACATCTTTAAAACCTGTGTACAGTATTTACAGTCTCTCTCTATAGAAGTCTAAAAAATAATTTCAAAAATTTTCTTTTTATGAAGAATTTTTTATGGTCCCAAATGATTCTCTCCTCATGTTATAGGAGATCTTCACAAAAATTAACTATAAAACTATTTTTTTAGTCCTTTTAATTTATTTGTAGAAAGAGTCCGCCTGTATTAAGATATTAGTGTGTACATTGAGGGTTTTGAAGGTACAGTATTTGTATGAAATTTAACTCATATTCAAATTTTTTCATGCAGTCAAATTTCATGCATTGATATAATTTCCGGGTTAGAATAGATACAACTTAATTGCTCTAACATCTATCATTCATTTCAACATTCGAAATTTGGAAATTAAAACTTTCTTCAAATGTGTGCATCTTTTATTGCTAGAAAATTTTGATTGGCAGAAAAACGTGTAACGCGATTAATTCTTTAAATTGTACTGTGTATGGTTCTCTTTATTCGAATAATCTATTATAGTGGGCTCGGGTCCCCATTGATGATTTACTTTGGCTGATGCAACAAAAATTGACTTCTTGAACATTTTTCGCATCTAGATTATTCATCAATTACAATGGGTTTCCGTTGATGCATATTTTTTTACATGTGATACATCGTTCACAACTTGGTTTTTGTTCCAAATACTTCAGTAAGTTATGAAAATGTAATTATGAATATGTTCAGGGAACCGGGAGGAAAAATAAGAGAGAATCGCGGCCTGAAGGGCAAATATTATAGTTTGACGCTTTGGAGAGGAAATGAAAAAAGTTAAGGTATATAATCTAAATGTATGGTTTATTATTTCCATTTAGAAAAATTCTCCTCTCCTATTCAAAAAAGCAAAATGATTTAGAAAAAATATGCAGGTAGTACCTTGCAATTTGACCCTAATCTGTTGCCTAACTAGGGTCAAATTGCAAATTGGTCAAATTGCAAGACACTCAATCAAATTCAAAATATAAGTACAAAAGCGTAAGAAAATGAAAAAAGTAGGTTGAATGGCAAGGGACAAATTGCAAGTCAACCTCTGTGCAAATTTGACTTGTCAAATTGTAGGATGGTCAAATTGTTGGAGGTCAAATGGAAGGTGTTACCTGAAGTCTCCTTGTAACAATCATTGTTTTCAGTCTAATAATCTAATGTGATTCTAGAAAAAATAAAGGATGAATCATACTGATTTTTGTTGGAAGGGTTTAAAGTTTAAAGTTTCCCTTCTCAGAGGTAATAAAATTTACTCTGGGCATGTTTATTGGACAAAGATTTATTCATTTATTATGCTAAAATATTTTCTTGTAAATTTAATCATGGATTTTTATTGCTCCGCAAACTTTTAGTAATATATCCGGGTCTGATTGTGCGTTAATCGGCATGTACGAAATATTTGCTGAATGGATTTAAAAAAATCCCAATTGGCAATATGTTATTTTTCTTCAAATTTCCATTCTTTTTTGCAGATTGATGTTTCAGTTGCTTTGAAATTTTTCAGTGTCCAGGATCGGGTCTGTTTCCGGACCCTTACGATTGTCATTCCTACATAAACTGCGTGTTTGACAACGCTTGGCTTCTGGAATGCCCCTCGGATTACCTTTTTGATCCGATTAGTTTGACCTGTAAACCTCCAGGACAGGTCACTTGTACGGAAATCAGCGGTGGTGAGAAATTAAAACGAATTTCTATTGATTTCAAACATTATCATTAGTTGAGTGTTTTCAATTTTTCTGGATTATCACTGGCCTTGAATGGCGGATTTAATCGGCACAGGTCGACTTTGGCACAATACCACATATTCAACCATTTGTGAATTTTAAATGTAACAACTTTATTTCAGTTATTTGGTCAACGTCTACTTTATTTAATTGTACTGTATGACTTCAGATTCATTCAGAAGCTAAGGTTTTTGAACAAGAGTTCTGACATATACAGGTGGATCGACTCATCTCTGTAAAACAAAATTCAAGAGACCAGAAACATGGATTTGAGAGATTATCTTGCTGTAGATAGCCCCTATACAATCCTATGGGAAAAAGAAAAAAACACGTTGTTATACTAAGAAAATTGCTGTAGACAATATTGTTCTGAAAAGAGTTCACCTGTATGACTGCTCCGTTTTGTTAGGTAAATGCAGAACCAGCAAAAGAACAGAAGACAATGCTGCAGTTCTATAGTGGAATGAAATTGAAACACAGAAAATAAGGGGGTTTGCAGCTGGGAACATGTAAACAAGGAGTCACCTTGGATACAAAAATCTTTCAACAAATCACAGACCATCTTTTGAAAAATCACAGGAACATCAATGCAAGGGATCACTATGAATACATGTTCCTAGTTTTTCCAGATGATTTTCTAAATGATTGAGCATCAAAGAAATGATTCACAAAAGAAACCCTGATAACACAGCACAAATAATCAAATTAATTTCTACCAAAATTCAAACAAAGCACCAATAAAAGGATACACAGAAAAAAAAGGGTGATCCCTTCAAATTGAAGATTGGTAGAATTTTTAAAAATAGAAGTGAAAAAAAATTCGAGAGGAGGAAAAATCTTCGCTGAATTTCCCTCACAGCATTCTCTCCAGAACAGTCTTCATTTTTAATATCTTTTACCATTTTATTCCTTTCATTTCATGTATTTTTGGCTTTTTCAATCAGAACCCACGGTGAGACCGACAGAACCGACATTTACCGTGCAGCCTGGATATGTGTGCGAGGAGGATGGATTGTTTCCGTACGAACCGAGTTGCCATTATTATTATCAGTGTGCAAATACGATCCCGTATTTGAGACCGTGTTCTGCAAACCTCATTTTCGACCCGAAGAAGAAGCGTTGCGTGACAGTCGCCGAGGCTGACTTGGAATCGTTGACTTGCGAGGTGTGCTTTTTTGCGCAATATATATTCTTTGCAACAACGAAAATCTTGTTTGACATGAGTATATATGCTCAACTTAAATTTAGAATAAATTTTCATCAGGGAAGCACCTGTGAACGTCTGCCAGGATATTTTATAATTCTGATAAAATTTACGGGGACTTGAAGGGTCGCATTCTTAGTTCAAAACGGTGCGATCTCTTTTTGCAAACCGCGAAAAATCAACAACGAGTTCACGACACTTCATGCAGTAGCTGTTCGTACGAACAGAAATTCACTACGCGCAACAAAAAAACATACTTTCGACCTCAAGAAAATGTATTCACGTTTTATTTCCAGCTGAACCCGACGCTTGACAGGATATCGTCAAGACTGCTGATTGCGCTGAAAAAGAGCTTCGTCAGAGGTGTCAGAATTCGGCCGGAAATTCGCAAGCCATCTTCCGAAACATCACGAATTGCAGCGAATCACGCAGGTCCTCAAACGCCGAAAAGGAATCATTGAGAATATGTGTTGATTACTGATGCAAGAATTATCATTTCCAAACGAAACATAAAATTTGTGGTTCGCAGCAGTGTACGGAATAAAAACCGGAAACGGCATTGATTTCTCTCATTTGCTGTTTTTTCTCGCATCATATATCAGGCTTCGGGATTATTTTCGCTTTTAATGCCTGCGCTAAATAAGAAACGAGGATATTCAGAAAAATTCGAATAAAAAAAATGCTTCAAATTTTCACTTTCGGCCGTTATTCAAATTAATTTCAAATCACAAGTAATAAATACATTTTTGAAGTAGCTACCACAGGAAGAGAATTCCCGAAAAAATGTCCATTATGATTCAATAATTTATCTCGCGATAGGTGGAGAATAAAATGAGAAAATTAAATAAAAAAGGCTTGTTCAAATATTTGTTGATTGCAACTCCGCCAAAATCATTTGAAAACCCGTGAAAAAATAAGAAAGCTCAGAAAAGAAACGTGGTGCTTAAAAATTGTTGAAATGAGTACTATTACGTCCTTCAAAATGTCAAAATGATTTCCATGGGAAGTCATCCTTCACGTGACTCGAGAGTTGAGACCGAATTGTATATTTTGGGGGGAAAACCCGGAAATTTGAACTGCGCAGTTTATTTTTAGACTTTTTTGTAATGCGTCACAATTACTTCCATTGTAGAAATTTCAGCTAAATTAAACTACGTGGTGACAGAAAAATGTCGATCCCCGCCTATCGACGTATCCAGCGATTGCACCACATCCAATCTCAGTCGAATAATATCCGACCGATAGAAAAACCCTCCCTGTTTCCGCGGTTACCGGAAAATGTGATGCATCATCTTTTCCCGAAATCAAAAACGTTCGATCAAGCATCGTTCATCCTATCATGCATCCTGTAAAAATATGTACATTTCAAGAAAACACCGCTGCTCTGATGGAGATAATCTTTATAAGCCTCATCCACACCTGCTGAACTAACAATCATGAAGGATCCCGACCCGAATTTAGACCCTTTATCAGTCCCGAGCGAATTCGATCCATGGTGTAATATATGAGACGTCTTTTCCATTTTTCTCAGGATAAACAGGATCACAAAAATGCACACCAGATAGATACTCTTTTGTCGTAGTATTTCCAGGTGTTGATCAGACACCTGATCAAGTTGAATTTGAAAATCCAATAATTCTTTGGAGAATCGAAAACAACTTGAGGAAACAAATTGTATAGAAATTCTAGTACACTAAAATACTATGTTATCCTCCAAAAATAATATATCCCACATCACGATTGCTGAATGCCATCATTAGAAATGAGAAATCTGTTTAGAAACAGCTCTTGAATTGCTGCCTACCGGATACAGCTACAGTATTATGTGAGCCTTATTTATTCTCTGTCCAATTCCATTACCGTACCTGGTTTTCAAATCCCTAAACAATAAAAATAATTCAACATATTATCTAATAAATTTTCGTGGAATCTTATAAAATACGTAACAATAACCGTCGATCAATCAAATGGTAAAAGAATCAATGCAAGAGTATAAAATTATCATGAGAAAAAACAGGAACTTTTTGAAAACCAAAGGACTTATGGAAAGGTATGGACAAGCTAATTTTCAGTAGGGCAGACATATGAGTGATGAGGGTTTCTGAACCTAAATCTATAATAATGGTCGTTCAATTGTGAAATATATATAATGAAAATATTTCTGAATTTCAAAAGTGATATCCTCTTTCTGCGGTAAATTAAGATTTACATATCCTTCAAAATGTTCAAACTAGAAGCTACATTTGGAATTTTCTTAATTTGGGTGTTTATCCAAGATAAGCGCAAAGACTTCTACAGAATATTTTGGAGATATCTTCGAAAATCATACGAACAAGTAATTTTTTTTTTTTGGGTGATTCGATATGTTACGTAAGTGCCGTTTTTTTTAAGTATAAAACCGCTTCTGCTGACCATTACGAGCACTATTAATGTTTATCATCGAGAAAATGGCGAATTATTTCGCCATGGAATGAAGCATTGAAAAGTATAATATATACTCCAAAATTGTTGTTAAATTCTTGTAGATACCCTGTGCAGCATGAATGCATGGCGTGAATGCATCTTGAGTTCACAACTCAAGTGCTTAGCTGTCAAATTTCCTATCTCTCCGAAATGTCACGTAATGATTTCCATGGGAACCACCCAATAAGCTCTTCCTCGAGATCCATCTTTCAATATACTGTTTATCCGAGTAAAAATTTCACTAAAATCAAGTCACGAAGCTGCAGTCCTCAGAAGGGCGCGGCTAGGCAAACGAGACGGTTTGTTTAATTTTTAAAATTTAGGGTCCTGCAAAATCGCGCGTTAAAATGTGCGTCCGAAGTCTGATCTAAGTTTGCGGACTGAAGTGAATTTCTTTACATTTCAGGTCACTCTGAAATCAACTCTGTAAAGAACTGAAGAGCCTAAAAAATGGCGATGAAAATTCTTGCCGCGGTGGTCGTTTTTGGTGAGCAATGGGATATTTTCTAAATCAGGTCTAACTTAATTTGTATAATGCACAGATGTCGCCAAAATGACCCAGATTAAGTCATGAAGGTGTAAGTTAGTACTGAAGTGCAATTTTTGGGGCCAAGGGCCAGATAGCAAGGGTAAAGAGTCCTTGCAGGCCACAATAGACTAACGAAGAGTTTCAAATTTAATTCAATGTCATGGATTGAATCACACCCATGGCTTTGTGAGATTTTTGAAGGGCAAGGAGCATCATTTTTAATTTATAAATTCATGAACACACAATTTCTCTGGGAAATTTCATTATTTTCCAATTGTATCTACATATAGAAGACTCTTATTGTCTCTACAAAAAATTCAATGGACCAGAAGAAAATCCGTTGTAAAGAGAATTTCATTGCAGACAACCCCTATAACATGGTGAGAGAAACCCCCAAAGAACAAAAAAATAAAATTTGTTTTACAGAGAGTCATTGTATGCAAGATTGTTGTCCATCAAGAGCAGTGTTCTACAAGCTGTGGTCTGCAGACCAGCCCCAGTCCACTGAAGTTTTTTGCTGGTCCTCAGGAAATTGTCTTCAGTAGAATTATTGTATCAAAAGTAGCAATGAAGAGTGCAGTGTTTATGAGAAAATTTGGAAATATAGAAGTAGTTGAAATTATCTGAAGAAAAATCTAATTTGGCTTTTATTCCCCTAGTAACACTTCAGACAAATTTTCACCTGCTGAAATAAATTATTTTAATTCCTAATTCTGAAAAACCTTCCTTAAAGCCCACCTTCATAATTGATAGAGGACCACTATAGCTGCTTCATTGGTCCTAAACTTGATAAAAAAAATGTTTTATACCTGCCATCAAGTCTTTTAACCAAAAATTTTTTGAGTCTGCAAAAACTGTATGAAACATTGCCAGTCTGCAGATTTTTTTGTGGAAATTTGCCAGTCAGTGGGGCCAAAAAGGTTTGGTAACACGGGTCAAGAAAGTGCAAAATGTAAAAGAAATATTTTGACAAAGCATATATGTTTTCAGGATCAAAGTAATGTACAGTACAGTACTGTAGTTTTTCAAATAAAAATATTTCACTCATATAAACCATTTCATTTCTAAAATTTCCATCACAGCCCTGGCCATGTCAGGGACACTGGCCAAGCCTTCCGGGATGGAAGTGTTTGTCTGTCCACAGCCATACGGGAACTTTCCTCACGGCACATACTGCAATCTTTACTATCAATGCAGAAGCGGAGAGGCGTACCTCTTCGAATGTTCCTACGACTGGTTGTTCAGCAAAAGATTGGCTCTTTGCGACTACCCAGAAAACGTGGACTGCGGTGACCTCATCCACCCTTCGACCACAGCAGGACGTTTGTATAGATTCTCCATTTTATGACGGTTCTTTCCTTTCTACACGAAGTAATGCTGATTCCGAAATATGGCAGTTGGTGTCTCACGGCAGCTGGCAGATCGTCACGTGACGAATAACTTTTCTCTTTGCATAGCATGGCGAAGCTTTCGAATAGTACAATGCATGATTTCATTTTGCTGAAAGAATGAAGTTAAAAAAGGCCTCTCGAATATTGCGGATACAGTATCTTATAACAGCATGAGTCTCATGAACTACAAAAGGTAGGAGGCAGGAAAAAGTGCTCGAACAAAAATCGATTTCTACGCCTACCTTACGAACGATCAATTTTCAATTGAAGGGTTTGCATGGGACAGTCAATCATTTGGCGAATAATCCCTCACAAGGGCTAAAAGACTGATATTCGTCATCGCCGACAGACGAAGCTGTGTAATTCATAAACAGGTTTATTTCTATTTTTAATCAGACATCACTTAAATAGACCTAGAAAATTGATCCACAGGAAACATTAGGAACAAATTTAGAAAAGTGAATCGTTGCCCAACAAAATTAATTTACTGATTAGTTGACTTTTCTCAATATTCTTGGACGGACTTCAGATTTCAATTTTTCAAACACGAAAGAATGAATAATGAAGCTCTGATAGGGATTATTGCAATAAAATTAAGAAGTACTGTTAACACGAAACTTGTTACACTGATACTTCGTCACAACTGTTAATAAATCTTGTAGGACTGTGGGAAACAGAGGAGTTGCCCTCAAATGGGAACTCGAGAAATTTGAACACATACTTTCTGAGCAGTAACAGCATACCATTACAGAACATTTGGTAGTTAAAGTTGCACCTGGATACCATACTTCGAGAAGGGATGGGGCTGATTCAACATGAAACTAACATTTTTAAGGACACTGATGATCTTTTCAATGTCACCCCACAGCGGATTCAACCACCTCAACCACAACACGAAGGACGACCACAGAGGAACACATTAGCACGGAAAGAACAACCGAGGGAACCAGTACTACCAGTTCAACATCCACCACCACTAGACCAACAACGACAGAAACACCAACCACACCCGGAGAATTTCACTGCGCAGGAAACGATGGGTTGTTTCCGAATCCCGAGGATTGCGGAAGCTACTATGCGTGCGTTGCTGGAGAAGCTTTCCTGCAGGTACACAACACGAAATGCCATTTTTGATTGAGAATACCGTATATATACCTTGGAAACATTGCAGCAATGCCCTGATGGACTTTGGTTCAATCCGGAATCCAGCGCTTGCGATTTTCCCGGAGATTTCTGCACCGAAAACGTAAGATTCGATGAAAATTACCTTTCAGATTAATTTAGATTCTTATTTCACTCTACAGAAAGCTAAGGTGACTTTGAAACGAAAGCCGAAGGTCTCGTATCAAATACTGTTTCCTCGTCTTGGTCATTCCAATGGACTTCTAAAGCATCGTCACGTTCGGAATTAAAAGAAAGCGTTTTTACTTATTTTGATGTATTGGGGAAATCACAGCGACACGCATGAAACAGTTACTTCACAAATTTCACTATTTCGGAATAAATCCTGATCGTTCTGGGAGAAATTCCACAAATGCTCTCGTCCAATCCTTGACCTCGTACACCCGAAGCAAGATCCCGAACACTGAAAAATTGATCCGGAAAGTTATGAACTGTATACACTAATAAGCCAAAAAAAAATTTAATTCTATCTACGGTACATCAGTTAAGTCGTTGAAGTGATAAGCTACGAATCTCATCCGAGTTACGTGATCACATTTTAAAAAGGAGGCTCAGCGGAAAATCCAACAAGGTAAAACGGTTAAAATTTTACCTTGATTCAACGCCAATATTTGATTGTAGGTACCGGTTTCTGCCTTTTTCATATACTCCAAGATCGGCAAACGTCGACATTGCAGTCCCTTCAATTTTGCTAACGACGCTGTTTTTCCCTGAACAAATGTACCATTACATGCTTCAGACTTGAACTAATGTCCCGTCATTTTGCGCAAGAGCTTCCGTTTCAAAGACAATTTTAAAACGTATTCTCATGAGGAACTTTAACAGGAAGCATTCGATTATTCTGAAAATCACGTCGCTCGCTCTTATCAGTGATTCAGAAAAATGAACTTACCTGCTGCCGCGTTTCGTCAACTAGGCCACCAAGAACGTAGATGTGTCCGTTCTCCACATTCTCCAAAGGTAAATCCGCGTCAGGGCTCAACATAATAATTTTTTCTTTGCTATTTCCATTCAATACGTCTTCATTAGACATTGCGACCTGAAGTAATTAATGGCAGAGAAAAGTAATATTAGCCTGAAAGGCTTCAGCATCCCATCGAAGTTTGCGCACAACTAATAAACCGAAGAAAACATCCGAACTTCAACTTCTGAACAAAAACTGGGTTTCATCTTACATGAGAAAAAAAACACATTTATAATATATATTATTTTAGAAACTCACGGCAGAAGTGATACCTTGAGAAAAATTCATTTCTTTTCAAGAACTATCAAATGAATTAGGCTGAGAAAAATTATGGAAGAATTTTTATAATAAGAATTCACATTCCTCATTTGAGTCCGATTTAATTCACGAAAACATTAAGTTCCCCAAGGAAAAGAAACAGTATTTAAATTCCTTATAATGAAGAAAATCCACTAGTTGACGCTATTCAAAATCTTTAGGTGGAACGATCACATCATAATAAATAACTTTCTTCGTCAAATATATTTCAAATATCAGAAATACATTTTTCGAATTTCAATTATACCATAGTAATTGTTAGTCGCCAAAATAAATATTCGCCAATTAAAGCAAAAAAGGGCGTCAATCGCGAACGACACACCAACAGAGACTTCGGTAGGAAAAAGCAAATCCTTTGTCAAAATGTTAACAGATTATTTTTGTGCGCTTTCTCCAAACAAAAAAAAAACCGCGTAGAATACTGTACCTACCTGATATTTTTCGAAACCATCGTTTTTCCGACATAGCGTGGCAAAGATCGACGAATTTCGATCCAAACAGGCAAACAATAACGGAAGGGGGAAACTTGCTTGCTTATTCAAGCCGTACATACGGCAAACTTGCATTGCAAGATGAACACCTTCCTGAAAAGTACTTTCATTTCTTTAAACTGCACTCCGAATTGCTTCCGCACATGGATGAAAAACCTTGCTAGACATTAGATCCGCAAATTGAAAATCGACGCACACAGTCGGCGCATTTTGCAGCATAGAGATTCTCAATTTTTCGCCGAATTCCGAATTGGAAATTCTTGGCTTCTTGATTCCGGCTTTACGCAACTTCGAGCGGCGTTGTCTTTCCGCAATCCGCTTCTCCTTCATGATCTGCTGCGATCTTTCAAAACGAGCCATCTTCCTTGCTTGGTTTTTCTGCACATGGTTCTCACGGGCTTGCAAGTACTTCATCAAATGAATGAAAAACCTTAAACTTACGGAAAGCTTTCGTTCCGAAGATGGCTTGGACAAGCCATCTTCACTCATCGCCAACCTGAGAAAGATTATCACCTGAGTCCACAGAATTGGTGATCAAAACCTTCATACAGATCTTAACGAATACATTTTAGGAAATGAGCTTAATGCTTGTTGCTGCATACGAAATCAAGCACACCCTCCATTTCACAGCAAAATAAAATCACTCTTTCCCGAGTATGATACAAATACATTGAACTTGAAACAACAAAAAAAACTCAGTCGAGAAAAAAAAACCGACGGAACAGAAACAAGTTTAAAACAAACTCAAATTCGAACCGGAGGAAACATGCTGGAAGACTTCAAATTGAAAGATTCACAATTCGAAAGATGTAGAGCAACATTGGAGTGTTAACATGAATCGAGCAAGATCTTCGCATAAACCTGAAATTTGCTCACTTCTGTTAGCTCCTACATTGAAAAGAATAAGAAAAGAATCCAACCTTTGCCAACTTAAGTAAATTTAATTCCACTTCGCTCAATTGGTTATCAGAACGCTCAGCCCATACAAGTAGAAAAAACATTCACCGGGTTTTCAAATTAATTTAATGATCACAGTGAACGAAATGGCGGTATTCACTACTGATAATATTCAAATCAAAACAGCTGACACAAGTTTATCATTAACAACTTCAACAGGTGCATAGTAACAAATCCGCAGTTTATGCTTGATCGTAGCCCGTTTCATATACAACAGTAAATAAAAAAGCACTAAGATTAAACTGCAGATCGAGAAGGAATAAAAATCAAAGGAGGAAATCTAACCGCAATGCATCATTCATGTTGTCACATTACTCAAATTGCCATTACTATTGGATAAAACAACGATCAGGAAATGACACAGGAGTTCTGCTTTTGCGCTGGCGGGCCGTTGCCTTCAGCTTTCTCGATTTCTTGGATGATCGACTGAAATACCCTCAGTGCACTCATATTTTCTTTCGCTGACGCTTCTACAAACGGAACCTTCCAAGAATCCGCAAGTTTCCGACCTTCCTGGGATGGCACAACCCGCTGCATTTCCAAATCATTCTTGTTGCCTACCAAGATTATCGGTACGCTGACTTTCCCAGTCATATCGAGTAACTTGTCATAAATCACTTGAACAACATCGAAGCTTTTACTGGAAGCGATCGAGTAGACCAAGACGTAGCCGTGGATATCGACGGAATACTGCGACGGAAAAATGTCGTATTCATCTTGGCCAGCAGTGTCGACCAATTTCAATTCGTATTCCTGGCCTCCAATCTTAATGTGCTTCGAAAATGTATTCTCTATTGTTGGGTCATAGGAATCGACGAACTGACCATCAACAAATTGGATGGTCAGAGACGACTTCCCGACGGATCTGAAGCCCATAATCGCAATTTTTCTTTGACGAGCGGTCATTTCGTATTTTCTGGAATCAGAAAAAAATCACCATTTTAAGTTCAACGAAAAATTAGCATTACGGCAAGACAGCCTTCAATCACATTAACAACACTTGAGGTTCATTGATTCACTACTTGTCCTGAATTATTAACCACCTGTTCTTCGCACTTTCAATATCCACACGCAAAAAACATTAAGGTTCCTCAAAGTACTCACAACAACTTCGAACGTTGAGAGAAAATACTGTATGTTCAAAGTAACCTTGTTCAAGAATATTGACAAAACCAAATGCAAAACTAAAATTCGGCGATTGAGCGCGGTGATGCCATTTCAGGCGGACACTGACGGGCATTTCGCACCACCAACGATCTCATCATTTGCGGAGCAGATAATAAACAAACCCGACCACAAGAAACATAAAAAATAAGAAAATATCAAGCGATCAACCCTGAAGGATGGAATAATAAGATATTACAAAAATGGGAAGATTTGAAGTAACTTGCATCGAACTCGAACGATTTTTCAAGAGCATTTGCACCAATTTCGGCACTTGTACACGGACAGAATACCCATCGATCCGACAGGCATTCTTTCTGATCTCAAACGCAGCCAATCTGAGAGGCATTCACATTAAATTGATGTGACACGGTGGCGAAATGGGGTAAGTCCTCATCTCGCCATGGCAAACAATTACTGCACACTGGGGCTGGGGATAACTGAACAGAACATCAGTTTTGCTAAATTATCCAAGAGGATCAGGAAATCATTTTCGAGAATGATACATAGATGTCACCAGTAATGCGCAGGAAAAACAGTTCCCTCCGTTTGCCATAGATGAAGCTACTAGTCTGGATTCCCCTAACTAGACGAATTTTCTTCAATTCATGGGACAAAAAAAGCGGATACTGTGCAGGAATTCGCTGAGAGCAGCGTTCAAAATGTTTTGGCGCCATTTGACGCTCAGGGTTTCGTGATGGCGCACGGGAATCAAGTGACGGGGTTGACCACGGTCGTTTCCGAGATACAAACCCACTGATCGTGGTGTGATCTGAAGGCATTGTGTGGTATTTCGTTTAGTGGCAGTTCGTTTTCTTATTATGTTCGCATCCGATCATCAGTTTTTTCCCCTCAGAATATCCTACGGCCGTGCGATGTTTCAGTATTTACAGTTGGGTTTACGCGGAATCACGCTTTTCATAGCGAAGATATATCATATCATCAGTTTTGCAATACGGAGGGAAACTCGTGTGATTTATCAGCACCAAGCTGTTCGTTACGATCTTTACCCGTTGTCGCCCATCACCAGACATCGATTGAGTAAGTATCTTTCGTATTCATTTCGGAGCGATGGCTAATGGACGGGTTTTATTTCAGGCCTCGTTAAGCGAAAGGTGATGGTACTCGACCTTGATGAAACCTTGATCCACAGCCATCATGAAGGTGTGATTCGTCAGACTGTGAAGCCTGGTACCCCTCCTGATTTCAGCCTTCGTGTGGTGATCGACCTTCATCCCGTGCGATTTTTTGTACATAAGCGACCACACGTAGATTATTTTCTCGACATCGTAAGTTATTCATATTCCAATCCGTGTGGAGAGTGCAAAGCGACGCTTTTCGCAGGTGAATAATTGGTTTGAGCTGGTTGTGTTCACCGCGAGCATGGAGATTTACGGTGCTGCAGTTTCTGACAAGTTGGACAATAAACGAGGCATTCTCAGAAGAAGGTATTATCGTCAACACTGCACGCTGGAGTTCGGAAGCTACAGCAAGGATCTATCTGCCATTTGTGATGACTTGTCTTCAGTGTTCATCCTTGATAATTCCCCTGGTGCATATCGAGGATATCCTGGTAAGATCGGCAATATACGTTGAATGTCACGCGTTTATTCTTTAATCGCGTCTCTTTTTCAGAAAATGCTGTGCCGATCAAGTCGTGGTTTTCTGATCCCACGGATACAGCACTGTTGAATTTGCTTCCCATGTTGGATGCTCTGAGATTTTGCCAGGACGTTCGTTCTGTTCTCGGGCGTAACCTTCATCTTCACCGTGTTTGGTGACCTTTGCGATGCTTAAGAACCTTGTGCGAACGTTTTTCACTTCTGTGAGAAGGGAGCCGCGATCAGCATATGCGATCCGATGTTCGGAGTAGTCTGCTGAGTTGTGTTCAAATTAAACCGCCGATTTGTTAGCGATTCGGCCTGGGTCCCCGTTTGATTACCATTTTTTTCGTATAAGAAGCGTGCTTCCGAAGTTCAAAAATTTTTTCTTTCATCTTTTTCGCTTCAAACCCAGTGATGGTTTTCGATTTCGAAAAGCTTTCTTGTCTTATTGCTCAAGAATCAAGATGTATTATTTCGCGGCTCGTCCGTCCCAATATTTCTTTCGTCGTGTAAATCTAGATGGGTTGTCTCATTTCGTAAACCCTGGTAATATCGCTGGAAGCAATCTCTGTTCCTAAATTTATTTATTTTTTACATCGTCGGCAGGAAAGAACGAAGGCACTTCCTGATTGTGTGATCATGGAAGTTTGCTTGATGAGCCAGTTGTATTTTTTTCTGTTTTCGTTCGTTGTTTCATCGGAGAATTCATCCCCATTTTTGACAGTGTCGTAAATTTTTCCCGGTTTTTCAAAATGTATGTTCTCATTTTGTCCGGAAACACGCATCCTTATTGTGATAAGTGTAGCTCGTCTTTTAGAAGATCATCAGCAATGAAAAGAAAACCACTTGTTTACTGTAGCACGGACAATGACATACTGTATCTTCGCCGGTAAATTCATCGGAATGATTGGACTCCGTCATGATTTTGTACTGCTTGCAGACGTGCTGTGAGGTGGAAAGAAATCTTTTCTGTGAATTCATACGATTGCTCTCCCTGTAAACATGGGGGTTGTCCATGCGAAGGTACTGTGCATTACGGTAATGACGTCTTAATCAATGAATTATCAAAACTCATTTTTCAGTCGAAGACCCCTGGCGATGAAATAATCGAAACACGAATACTGGATACATCATCCCTGAAAGTAAGTCGATCATCGGTTCGTTTTGTTTCATCATACTCGTATGATTGAAGAAAGCTTTTTGATACTGTTCGGACATTTTCGAGGTGAATTTTTACCCGCGCCAGAAACAAATATGAAACATGAGAGGGAGAAAATACGATTCATTGTCTTGTAAAATGTGTTAGTTTGCTTCGAGTAATGTCATGAAAATTTTAATATTGTATATTGCCTGAGTTCGCGCAAGCACTGATTCGACGCAAAATCAATTCCACAAGAAAGCAAAAATAAAATCTTCGAACACAATTTTTGATTCTTTCCATGAGGCATGATTTTTTCTTGTTTATTTTCATCTGATGCTTTCTATCAACGTGATCTTTATTACTTCCTCGAATTTCTCTCAAGATTTGGTCGAACCAGAAATTTATTGTGTAATAAATGTTTGCCGATAACCGTGTAACTACGGTACGTATTGCACTTCCGTTTCGCTGTACTGTATCAACAAACCTGAAAATATTTCAGAATGATCCCTTGGCATCAACGATCAAAAATGCAATCTGATTTTCCAACAACTTACTAACATACTCCGTCGAAAGCCACATGGGTGAAGTAGTTGTTTGGAACTACATAAAATGTATTCAAGTTGATCTTGTGTAAATGTGAATCATGGTAAAATGGTACCATTTGCGCCTGAAATAACATTTTGCGCCATATTTCAGTTTTAGTCTGAAGCATGTCAAAAGATTAAATTTAGGTACAGTATTCGATTTTCTTCGCTGCTTTTGAATACTAGCACTGATTTTTGAATATCGCGTGTCAGGCCCGCGTGGATCGAATTCACGTCCAGGGACTGCAACGAACTAAAGATGACTTCGTGCAAGCAGCCGTCGCCCCTTTAATGGAGGTGACGGAGATGAATAACCTGTTTTTGACGGTGAACGAAGTGCGGAACACCCTTGGTCAGCTGGCATGCTTCAAAAGCGTTGCTGTTGGAATCGATGTCTCGGGAACGACACCCGATGGCGTCGAGGTGAGCATTCGTTAACACACACACACACTTATCAGCAAGAAATTTTGACGTGTTATTCTGTCAGGTCTGGTTTTATGTTGAAGAGCTCAAACGTCATCGAGGAGGCTTCAAAGCACAAGGCGGCAATAACGAAGGCAGCTGCGGCATTGGGTTCGATTCAGTAAATTTTAAAGGAAGGGGGGAAAAGGCGTCTTTTAGTTACGAATATGGCACTCGGAAAACTGCATCTTTTGCACTGGATGTTTCTAAGCCCCTGGTCGACCTAGGATGCTCAAAGTAAGCGACAGAATTTTCCTTTCTTACTTGAAATCCGTAGAGATTGTCCATGATTTTTTATATATAATATATTTAGCCGAGAATGGTTCCTCTGTTTTTAAATATCTTCATAAATTGAGGTCTCTGGTACTCCGGGGAAGTTGGGAAGTCTTCGAGCAATGGATCACCAGCTGGAAATGGTCAAAATACAGTACCTCTGAAAGTCTAGATTAATGTACTGTACTATGATTCCAAAGCTCTCTTACTGAGGTGAACTAAGTAATGTGGGATGGCATCACTCGGAGGAATTTCTTCGAATTGTCTAACTTCGTTTGATTCGCGTCACCGTCCGGTTTTCATTCAGTACTTCAATTCTTCTCTTATTTCTAGCGTCGATCTCGTTAAGATAGTGTTTTTCTCTGTTATAATGATTTTTTTTTGCTGAGACACGATGATGACAGATTAAAGGCCGAGTTCGAAGCCAGATGAAGGGGCAGTTGAGACTGATCTTCGGTTCGGGCTCCTGTCAATCTTCGGCTGATGAAAATATCCCTCGGGGAAGCGTTGATCTTATCTGAGTGTATTCAGTTTCTTCATTTATGCAAGATTGCGTTGAACGTATCCCGAGCAGAAATTTCCGACGTGTTTCGAACAATCTGCAGTTTTTCCGATCTCCCAAAAGGTCAAAAAATAGGCGTTTTTAAGTGGTTTTTTTTTTTTTTTTTCTCTCTGAACAGATGCTTTAAATTTTTGACGATTGAATTTCGAGAAAAAATAGGTTTGATTTTCGATTTTTGAAAAAGCAAATCCACCTACTCTCAGGATCACAAGTCGTAGATTTGTTAAGTAATTTTCTATTTTATGAAGTACTGTACAGCAATTTGTAATGCATTTACAAATTTTTTTGTCTTCAAGGTTAGCTGCCAGTGCTTTCTCAACAAATTCCATCTCGCCTTCATCACTTTTCCGGTTGACGTCCCGAGGATTAAGTCTTGGACTAGACCTGTTCCCATTCTGGGACGTTCAACACCGCGTTTCTTGGGATGGCTGTTGGCGTGACCTGAACTGCATGAGCATCGACACGCCGTTTAGTGTTAGAGAGGAAGCAGGTCATTCGTTGAAATCAGGTCTCAGGTATTCCGTCTCCAAGGATTCCCGAGACTCGAAAATGCTTCCGACCGAAGGAACCCTGTGGCGGCTTTCTTCAGAGGCGTCTGGTTTCGGTGGTGACGTCGGTTTTCTGCAACATGGGTTCGATTATCAGGTTAGTTTATTGATACGTTCGTCGTGTATTTTCATCCCCAAGCTCTTGTATTATTGAAAAAATTCTGTTGAGGATTTATTTTCAAGCTTGTGACAAACGAGAGGAAATACTTCAAAATGTTGATAAGTACAGTACCTTGACGTGAAATTATCCGAGCATTTATCTGAAACGGAATCATTAAAACCAAAAAAAGATGCACAGGATTGACGAAGCTTATTTAAGCTTGTTTTCCTCTGGAATTGACAGTGACAAAAATTTGAGAATTGACGATTTATGGGTGAAGAAGTAAAAAAAAAATTATTTGTTTGTTGTTCAGACACGTTCGCAATTTTGTAACGGTATTAATAACATTCTGGGAAATTGAATGGTGGGTGGTCAAGTCACTCCAAAGTAATTTGATTGTTGTCTAGGAAATTATTTTTCAAGCGAAGTGTCGTTCAAGCTCTCCAGGAAAACTTTTTCGAATGAATGCGTCGAAGGATTGAAAAAAGTTTACCTCTCTCTTCGACAGGCAAATTTTCGTGTCCTCGGGAACTTAGTCGGGCAAGTTGGACTTTCTGGGAATGTGCAATATCAGACTCCGTGGCAGACAAGCATGTCGCTGAAAGCTCCTCAAATTTGCGATCGATGTTTCATGGGAGGTCCTCTAGATGTCAGAGGCTTCCGCATAAACGGTGCAGGACCACACGCAGATGCGGCGGCGCTCGGAGCGTCCACGAAACTCGCCTATGGTGCACACATTTACTTTCCAATGCCGGGCATTTCCCACTATGGGTTTTCGGATTCCTTCAGGTTCCACGCGTTTGCTACTGCTGGGCACATCGGGGAACTTCAAGGTACGCTTAGAAATTTGAAACCGGCACGTTGAATTATTTAGGCTCTTGTGACAACCCTTTTAGTCAATTTAATTCATGTTTCCATTTCGATTCGTCGACCCACATGCTAAACGCAGAGGTTTGGGGGTTGTTAACTTCGCATGTATGATTTCTGCGCGTAGTCCAATGCTTCATTTCTTACGCTCTATTTGGCAATCTTCAGATGAGATCATTTAAATTGTTGTCTTTCAAATTTCCTACATTTTTCGTTATCCAAAATGTACAACCATTGATGATGCAGTAGTAATGAAAAGATTTGCCACCAGTGCAGCTATCACACATTTCATACATGCCTAAGATCAAATTGATCCTCAACATGTCTTGCGATTTGTCGATTACATCAGTATAAAAATTTTTTGAACACCTTCTCCATAATGATTTCGTTAATATTCCCTAATATGCCGGTGGTTTTGCTTTTGGGGAGCGATTTAAGGTTTGGAGAACGAAAGATTGCGTGAATCGGCATCAGTAGAATTCCAAGATTTCTAATCTGTAGAGGCTGAAAAAATTGTTCGAGTTTGTGGGGAAAACAGTATCTCGATAAATGACGGAAAAGGAAGAAATAGACACATTGTTATTCGGTGATTATTCAACGCTGGTGGCGCAACTCTTACAGGCTGCGCGTGAAGATCCCCCATGGGCGCGTTCGGTATTTGGGCCAGGTTAGGCTTACTTCTTTTAGATCACTTGAGGCTTTTATTTGGTTTGTTTTTAGGTGTGCTGTATAGGAAGTACATTTTTATCACAAAATTGACGGTGTATTCAACGAGTACGTTAATTCACTGTATTTCGTCTTTTTTTTTTTTCTTCAGAAAAACCGAATTTTGAAGAACTTCGACATACTCTGCGGCAGAATTTGCGAGCATCTTGTGGCATTGGTATGGTACTTCGTCTAGGCGACATGGCCCGTCTAGAACTGAACTACGCCCTGCCTATGATTTGGCAAAATGGTGATCAACGCCAACGAGGATTCCAACTTGGAATCGGAGTCGATTACTTGTGAATGCATATGCATGTCTTAGGACCGCATGTGCTCCATAGTGCGGTCGTGGTTGGATACGCGTCCGTAGTTGCATCTGGGGGTTTTCCTGACCAAGGTTGAACCAGTGTCGGCCGTTGATGCCGTGATTGTAAAGGTGCGCGGTTATTTCGTGTCCCGCGAACCTTTGTTTGCTTCGTGTGTGGAGAATGAAACGGGACTAGTGATTCGCTGTTCAAAATCGCATTAATTCATCTTTAAAGACCTATTTTTGGTGAGTAAAAATCTGTTGAATCGTTTCGCATTTGGTACAGTTAGTGCTGCTGGGGTGAGAGGCAGACCGTTAGAAACTGCGGAATGTGTGTGGTATGTGGGGATACATTTTATGATCCAAAAAATATTAAATCAGTTATGTGAGCCATAAGTGTTTCTCTTCCGTTTGAAAAAAAATGGGGCTAATAAAACCTTCATGATCTTACTAGTTACTAATTCATCCATCGTGGGTCACGTGTTGCAGCTACATCATACCATTTTCCAAGAATGAAGGTGCATTCTTATCTTGTTGATGCCATATTGCAGGCTACCCGTTTGCAGTCCTAATGCTAATTACTCAGGTCGAGTCTTCTGAGAGAATATTCCCCTTCAACTGTTTACAGTGGAGTCCGTTAAAGAGCATCAATTTTTCCAAGACTGAATTTCTGTAAAAGCCATTATGCATGGAACAGAAGACTATGTGAAAGGGTACAGTTGTTTTCATCCCATAACTGTTTTCCTGTTATGAAAACTCAAGAAACTTATGAGCATTTTCTGTCTCCTAACCAACCTGAAGTAAAAAAATGCCTTTCTATATCGTTCATTTTCCAATTTGTTCATGAAAATATGAATAGCAACAGCAAATTTGCAAAGAATCTTCAGCCAAAGCAAACGAACGATGGCAAACAATTTTTAAATCAAAATTCCTGATTCCCCCCCCCTCCCAAAGTTCTGGATTCGGGCCGTTCATTGGCTGCTCTACGAAACCAATCTTTGGCGAGGCACGAAAAGAATTGAGGCCCGAACTTTGTTAGGCATATTGATGATGCATTTCTCATTTTGTCCGAACCTCCAGAAAGACTTACAAAATACGCGCAACGAGTTCTTTCCGAATAAAATTAAAATGCTAGGCTTCCAGAAATGTCACAGTTGGCTAGTGATGAAAATCCCGAAAGGTTAGCGACGCGTTATTCCATGATCGCAACATTCGTGAGCTCAGTACTCATCCCCTCCCTCGCCGTCTTCTCCTTCCACCGAGTCCAGGCCAACTTCCTCGTAGTCCTTCTCCAGAGCAGCCAAATCTTCGCGTGCCTCGGCGAACTCTCCTTCTTCCATTCCCTCGCCGACGTACCAGTGCACGAATGCTCGTTTCGCATACATCAGGTCAAACTTGTGGTCGAGACGCGCCCAGGCTTCTGCAATCGCGGTCGTGTTGCTCAACATGCAGACAGCGCGGGAAACCTTGGCCAAATCGCCGCCCGGAACCACCGTTGGTGGCTGATAGTTGATCCCGACCTGTACGTAAAATATTAACGAGGCAGCCATTTCAGATTTGAACTTTTTTTCTCATTGTGCACACGTGATCGAAAAATCACTTTTACAGTAGTACTGATAACTGTTGAAATCATCCATTGAGTTTATATTACTGAAATCCAATTTTTTGACACTTTCTGACACCACGGCGATTTCTTTTGCATTGAAAGATGTCACTACGGTTCACGACAGTCACAGGTGGAGTCATTTGAATTCCCATCAGCTTGTGCAATTCTCTCAGGCCACAGGACTTGCGTAATATATTTGAGACCTTGTAATTAAGTTTCTTTCAGTGTCTAACTCCCTTTGTACAGAACATAAAAACCAATCAATAATTTGGCAAAATGAGGCTTTTCTTCTTTTGTAGCGCTGATGATGAATTTTTAGCTGGCCTACACCATGTCAACTGGGGGGAGAGCCCCGGGTGTAAATGAAAAATTTTCAATTATACTTAACCAGTAAATTTGAAAACATGTTGAAATCGGGAAAAAATTCCTAGAACCTTCAAACATCTTGGGTAATGTCGTGATTACTTCTAAGATCACGCAGACTCTAAAAATTTCCAAGATCGTGTCCAGCTGGGAAAACCCTGGTAAAATTTTGTTCTTCCCAACGTCACTTGACCAAACTAGGAGATGTATATGAGGTTCCATCAGATGTATATGAGGTTTTGGTCGAAACGCAAGATGCAAGTGCCCACCTTGAAACCAGTGGGACACCAGTCGACAAACTGAATCGTCCTCTTGGTCTTGATTTGCGCAATGGCGGCGTTGACGTCCTTTGGAACGACGTCTCCTCTGTACAACATGCAGCAAGCCATGTACTTACCGCGCCTCGGGTCGCACTTCACCATTTGATTCGCTGGCTCGAAGCAGGCATTGGTGATCTCCATGACGGAGAGTTGTTCGTGGTAGGCTTTCTCTGACGAAATAACTGGTGCATACGTGACCTGCAATTCAAGCACATTTGCTGTTTCTGGCATTGTCATCTCGAAGAACATTTTTATTCCTGCAATGTTCACGTCCGATTATATTATGTGGGGAAAAATCTTTTTCAGTCCCTCTTGCGGATCTCCCTTGGATGTGGCAAATATTTGGTAACTTGGAAATTTTAAAATTATACAATATTCCATCAAGAAACGGGTCACGGCTCATTTGCAGTTGAATTTCTTCAGGTCAATGAACCAGTGAAATACTGTACTTCGACTTTGGTAGGTTTTGAGTTGATAAAACTGCCATTTTTACCTTGGCAAAAAAAAACAAGAATTAAAGGGAGTTGAAAGTGGCACTTTTATGGCCCAGAATAGCCTTTTAAAGAAGTTAATAGGATGCTGAATTTGGAGACAAGGGTGCTTGATTTGTTTCTCATCTTAAAAAAAAAAGTATCAAGTTCATTTTATCATCTTTCCTTTCCTGGGTCACAAGAATAATAGCAAAAAGTCCTCTAAAAATTCGAGTTACAGAAGTTCGATGAGAAAGTCTTTGACTTGGGGAGTGATTACAACTGTACATTGTTTCTAAGGGAGTTTTGACATGGACTAAAAAAATTGACAAATGGAGGTACAGTATTTGATTTCGGGAGGTTTGAGTTATTGAGGTTAAGCTGTATTATTCTGTCTTTAAAAAGGACTTTGCAACAAACAGATACACATATTAATAGGAAATATACAGTATATAGATTTTCTTCAAACACAGGTGGCATTTCACCCCAAAGAATTCACACAGCCTGAACAGGTTTGTTTCTGAAATTGTTGCTACATAAATCTGGGTCATTGAACCTCAATAACTCCAAACTCTCCAAGTCAAATACTGTTCCTTCAAATGTCAAAATTCTTTCAAGCCCTGCTGTCTTAATTCCCTCAGAAACAAGGCATTAAAAATCTCCTTAACTCAAAAGCTTTCCATCTTGAATCCCCCCATAACTTGAAGTTTCTGGAAAACTTTCGGCTATAATTTGATTGCCGTGAGAAAGAGAAAAGCAATGAAAATGTAACTTGATGTGCTTAGAAAAGAAATGACAGAATAATTAGGCATTATGAACCCTTGCCTCCAAGTTCAGCATCCAGTCAACTCACTCAAGAAGCAATTTAAGATCCAGAATAACACCGATTACAATTTCACGCAATTTTTCTTTCTTTCCTCCAACAAAAATGCTTGTTTATCTAACCAATTCTCTTGCAGCTGTTGCTAGTTCCCTCAAGTTTGACCCAAAGAGGTTAGACTGTACTACATGCGAAAAAAATACGGTTGTTCTTAAAAACGATGGGATTTTACCAGTGGGAAGTGGATCCTGGGATAAGGCACGAGATTAGTCTGGAACTCCGTCAAGTCCACGTTGAGTGCGCCGTCAAAGCGAAGCGACGCTGTGATAGACGACACGATTTGGCCAATCAGTCGGTTCAAGTTGGTGTATGTCGGGCGCTCGATGTCCAGGTTCCTCCGGCAGATGTCGTATATGGCTTCGTTGTCCACCATAAACGCGCAATCCGAATGCTCCAGCGTCGTGTGTGTCGTCAAGATCGAGTTGTATGGCTCCACCACAGCCGTCGACACCTGGTAGTTGAATCAAAGAGATACAGCTTATCATTATGCGAGCGAGAGAAAGAGGAAAAAACAAATAAGTGTCTCAATGAATTGACGATGAAAGGCGGTACAGTATTTTTTTTTTCAACGATAAAAGCAAGTACAGTACTGTACTGCTACATGTTTTTTTCAGTACTGTGCATGTACATTGAAGAAGATCCACGCAATTGCCGATTGCAGTATTATTCTCCAAGAATTACGCCTCGTAAAATCACTTTAATAAACTACTGTACTATGCAGAGAAAATAGCAAAAATATCTACATAATGTTCTGTTCTCTCTTTAATATCCTCGCACTTGGATTCTCCCTCATTTGCTGCACACTACAGTAGAATCTCGTTAAAACAAAGCATTAGGACCTTAAAAAAGCTCCATTGGAAAAAAAAATTCGTTGAAACCAGAGTTGAATAAAAACCTTTTTGGCTATTGGAGAGGGATCGAGAAGCAAATTCGTCGTGAAAATTCATTTATTATAACGAGATTCTACAGTGGATGGTCCTCGAAAATACGATCTACGGTAGATCGCCTTTTTCATCAGTCAAAATGTTGATAGTTTTCAGTCAAACATTTTTATAAATTGTATTCACAAGGAAGACGTGCGCCCTATTTTCGTGACTCCAAAACTGAAATGCATTTCAAAAATAGGAACACTCGAATTTGAATTTAGACGCGAATTGATCCTGAATCCAAGTGATATTCAATTACAGTACAGTATTTCCGATACAATCCATTTTTCCGTTAAAATTTGTCAAAAATGTTTCATTATGACCAATTATGAGGAACACCTAAACTTCAGAAATTTTTAAAAATATATATGACACGCTCCCCCTTTCTTCCTCTCAATTTCGAGAAAAGGGTGCGCGTTGTAGTCGAGTAACAGTAATTTTTCGTTCTACGGCGCAAATATGAAATTAATTCAGAGGAATAAATCATGTTGAACTTGGGAAGACTTGAGTATATCTCGCTGAGCTTATTCCAAAGCTTCACGGTCGTCTCACCGGAAATTTTTTTCACACGACCCAGTTTTAAACTATCCATTCCTTGGAAAGGAAATTATACAAGATGTCATGACATGAGGCCAGAAGATTCAGCTAACGAGAAAATAATCCTCGTGTTGAGTGCGTACAGAAACGATTCAAGACGAGCCAAGGAGAGTCGGAACCTATCCCTTTCATTTTTATTTTTTACAAAAATATATAAAAGACGAAACCTGTTTCGCAACAAAGAGTCTCGCCTCGCACGCGCCCACGTTATATAGTACGCATGGACATTGGGCTGCAGCAACATGCAGCTTCAGAAGGAATTATTATTTTTTCTTCTTTTCCTTATGAATCTCATACTTCTTTCATTGGTTCGCAGGTCGTGAGTCATGTGTTGCAATCTTAGCAGACTCGCCTACTGAAAGGTCGAGACCGCAAGGAAATAACTCTCCTCAACATTCGGGTGAAGCTTTGTTTCATTTCTTCCATCTCTAGCTTATGTGTTTTTTGCACATTCAGAAATGTAAACAGATAAAATGGGAAGCTTGAACAATCACAATTTCATACAACATCTAAAGCGTTTTATTTTTGTTGGTCAATGTTTTTAGGTTTAGCGACTTTCTATCGCTTCTCAAACAATAGCAAGAAAAGCTGGCTTTATTTGACGAGTAAAGGCGAAATGTCTCAAAAGAGCACGATTCAAAAGTACCCCAAATCAAAAAAGTACCACGCGCCTTCGAGTAAGACGCACACAAGGGGGTTTCAGCTGAAAATGTTAATGAAATAATGTTAATGTTAATCCTATCCCCGAGTAAGACGTAAAACCCATTTCTAGTGATTCTAAAACCACAATACGGTATGTCAAAGATAAGAACAACCAAAATCAAATTTAGACAGGAATTGAACACGAATTTGAATAATTTCCTAATTTTTACATTGAAATAACAAATAAGTTTCATTTCTTAAATTTGTCCCAGAATTTCCAATTAGATTCAAGTACAGTATAATGTTTGCTCAAATTTCTCAAGTTTTTTGAAAAATGTAACCCCACCTGTGACGCGCATCCCCATTCTTCTTCTAAAATGAAAAAAAAATATATATATATACGATAGTTCTAACAAAAGTTCTTGGAATGAAAACGAAAATGGCGTCTAATCGAGCTTAAAAAATGATTCTTTAGGGCAAACATATTCTTTGGCACAAAAAAAAATCAGCCCTGTTTGACTTTTTAATCTTTTGCAAAATTCACCCTGGCAGAGTTTTGCTATCCACTCAACAGATGAGGCGCCCTTCCTGCAGTTTTTTTTTTTGTTTTGTGGCCCAGCTTTCCCCTCAGAATTCTTGAAATCAATGTGGCAGTAATTACAAGGGTTGCCTCCAGGTCTTCCAAGGCAATTCCGCCATTTTCATTGACAGCCGCCACATTGGCCCCAATGTGGCGGCCGTGTTTTTGTGCCAAAGAATATGTTTGCCCTAAAGAATTTTTTTCAGCTCGATTAGACGCCATTTTCATTTTCATTCCGAGAACTTTTGTTAGAACCCTCGTATATGCGCGTGGTATTTGAGAGAATACGGTACTTCGAGGAGTAACTCTCTTTTGTGTTCGCCATTCGGAAGTTTTCCAGTTCAATTCAATCTTTGTAGTTTCCCATATCTAGCATTTGTGGAATACTTAGATCAAGAAAAATTAGAATGAGTGGAAAACTTGATGCTATAATCATTGAATTTCCACAAAAAAACGGCAGATGTATTTTTCCCAAGTTACGCGGGGAAAATCGGACTGCAAATATTCGATGCATCGCTCAGTCTGTTCTTTTCTTTTGTGTATTACATGCCCAAGTCTTTCCATTCATTCGATTTACAATTTCTTTTTTCTTTGTCAACTGGACTCGAATTCCAAGCGAAGATCAATTAACTTCATTCATAAAACCGATGACGGGTTTCTCGTTAATTGACCGGGTTTGCAGTTGCAGCCATCATCAGTAGGCTGATAAAACTCATAAAAGGCGTCGTTTTCTTCATTAATATTTTTTTTTGAATACAGACTTGATTGGAAACTTGGTGACCCAAGATATTCATCAACCTCCTCCGCCAGCAATTGTCCGCCAGGCCGTCCTTTAAAGGAGAAGCTCTGATGGCACCAGAGAAAACCCACGCGAATCTCATTTTCCCGGGCCTCGGGTCCGAAGGTGACTCATCACGGACTCCTCCCATGGTTCCATAAAAGGGCGACCCTGCGTTTCTTGTTTTGTTTTTCGTTTCCCCGGTGCCTCGCGTAGGCGGCGTTAATGTCAAAAACTCGAAACGTTTCCTTTTTTTCTTCTACTGTACTATGTAGAGCGGCATTGAGATCTACTGTATAAGAAAAAAGCCGTTTTCATCCCACGCGTCACCTCCATTTTCAGGTTCCACGTGTGTGGGACACGAACTATCGAGGGGAAAAAATATCTCGAGTCACTTCCGTGTTCAGAGAATCAAAAGTACTGAATCAGACGACATGTATAACTTCCGTGCGCATTCGAGAACAAAAATATCACAGTTTTTTGTTAACATATTTGATCCTTTCAATAACCATTGCGGCGCAATTAAAGGGGGTGCATTCGGAACTTTTCCTCGCTCGTTCTCTCATTCTAGCAAGAGACGATGCTTTTGCACGAAAAAAAATGCAAGAATTTGAATTTTGAATTTTTAAGCAAGGAAAAAAATTTGAACCTGTGGGGCCGGGTAGATGGCGAACTCGAGCTTTGACTTTTTCCCATAGTCCACAGACAGCCTTTCCATGAGCAGCGACGTGAATCCCGAGCCAGTGCCTCCACCGAAGGAATGGAAAATGAGGAAACCCTGGAGCCCGGTGCACTGGTCGGCCAGCTTTCGAACCCGGTCGAGAACCAGGTCAACGATTTCCTTGCCGATCGTGTAGTGCCCTCGGGCGTAGTTGTTGGCCGCATCTTCCTTGCCCGTGATGAGCTGCTCCGGGTGGAACAGAGTCCTGTACGTTCCGGTCCTCACCTCGTCTGTGCAATAATAGTAATCGCGGGGAATTCGTGGAATGAAATGAAGATTCCTCTACTGCGTATATACATACATCACGGCTTCAAATTCATGTCAACTACTGTGCAGTAACCTAAACTACGAAAGCTCAGTATAAATTTGTTAACTACAGTATAATCTCAAACAGTGTGAGTTCATTGAGGATTCCGATCGCGGCATTTCCATCGAGTTATTTGAGTTTTACGCGATTCACGAAGATTTAAACTATCGCGCCTCAACTTGAGCTTCATTTACATGCAGATAAAAACCCGCATTGTAAAAGCCATAATTTAAGAATTGAACACAGCGAGTTCTCCAACTTCGCGAATATCTGAATCTCACTCGCAGAAGTGGCTATTTTTGATTATCTTTCATAATTTTCTTCAGGAGGAACTACTTTCAAACCGAATGATTTTCTCCAGCAGCAGCCTTCAAGAAAAAATTCTCACCGTCTCTCTCACGATGCATAATTTCCATAAAATTGGACGCAGAAGAATCAATTCATAATTCGAGTACGTGGATCAGTGGAGTCATACATTTTGAAAACACTGGATCTCTGTGCTAAAACAGACATCCAGAAATTCCCTCGATTTTTTTTTTCAAGCGCAAAAATCTTTTAACAGGTGAAATTGAAAACGACTCAAATTGAGAAACGTCTTCATCCATTAAATGTCATTTATCCCAAAAGAAAAACAGTGTTTTCGACACAAAGATTTACTTAAACACCCTGCATTTTATTCGTACTTCACACACACTCGTGACATTTTCACGACGGTTCATTAATTTCTTACAAATGTATCATAAAAATAAATTTAAAAAACTTGCTGCAAGCGAGTATCCTCGTCAAAAATGCTTCACAGAAAAAAGAAGGCAAGCTAAAGACAACCAACACGACCTACATTAAAACGGTCGACGACATTTAATTTACGACGAATATTCATGCTCACGTTGTTCTCCGGTGTCAGCGGATCACGCAGCAAAACATGCTTTCCAGCAGGTTTATGAACGAAATTTTATGCTGACCCACGCAGAAATAATCATGTGCAAAATTCTACGGCTGGGTTTACAAGTGAAGTACGCGGTTGTTCTGTATAGATTAATTTCTATAGCATGATTCTCCTGAAGATGCTGGCAACGCGCAAGAGAACTTTTTCTTAAATATGGCCAGCCTATCACCAAAATTTTTGAACATGGGCAGAAAAAATAAACCTGGTGAATTACAACAGTACTCGTCGATTCTTCGATTTACATTTTGCGAAACTGCCTCGTAAAAACTATGACTGGATACCGAAGTTGGAGGCAAGGGTTCATCAGCCAAATAGTCTTTCGCTCATTCTTTTCAAAGCACTCACATTACGTTTGTATTGCTTTTCTCTTTCCTGTGTCAATAAAATAATAAATGCTAAAAGGCCTGCAGAAAATCCTACTTATGTATAGGGTTGAGAGAGAAAACCTTCGACTTAGGGAAGTTTTTAATCAGTTGTTTCTATTGGAATTCAAACGGGGACCTGAAAAAAGTAGTTGTAGGGAGGTTCGCCAGTTAACTGTAATTCAATCCACAATATGAAGGTAAGACTTATGAGGAACCCTTCGCTGTGCATCTCAGAGGAGCCTTTCAACCGTTGCGTTTGGTGGAACATTTACATGTATCGACATGATATCGCTGGACGAGGGACGAAATACTTCTCGAACACTCACTCACTCGCTCTTCCTAGCAAAAGCCTCAACAACAATACAAGTAAGTCTTATATTATATGCAGTGTATATACTGTACAGTAGTTGAAGACGAACTTACCCACAACGGAGGGTTCGAGATCGACGAACACGGCTCTCGGGACGTGTTTCCCCGAGCCTGTTTCGTTGAAGAAGGTCGTGAAGGAGTCGTCCCCAGCACCGATGCTCTTGTCTGACGGCATGGAGCCATCCGGATGGATCCCATGTTCGAGACAGTACAGCTCCCAGCACGCGTTGCCGATCTGCACTCCGGCTTGTCCGATATGAACTGAGATGCACTCGCGCTGGAAAATGTCGGAAATATACGCGGGTTAGAAACAGTCCGACTCGTCGATCATCCCTTATACAGTACTTGTACTGCGTATAACTGAACGCATGGCAAAGGGCGGAGAACAATTTCCAAACAGACCATAATCAAAATCGATGCAATGTACAGTATTATAAAAATGGACATTTATTAATCTGCAATATTCCGTCCGAATATGCTGTGCGAAGCTACAACTATATCTCTTCTACGTATATCGCCGAGCCGTATTTGGCGACCAAACTAAAAGCTACCGGGTTTTCCGAAAAATTGGGACCCGTGTTTCTGTGGAGATATATATACAAGTCATCACATTTTCTTAGCATCCTGTCACATTTAAGAAGCCATTTAAGCTGGCCTAGCAAGGATATCGCCAATTCCATTTGCTGTAATTCTTCTTTCTTAGCTTTCCCCCGACACAAGTGCGCTTTGTATTTCCCTAACTCGAAGTTATTCTTGCTGATCCCTTATTGAAGTTCGAATCAAGAGGCTCGACTGTATCAAGACTTACATTTTGTTCAAACTTGGATAGATTATAGGTTTGCTTTGCAGTATTAAATACGCAACCTGACGACAGCATCAATTAACAAGTTTCACATTAGTTTTCAACCTAAAAACTTATTGGAATTTATCATGAAAAGGGATCTTCTATTTGGATAATTACAAGAGAATGAAAGTATAGGATTTGAACACGAGTGAATCAAATTTTCTGGAAATGAAAAGTTTTCCTTTTGAATCTCATCGTAGCTATATACACATCAACATTAGCATATTGCTTGAAAAAAATTAGAATTCAGGTGCGTGAGAAAATTCGGACGAAAAAGGGCAATTTCTTCGGATTGTATCATGTTTCTCAGTAACTGATGAGGACGAGCGGAAGGTACAGTATATAATTATACCACCAGATGAAATTAATTCACGGCGCATTTACGTTTTATAGGCTGATATTAAACTTAGACAGTATTAATTTTCAGGCTGAAGATCTATAATCCTCACCGTGTTTTTCTACGAAAACAAATACAGGTCTTATTTTCGATACACAAAGTAAAAAACTGATCTCACGCACACATTCAGCTAACTTGACTGACCTCTATCTGAATATACAGCTGTTTTTCCAACCGATGCAAATCCCAAAATACCTTCTACCAACCAAACCGACGCAATACTTCTAGGTACGGGTGACCTAATCAAACGTACTGCAATAACAGTTTTCTGTAAAAACTTCAATGACGGGCGCCTAAAACAAGCATTTCTATATCTTGTTTATCGCGGAGACCGGAGACTGATCGTGTATAGCCAGTGATACACGAACTCCAGTCTCCGAGGAAGTCTCGATATGCTTCATTATTGAGGCCCGTGTGGTTGAAGATGTACAGAATACTGTCGGCAGTATAGATGGGCCATGCATTTCATCACACTCACCATGGTGTTTGTGGATTACGAAAGGTACGGAGAACACGAAAAAGCTTTGCAGCGAAGTTCAGAACACGAACGGGGGGTTTCTTGGTTTCCCAATGAAATCTCTGTGCTGAAGTCTACGAAGAAAAAGGTTTTCTTCTCGTCGATGAAGAGTGCGCGGCGGACGAAGTCACGAGTCGCGGGTCGCACAGATTCACCTCTGATACTGAATGTTCGGCCCCAAGCTCTCCCAGATTTTAAAGCCCGACGGCTCGTTCATCCAGCACTCGGCAGCCCTGTCCTCCGTTCCACATTTTCCATGTTTCTCGTCAACTTCATGCGCGGGTCATCCGTAAGTTTCAGTCGTGGATGTATAATAGGCACGCACGATTAAGTTGACAGAAGACGCTTCCGTCCGATGAAGGATGGAGCTCCATTATTGCGGAACAGAATTTTTTGGAATGGACTCATCTTGTAAAGAATACCGCCCTAAGACTGGAAACGCTTGGAAAATGAAAAATCAGTTTGGTAAACCCAGCAATATACACAAATATCCAATCACTGCGTGAGAATCATGCTCACATCTGCGCATCGTCTGAGAACACATTAACGTATCAAGTCACAACTCGCCCGCACGTACATAGGATGTGTGGTACTAAGGATGCAGCGCTGCTGTTACAACTTTCTTCAGACGAGGAATAACTAACAAGGCATTTTTTCTTTGATTTAGCGAGCAAATTCACGGTGAACTGGCTAATATTAATCAACCTCTTGTGCATATGCATTCACACGTACGATCGAGGAACTGCAGACGCAAAATGTTACGGAATTTTTGGTCGCTATTACGACATTCACAGGTACTACTGTATATATACTGCATACAGACACCTTTCACATACGAAGTTCTCTTTGGTGATTTCGTTCGAGATCTACAGTATTGTATAAGAAAAAAATGCTATATATGTACCTAGGTTAGCCATTATATTCATGTACGATGATGGGTTGTGTTGTGGCAAATAACCGAAGGATGCACCCATCATCATCATTGAACGTGCATACCTCAGATATGCCCGCCACGAAATTTACATGGAATGGATGCTAGCTGTACTTATGGATCAACCGCAGCACACGAATTCCCAAATACTGCCTTTCATTTTCGAGGTTATCCCGATAGTGTTGGGCGGTATAACGCAGTACAGACAGAATATGGAGGAGAGCTGTGAACTGCGAAGAAGACAAATAAACCGGGAAAACTAGTTTCTTATTCTTCTCTTCCAGAGGTGTTATGTTGAACGAGCACTTCGGTTCGACACGCCTGCGCTTACGTATATGCACTATATGGACGAGGCACCTTCTTTTCCTGGGTCACACAACTCACACTGGATTCCAAAGGAAGTACAGTATTACCTCAATACAGAGGATACAATTAAAAGAAAACGCTGAGGACACTTGAAACGATCGCGGTAACGAGATCGTCAAGTATAGTCACGAAAAAAGCATTCACGGTTCAACAATTAAACGAGTTCAGTCCCCTTTGATATCTTATTGCAATTCAACTTAATAGGATTAACTGCATGTTTAAAAGTGGTGATAAAGCAGGATCACTTCATAATACAATATTTGACTTCGAAAATAATCAGGAAGTGTAAAACGGGGATAAGCCCCAAAAACCTTCCTTCGAAGGTTGAAACTCGCGCCACGCCTTTACACGTAACTCAGCGACACCCTGATGATCCCCGTAACAAGAGTTCTGATGCGAGTACCGAACAGGCTGCTCATTCCAGCATGAGTCACGAACACCCACATGCCAGTACAGTACTGTGCAGTATAGGGCCCATCAGTAAAGAAACATATACAAATTCCATAACCGCAGCTGCTGATGGATGAATACATTTTAAAATTCATCATAGTCACTCCAGCTGCATATAATAACATACACACGGGGCTCTATAGTAAAGTTAGAGGAAATTGTTTTCAAGTTTTCAAAACTATTGAAATATTTGTATCGTGCGTGAATCTTGAATTGATTTTTCAAATTATTCCCATGAAGGACGGGGATTCATCCTATACATAATCCATAAACATTTTATTTTATTTAATGATCTCTCGAGGCAGTTTTTTTTGTAGGGCAATACTTTGAACGTGGAGGTTGAAATAATACTGTTCTCTGAAAAGAACTGACTCATGATTTGAAAAATAATTTAGCTGTTACCTCAAATGGGACTTTTCAGAGAATTTTTGAAACTTGAAAATTTCTTTTCATCCATTTCGGTTGAATTTCCACCAAAAATTCGCTAGATCCACACTACAGGTGGACTCTTCCTACAACAAAATACAAGGGACCATCCAAATTTTATGTAGTACATTGTATAACAAGGGGAAGAACCTTCGTGAGACGAGATGAATTCTCTCTATACAAACTATATCACTGCAGACAAGATTTAAAATTAAGTCCAGTTCCTGCAGCTTGCAGTTCTTGCATTTACTCAACTTATGGGGCACTATACATAGTGTTATTTAAAATTGAATACTTTACTTCGCTTTTCCGCCCCAGTTTTCAGATGTCTTCGCACACAGCACTCGTCATAACCGTCACAAAAGTATGAGTCAATCCCAATTAACAGTCACTTTTCGTCTCAACATAAATTTTCCCGCAGTTCGGTACATGAATCCCTTCTACGCGTACGAATGAAGAATTTTCCTGCAGCTGCAGCGCAGCATGAATCATCAATACACGCGCGACTGTATCAACACTTCTGATGAAAACCCCTTATTTTCTATAGGGGAAAGTTTCATGAAAAGCCATAAACGGTCATCAACGAATCGCAGAACTGCTTCTCAAGCCCGATATTAATTCAATCCCTATCTTATTCGATCGTCACGTGCGTCACACTAAATGTATAATTTAAGCATGAATCGAAATGAATCAGTCTGAATGCTGGTTATCGTGACTTAACGCGACATCTTCGGGATAAGAAGTAAGTAGACATGGAAGGGAACGATGACGGAAGCCGCTTGGTGTCAGACGTACCAAAAATTAACATCGACAAGCCGAGATGGGATCAAACGCATTATTGGGGAAGGGCAAGACACTTCTTCACTGTTACCAATCCTCTCAACATTTTGAAAACTTCCGGAGAACTGGAGGAGGCGCGTCAGATAGTCAAATCATACAAGTTCGGTGATTTTCAACTCATTTAGTAACTAACGGTGGATAAACATTATTCGAAAGATGGGCTTCTGAGGCGGGATAAAGAATTTCAACTAAGAATCATTCGCAGGCCCCATACGAGCACGTGTTCATCATGCACTACCGCTTGAACAAGCAGGATTTTTCATCTTACTAAATTTTTAGAAACTTTAAAAAGCATTTCACACCCAGATATTTTTTTGATGAGATTCATGCGAGTGATTCAAAAGATGAAATTGAGAATTCCTCAAAAATTGTATGCTATTTGTAGTAAGTAGGATAATAGTGATAATCACTACTCTTGCGGACAATCAATATATAAATACTGTATTGAAAAATGTGTGGAGAACCTTGATATAAGCCATTATGGAGGCACCAAAAATGATGAAATGTTTATACTGCAGAAACTTAAAGATCAAACTGACTACGGTGCAGGAAATAAATAGAAATTTGCTGTAAGCACGAATTTGTTTCACTGTACAGTAGCGGGATCCTACTACTGTATATAATGGTAATTCACTTCATTTGTTTGTTGAAATCCAACTGCTTTCCAAGCTAACAGAAATCTCGGATTATAAACTCAATTTATTCATTCATTGTGATGATAAACAAACGCAAAATATGACAAAATTGAGTGAACATAAAATTTAAATTTCACATGATTTAAAGAAATCAAAATGACTAATATCCTACGGCCAAAAAAAGTGTTGGCAACACCTACTGTAGGAAATTACGTGCGGTGGGCTCTATGGACTTGTGGAGTGATCCATGTTACCGCCTTCAACCAAAAGCCATTTGCTGTACCGTACTGCGATACACGAATACTGCATCACTGCTGCCTATATTTTATCAAAATGAAAATTGTGTATCAAAGTGTATGGAGTCCTCGACAGTGCTGTACAGTACTTCTGATTCTCCCCAGGGCAGGGAAAGAAATACCGGGACTGACAGTCGACCAACTGTGGAACGCGAAGCAAACGTACGACTCTGCATTCCATCCCGATACCGGCGAGAAACAGATCATCGTTGGGCGCATGTCAGCTCAAGTACCGATGAACATGATCATCACAGGCGGCATGTTGACTTGGTACAAGTAAGCTTCCAGTCATTTCAGTATATTCTCAGTAGAATGTCACACGAAGAATAGTACGATTTTTTGAAGGTGAACTAACCTTTACGTCTCGCAGAAATCCCAGCACCGTGATTTTCTGGCAGTGGACGAACCAGTCCTTCAACGCGCTCGTCAACTATACGAACCGATCCGGAGCCTCTCCCATCACGATGCAGTAAGATTCTTTCTTTCCGAACGTCTAAAAATGCAAGTACCATTCGACCGACTCCTTTTTCATATGATTTATCTTGCAGGAATCTAATCCTTCCACACGAATTGGCCAATAACCCATGCACATTATATACATCGAAATTCCAAGCATTTAGTCTCTATATAATACCACCTTAGAACTCGTTCATGGAGAGAACTTTAAACCAAGATGTATGTTTATGCGATTATTAAACAAGGCACAGTTTTCGACGAGAGCGATATTAGGTCCAGCAAAAAAACATGGTAAAAAGTAGTACGTGAGATCATTCGTACTGTACGAACTCCTTTCACGAGAGCTCGCACCATACTGTCCCACTTCCAAGATGGCTGAACAGAATGCTTTGATTGGTCAACTCAACTTGATCGAAGATGCGTACGCTAGCAGCGACCTCTCTGTGTTGGGCCGCGTCTGCCATTGGTGTTGCTGTACTGATGCAAACTTGATCAAAATCAGAGTCATAATGTTTGCAATTTTGATTGGGCAATACTTTTAACATGATGTAGCACGCATGACAATTTTGATTTTGGGGTAACTTTTTGGGCAAGAAGGGATTGCGATTGGGCAAATTGCGATTGACAACTCTGATGGTTCTTCTTCAGTATTCAATTGGGTTCCAACAAATTCGAAATTCATGCTGATCATGCATAAGGATTGGCCAAATGTTTTCTTCATCTTGAACTAAAGATTAGCAGAATGCACAACAACATTGCTTAAATTCATATTCCAGCTTAAATAAAAAATTTTTAAATAGTTTGCAGGGATTAGGAAGTGCCTGCGATGTCCATACTGATGTCAGCCAACTTCAAATTTTTGAGGAAGCTGACAGAACTTGAAGCCAATCTCTAACATCACCATGATAAAATCATTATTGCATTCTTTTTTTTCTTTTTGTACATTGGAGTAGCTTCTGAGATTTGCAGGCTATAAGTCTTGAGAATGGATATGCATCAGTAGTTTCAGCCGCGCCGCGAAAATAATTTTTATAATTCGAGCAACGAAACCTTGACGTGAATCTTGAAATTTTGGACATTTAAAAGTTGAATTCTTGCTTTCCTTTTGTCGAAAAGGGGAGGAGGAACTGTGTTGTCAAAAATTAAGATCTGGGATACCCATTATATAATTTATTTTGTATACCCAGGCAACTTGGCTTGAGTTACGCTCTCGCGACCACGGCGGCAATGACCACAGCTCTGGGTCTCAATCGTACCGTCAAGGTGAATTAAATTTCATTGAACAAAATAAATTCAAAGTTCAAAACGCTTATTTTAAAACATTCCAGATGTTCTCCCCATTGATCGGGAGATTCGTGCCCTTTGCTGCCGTAGCAGCTGCGAACGCGTTTAATATCCCTCTGATGCGTCAGAAGTATACAGCCAAACTTAATCAAAAATATGTATTCGGAAATTTGTAGAACATGTTTTCTGATATAGGGAAATTTTCTCCGGGATTCCAGTGCTAGATCAGGATGATAATCCCATCGGTGAATCGACTGTGGCAGCTCAAGAAGGAATCCGTAACGTCGTCATCAGCAGAATATTTATGGCGGCGCCCTCGATGAGTATGTCCAATAATTTATAAATATCGCTTGAAAACTATGGCACGAAAATATCATCCGAAGGAAAACTTTGACCTCGATACTAGATCAAAGTTTTAAAATAATCTCCCCATTCCATATCTCATCTTCCATCCGGCGAAAAAGCGCGAGTATACTGTACATCAGATTAAGTGTTAATAATTATAGTAGATTAAAAAATCTAATAAAAAACCTCGTTTTTCAAGTAAGACTAAAAAGCACAAAAAAATTTAGTAGAAAATTTTTTTGTGCTTTTTAGTCTTACTTGAAAAACGTGTTTTTTTAGATTAATTTTTTAATACTATAATTATTTTATTCTTTTTAAAAAATATTCTTATAATTTTTCTTTTCACAAAAGATTGCATTTTCATCAGTTTCTAAGCTATCCTGAAAGTTTCAGCTTGCTAGCTAGTTGGGAAGTGAGCAAAATTTGAGTTGCAAAATTTGATCAGGACAAACAAACAGACAAGAAAGCAAGTTAATAAAAATGTGTTAATTAAAAATGTTACAGTGTAAGTGGTATACAGTACTGTAAAAGATCAATACGCTTGAAGGATCTCCGGGTGTCAGGGTAGATATTAGAGGTGAAGCGGTTTTCATTCCTCGCTCCAGTGGGAATCCCCGTCGTGATGAATCACCTAGAGAAGAAAGGAGTACTAAAACGGTACCCGTGGGCCAACGCTCCTCTCCAAATCGTGCTCTGTGGAGTGGTCCTCGTTTTCGCTACCCCTCTCTGTTGTGCCTTGTTCCCACAAATGTCCTCCATTGCAGTGACGCGTCTTGAGCAGGAACTGCAGGTCCCCGCGTGGCTTCTTATTACGTCCTCCTTTTGACAGCGCGTCATCACCCGCAATGGGTTCCTTTTCTTCGTGTAGGAAAAAGTGAAGAGCATGAAGAATCCTCCAGTGTATGTCTGGTATAACAAAGGCCTATGACGCGGAGGCAAAACAAGTATGGCGATTTCGCGAGGGAACAATCTGGCCATCGTTCAGGAAGAACCGCGAACTCATCATCAGCCTTTAAAGATGAAATGCACATGAGTATTATGCAGTGGAAAAAGTGGCACATGTGTTTCCGAAATTGAATTCTTACCTTACCGTAACCGGGAAATATATGCAAGTGATCATTGAAAAATAATTGCTATTATATTCGAGATGGTACCTCTTATTCGAAAAAGGGGTTTGAACGAATATAGAAGCATCACAAATACTGTATGCATGCATAATAGCCTTTGTCAAGAACATTCATGCGTATATGGAATCGAAAAGTGATGCCCGACGTCTTGCGTCCTGATAAATATCAGATTTTTGCATTAAACCATTATAGACATAAAAATGGAACGAATTTCCTAAATCTACTGAGATGTTATTTCCTGAGAATATAACACCGATTCTAAGATTACCGCGTGCAACTCACGAAACTCTATATGAGTAATAATTTAATTTTCCCTTGTTTGACCTTATCTTGAGAATTTCGAAAAAAGTTAAACCCATAAGAGAATACTTTTAAGTTACGAAGAACTATTGAGATAAATGAGATTGAGAAACTTACTTTCACTGTGAAGGAGCAAACGAAAAAGACGAGGCGAGAATGTGAGATTCCCCCGCTTTTCAATACTGTATAAGATGATATCACAAAAGCAACTTTTTAAAGAAAGGTGATGTACCGTGACCTTTTACGTTGTATATTTAATGAATGATGTTAAAATGTTTTTTTAATACTTCGACGAGTCACTCGAGCGGCGCATACGGTGTTAGGTTCCGTTCTTCCGGGTACATTCGCATAACCACCTCAAACTGAGGCTATGTAACTCCATTCTATATGGAGATGTTGATGTGAGAAGGATTCCAGGACCGACGCTGTGCGGCGCAAATCTGCGCCCGCGTGAGAACCACATGATGGAGATATGAAAGCTGGGATATTTCTTCGGGCCAACGAGTACTAGAGCAAAAAAATAGATGTTCGGGAATAAATAAAAGACGAGATTGATCAATACTGTCGCCGTGACAGTCAGCGAAGCGAACTCGTTCTCACAATAAGTCTGGCCGGTGCGATACCGGGCAACTATGTGAGCTGCTCTCTTATCCTGAGTGACTTGACTCAAGTGTTTATATTTGAAGTTGTTTTTGTTTTAAATTCTGCTTGTTGAAACTCGAGACGGATGGTTGCGGTGATTTAATTAAGCGAACCAAGACGGAAGACGTCTTATTTTCGTTTCACTAGCGCGTTATCTATGTGACCGCAATTTCAACCAAATTTATGCGAAGATTCCGTATTTTGCTGGAGTATTTCGTATCACGCTTCATTCACCTACCATCATGTGAGTTTGGAGAGCCTAGGAAAAGCGAAAATACAACAGCAATTGGAGATCGGAGAATATTCAGGATGATCTTAAAATAATGTATTATTTTATGTATTATTTTTTTTAAATAATGTAAACCTCTTCAAGTTGAACTCAAATAAGGAAACACGGAAAAATTAGTAAGCGAGATTTCCTGACAGAAGCAAGCGTTTTGTTGAGGGGAGAAGAAAGAAGAATTACAGGAAATTTCAATTGGTGATATTCTGAGCTTAACATTGCTTTTCAAATGAGTTTGAAGGATGCTGAACTTTGAGGCAAGGGTTTATTTGCCCAAGTAGTCTTTCACTTCCTTTAAAAATGCATTGTTACATTTTTATTGTTTTTTCTCTTTCCTGTTTCAAATAAATAAAAGCCAAAAGGCCTCCAGTAAATTTGAAGTATGGAGGTTTGTGCGGAAACGCATTTGCCTTGGTTAGGATTTTAATGCCTAAGGGAATCCAGACAGTGATTTTGAAAACAATTAACAAGGGGAGATATTTGACTTAAACAGATTCTAATTATTGAGTTCAATAACCCTGGTTTATGGAAAAATCAACTGAAAGCAGAGTCCATTTTATATTTTGCACGGAGGCACATTTGCTTTCGCATGACTGTCCAACTCATTTCCTGTGACGCAGCGAAGTGAACCCTCTGTCAGGAATAAGGAATTTTCTTTGATGAAGGGGAAGAGATCTAAACGAAGATCACAGACGAGCGTTCTATATATCGACGAGGCTATGCTGTGACACCATCCTGGCCTAATTTTATTTTTCAGATTCAATTCAATGATCTGACACGATCTCTTGCATAATTGCACTAGTAAAATGCTTTTAGAAAATCGACATCTACCTTCTTTTGAAGTTACCAATGTTGAATTCACTTCGTGCAAAGTTGCACATTGCCCTCAAACCAGTTCTAAGAGATAAAGAGGCATTCTTGAAATTTCTTACGTTTGACTGAAGAGAAAATCACCAGCATACAGTGCTCTCTATAATGAAGGCCACAACGTCGTAAATCTTCTTGAGTGAAAAGTTCCTTTTTTCAACGATCCCCTTCTGAAACGATTGATCCCAGCAATCGAAAAACAGAATATGAGAATGAGACGGCAAAAATGTGATACGAGTTCAAACCCTGAAACGATTTTTCACTGGGTCATTTCGTATGAAGTATTTTTTGAATTGCTGATTGCTGCTGTTGCAACTGCAATTCTCGAGATTCATGAACAGCAGTGGACCGACTTTTTCTTGTGAAAAGTTCTGATAAAACACTGCAAAACGTGACAGCCAATATTTCGTGTCGGCAATAACACTTCAATTCCCGCGACGATGGCGCGGTTTGATGATTCCGTGTTGAGACGTAAAGTCAGCCAACAAGAGTCGCTCGGGAAGAATCCGCTGTCGCACTCCGCGTACGCATTCTAGCGGAAACCGGGGCTCGCGGTGCACAGCGCAAGCCCCGAATGAGCTCTTCAAGACCTTGGAAGCATCCGGTCGAAGGTCGGTTGAACTGAGACAGCACCTCTTCGCTCCAGAGATCCACGACCGGTGCTCGCTGCCACTTCGTGAAACTGAAATGGAGGGAGGGAAAAAAAACGGTAGAATTTCCGGAAGGTCCCCCCTTTCTACGTGTGTATATATACTGCGTGAAAGATGAATCTCATCGTTTGTGGCGAAAATCTTGCGTGATTCTCAGTTCCATTCATCATCGTATAAGCAAAGAAAAAACTACGCGCTTTCCTGTTTTGAGAACGTTCAAAAGCTCTAGGGTGGACAGATGATTTGTTTTCGAATCTTGTGGAAAGTGTTAACATTCCGCGAACTATGAACTTGATGAAGGTTTTCGGGAGTTTTAATTACTCTAACTTCAATGATGTAACGTACCGCTCACATTTCAAATACAGGACTTTTTCATGAGTATCATGACGCATACATTTGATTGGGATTCTTCGTTTTTTTCTGCATCGCAATTTTCTTTCATGTTGTTTGAGATGAGGTATACGATTGAACGGAAATATGTGAGGGCTTCACTGCTAAACTTAATTGATATCAAGAAATATCCTCGGATGACGTGTCGCGGTCATAGAGTGTCCGTCAGCAAACAGCTTGAGGACGAAAAGAGAACCTTCATTGCTTATTGCGCTCCAGAATAAAATTTGAATGAACTCTCCCGGTTGAATTAAAATATTCAATCATTCATAGATTCGAAAGACTTCGCTACTGTAAGGTCGAGCCTACTTCCTACTCAGACTCAAAAGCTTCGTAACTCATACCTGCAGCCTTACATTCCATATCTGTTTTTCTTCGATCGAGTGCAATATTATATGTTTTTACCATTACGGTCTTTCAGTTGGTGCGTTCACATGTACGATGTGAAGCTCGGAAGTGTCGCTTGTGACTTCGTTTCATTTCCCACTATAGCAGCTATAGAGCTGTCGCAGGTTTTACGCGGGTATATCTGTTTGAAATATATACGATATTACTCTTAATTATCCCGTTAGCGTATCCATTCCTATCCCAGGAGACGTTTTCTGTGCTGAACTAAGTCGTAAAACCGAGTTGCGTCTGATCTGATGTTCTGCTCGCATGCATGAAGTGGGGAATCTCCGATTCCACAGATTGATAGTCGAAGTAGAGACCGTGTAGAAAACAGTGCTCGCTACAAGAAGTGTTCGAAGGAATGGGACAAGATGAACGGGATGGAAGTGCATTGGTGGATAACCATTCGCGGATCAATATCGAAAAACCCAGATGGGATCAGAGCAATTATTGGGGTCGCGCACAACACTTCTTCGTGACTACGAACCCTCTGAACCTTCTGAAGACCAACGCCGATCTCGACCGTGCTCAAGAAATTGTGACTAAATATAAGTAAGAGAGGCAACCGTGTTTATATATTTTAGCAACAAACAAAGCTGCCCTTATATTAGTGAGGCAGAATTTCCACATTTTGTCGATAATGCATAATTGTAGCTCGTTTTCTCTAATGAAAACGATTTTGCTTGCGATAATCATTGCGGCCTATCACGAGAGGAATTATGCAGTTCCATCCGATTGCGATAAAAAGCTTTATTGTCAGTTAATGAGTTTAGCTTGATGTGTTGTGAAGGTTAACGTTCGATGAACTTAAATTTTCTCAGCTTCCAATACGTTATTGTGCTGTGCATATTCACTCAGAATTTTCGAGGTAAATCAGTGTCTCAAATCTTCTCGGCTGTGCATAAAATTCCGTCTTGGCGGGGTTGAAGGATAAAGGTAAAAGTTCGATGCGTATCGTATAATGCAAATAAGATCTCGATAGCTGGCAGAAGTTCCATCTGGATACGATCATTCCTTTTCCCCGCATCATTCGTTTGACTTCAGGAACTTAATGTACTGATTACAAAAGTTGCAGCGGAAAATCCCACGATGACTCAGCGTAAAATTGCACTGTGACTGTAGTGACATGTGGGGCTAGTCTCTTTTTATCAAGCAAGAATGTTCTAGTAGGAAAAAAAAACTTATTCGTCATCGAAGTGTGGCCTTAATACTGACGACTTCACCAAAAATAATATTTCCCCTTGAATTCGTTATACATACTGGATATAGAAAACAGAAAAAGCAAGTTTCCTATATCTTGAGATGAACTATTGTATTGTGCCCAACATCTATACCCGCATGAACTTATTGTTGTCTCATTTCGCAGTAACATTTAGGACATCCTATGCTTTCACTTATTATGTCTCCTTCGGGTTCAGTCAAATATTAAAATAAATTGTCTCGATGCACACAAAATTCCAGAAAGCAAGAAAAATTACCTGGTGTGACGGTGGACGAATTATGGAAGGCGAAACAAGTGTACGACTCGGCATTTCATCCCGAAACGGGCGAGAAAATGGTCCTCATTGGGCGCATGTCCGCTCAGGTGCCCATGAATATGTTGATATCAGGGTGCATGATGACGTGGTACAAGTGAGTAAATCTTTCATTCGTTCAATGGAAACATGTATTGAAGAGGAGCCAACTTTCTAGGACCACAACAACCGTGGTTTTTTGGCAATGGATCAATCAGTCGTTCAATGCACTGGTAAACTATACGAATCGAAGCGGCGACGCGCCCATCACTGTTCAGTGAGTTGTTGACGTTTTCTGCACGTAAACAAGTTTTGTTCATCGCGATTTCTCGATTTCATATTTTTTTCGCATTTAAACAAAATAATATGAAAAATTCTTGGTACAACACGGTACGCGGTATTTATAATTCAAGTTCTTGTGAGAAAATTGAAAAAAGTGCGACTCACAATAATTTTTTTCATTAACGAGGTCATTTTTAAATTATCAAAATCTCTACGATTTTTCGGATTGAATTCCGATTTTGTAATGCTCCGCACGAAAAATAATCCAATTTACTGCATGGTGATAAGTGGAAACTTTCCAGTTATAGCCAGATTTCTCAAATTTTTAGTACTTCGTGGAGAACTCGGGCTGCAATTGTTGAGTTTTCATTTATTGTCATGCAGTAAATGGAAACACTTTTTTTTTAATTCTAACAGAATCCGAGAACATCATGGGCTATGTCACGTTTTTTCTTCTTACTATCACACCTCCTTTAAAAATATTAAAGGTCGCGTCCAACTGGGGAAACCCTCGTACTAATAAAATTTTCTTGCTCAAAAGTTCCAACGCTTCATAAAACAGATCCAGACTTATACCAGGTCCTCACTTCACAGTCGACTTTATAGTTGTATTTAAAATTTTAAATAGCTTTCCTCTTAAATGATGATCAAGAATTATCATTTAATTTTGAATTTCTACTAAAAACCAGTTCGTCGTTCGAAGTCGATGTTCATATAGCTTCTCAAAATGCTCTTTTTTCACTTAGGCAACTGGGAACTTCTTATGCCATGGCTACGACTGGCGCTGTAGGAACTGCATTGGGACTCAACAGAATGGTCAAAGTAATTGTCGATTTTCAAGGTCAACATATAAATAATCTGCTAAAATGCAGTGATTGTCTTGCAGGTAATGCCGCCGCTGATTGGCAGATTCGTGCCGTTCGCGGCCGTTGCAGCGGCCAATTGTGTCAATATTCCAATGATGCGACGGAAGTACGTGAATAAATTGCATTCGATATTTTGATTATTTATTGCTCTCATGCGATGAATTGGATCAATAATCTTCAAATCTAAATTTTCAATATTCTTGAAAAATCCCGCGAGAGGAAACTAACTTATGTAAGTTTTTTGCTGCCATTTTATGTCGCCATCGTGGAAAAAGCTGGCTAACATTTGCGAAGCCGTAATACCAATTTAGTGAGCCAATATATTTTCATCTCCATGTAGAAATTTTTGCAAGCACTCCTACTAACTTCTGTCTTCATTGGAAATCGTAAGATCATTTTTGCATTCGAAAGGTTTGCAATTCTGACGAAATCTTTCAATTTGAGAGCGCAAACTTCGTAAATTCGAGCTATGGGCCACGTTTTAATTTTTCTCAGTTAAGAATTTTTTTTATTCCACAGAGAGCTCAGTGAAGGAATTCCCATACTCGATAGCAATGGAAACAAGCTCGGGATGTCAAAAATTGCTGCTCGAGAGGGAATAACAAACGTTGTGATAAGTCGAATCGCCATGGCTTCTCCTTACATGAGTAAGAACGAATCTTCAATTGAGGCGACACCAGCCTGACGTTCGAAAATTTGAGAGAGAGAAAGCAGAAAAAGAAAATTATGTTCACTGCCAGTCTCTTTCCGTCACTGTTACTTTCGTTTGAAAATGGGTACAGATGTTTGCATTATCCATTAGGATGATGACACAGTTATTCTGAGAAATCATCTGATCTTGAAATTATTTTTCTATTTTGATTGTTCCCAGTTCTTATTCCAATCTACATGAATCGTTTGGAGAAGAAGGGCTTCCTGAAACGATACCCGTGGTCCAATGCTCCAATTCAAGTTGCTCTCTGTGGCCTCATTCTGACATTTGCGACTCCTCTTTGCTGCGCACTTTTCCCGCAGCTTTCTTCGATTTCGGTTTCGAGTCTGGAACCTGAGCTTCAGGTATAACCTTCAGTCGATTCTCTATGTACAGTACAGTACAGTACTTGCATACTATTCTTCACATTCCATGTTAACTTGAGTATTGAGTACCACGCGCCCTCGAGCATGATATGACGCGCACCTTAAGCTTTTTGGAATGCAATTTTCCTAGAAGTGTAAACCGCTTAAGAAGCGCACCCCAATTTTACCTGTTTGAAAATCTTATTTTTATTGCCAGTATTACGGTATTTTGAACAAAAGCATCCCATGAATAAATATAATGGAAGAAAGCAGTTGAACTGGATTTAAGCCCAACAGAGTTTCATGTTTATTATTCGCCCCTGCAAAGCAATCGATTTATTCGCGCATCAAGAATTTCTCAAAATTGTTTGCTCCAGTAAATGAATGCCCTCATACCCCGCGCACCGCACCTTCTGTCTAGATTTTGCTGAAAAAATGTGTGCGTGGTACTAGATTGAATAAACGGGTAATCGTGGTGCATTTTTACAGGATCAAATAAGCAAGTCTCCGAACGCTCCGACGACAGTGTTCTACAACAAAGGGCTGTGAGGACGAATATGAAGAGATGTGAAACGTCAGGAAATAAAAACCTGAGGGTTCAGCAGCAGGACAAGAACTCGACTTCCGTCCTGTTTTAGAGGCATTCCTTGAATTCGAACCGTGTCATGGTTACGTCAGCAGCTTCTTTGATCCCTAGTGCAGATGACTGAAATCTGAAGTAATAAAGCCAGTGTTTTGTTCAAATCTGTCGTGACCTTCGTCTTTTCATAATCCCGTATCTGTGTCTTCTTGCCCCAGAAATTAAACGCTCCGCTCCTATGATTAAATCAGGGAACGTTTCGGAATTTACAGTGTTCCACCTTCTCAAGCAGCAGCTGATTCCGGGATATAGGGACTTCATTCCGTTGAGAACAGTGATTGTTACACGGATCGGAAGTAAAATTGAAACCGTATTATTCCGAGATCAAGTGCAGCTTGTTGAAGCATCGAGAAAAAAGTTGAAATTTTGCGCTCGTCATTTTATGAAATTCATGTTCTAATAAAGAATCCCTAGTTGTTTGCAATTTTGAGGTGCCTTCCTCTGATGCATTCACTTGAACAAAAACAAAGAATTAGTTAGCTAAGCCAAACTTCCTTACTTTCACAACTTCATGATGAATATGCCAGATATACTCATTCGATCAAAATGGCACATCAAGAGAAATAACCATATCTTTATTGGAAGCTCGCGTGCTACAATAAGGCATTGACAAACCATCAAAATTGATTTCAACTTCTGCCGTTTTTTGTGTGAATTTAGCATCATAACCGATTTTAAAATTTACTTACCGTATTAAACAACTACAGTTCTCGTCAACTTGAAAAATACCGCTGTAAAACAAGTAGCCAGATTCTTTTTCGGATTTGCTCATTTATTAAAATATGAATTAATTTAATGTATGTAAAGTTTCGGAACATACATCAACTTCATGCGAGTCACCTTGAAATCAGAGAAAAAATACATCTCCGTGGTATATTTCTTTGAAACGTTAATCAAATTAAAATTACCGGCTCAGCAATTCATTTCGTCTTGGAAAATGATGGAATTGGAAGCCAAATATTTCCTTCTTCACATTATGAAAATTGGAAAGCCTTCTAGTTTTATATCGGGATATTCTGGATGAATGAAGGGTTTAAGATTCAATGAATGAAGTTCCTTCCATGAGCCGTCGACATCACGCTGCTGAAGAATTGCATATTACTGATTTTTGAAAATGCCGTCATCGGACATTTTTCGCGAGAATTAAGTTTTTCACCATAGTCCTTGATAAATAAAGATTTAAAAATACTTCGTCATAGTCCTATAGTCGCGTATAAGAAAGATAGAGAAGAAAGTCAGTCCGAAGTTCACAGATAGATTGCAATAGATAGCCCAATGCACTTTGATCCAGCACTCGCCCGAATTCTGTGATCTACACGCACGGATCAAAGGTGTCACGTTATCAACACCTCCAAGAAGAATTATCTGAGATTTTCAGAAAAAAATATTTACTCGTTCTGATATGCATCACGAACGTTCCAGAGGAAATTTCAGTACAGCTCCCCAACGCATCGTAACAGCACGGAAAGCGCGGAAGTTATTTTCACAAAAATCGGATTTACGATCCGTGAATTTTCATTTTTACGAGAAGTGAGTCAAAATCAAGGTTTTCTTGTCTCATTATTGACGGCTACACACTTATTTCCAGTATGAAGTGCTCAGCTATAATTAAGTGAATTCGAGATATTCGAGGCGGATTAGCTGTTCGTGGTGACTTTCATTTAGGTCCTTGAATCGCCACACTCAGGATGATGTACTCGCACAAACGTTACAGAATTAATATGGAAAGATATCAAGACAGAACATGTTTTTGAAAATAAAAACGTTCATAACTTCACAAAATGAATTTGTTGAGATATTTCCGCAACAGGTTGAATTACTAATGCATGGATGAATTTCTGGAAAAGCTTATACATTATATTTATACTAGATACGCACACTATTTCAGCACGGGGATGAAATGCAATTTAATGTACAGTACTGTAATATGCATCAGTTTTAGGCAACAACACATTTTTCTCCGCCATCAGAATCATTTGGTTGCAATTAAACCAAATGTGTTTCCTTACACAAAATACTGTAAAATATTTCTGTATATGACTGCAATTCTGCAAAATCACTTTTAAAGATGCCGAAAACAATCGAGCAGGATGTCACTGTAAGTTTCATGAGCTCGCAGTGTTGACCGCGCGAGGAGCATACATATTAAATTTGTTCGATTTAATCTTCCATTACACACTTAAACTGTACTCTATACAATTGATTAAATAATCATGAACATATAGAACGACGAAAAAGCGCGAAATCAACGTAGTACAGTAGATTGAGACACGGAACTCGCCTCATCTCCCGTACAACCTTCGCGGTTATCTAACTGAACGAATGGAACAGCATGGCATCTTGCGTTACGATATTCACCACGGCTCTTTTTTATTGATGCCTCTTGGCGAACTTGGTATTTTGCATATCCTGTTTGGGGAACAATTATGATGATGCAGAGTTCCGATTCGAGGGTTGAGCATTCGGTGCGGAGCCGATCATGTTCTTCGAGGCGGATCCGAATGGTTCGGCGTTGGTCGACGAACAACCAAGAATCAACATCAATCAGCCGCGATGGGACCAGAGGAAGTATTGGGGCCGAGTGCGACACTTCATGATCACCACCTTGCCCACGAATCTGCTGAAAAGCGACGTGGAATTGGATAAGGCCCAGGAAGTGGTGCTAAAATACAGGTGAGTTGATTACGAAAATGTCAATGTATTACGAACACGGTGAATCGTCACAGAACAGCAGACTTGCGGAAGTATTACAGTTAAACCTGTTATGAAGTTAAACTCGGACGAGACCTGAAAAAAAATTGGCAGGGGGAGTTTTCAAAACCATGCTGATGCACTTCTGCTGAAAAAAAAAATCATGGGAAAGTAAAATTCATGATACAGTACTGTATTCTAGAATCTAGATATCTAGCCCGTGCTTGTATGTCAATAACCTCTCTATTTGGGGTAGCAGCGCAAACCACCAAATTTCAACAAAAAGTTTTGCAGACCAGCAGATTTTTTTAAATACCTCCAATAAAGTCCTCCAAACAATACCTGTAAAGCAAAAATTAAGTCAAGAAACAATGAAACAGCTACATAGTGGAAAATGTTAAAAAAAAATTTTAAGCTGTGCTTCAAAGAAGGTTTCTCAGTATGAATGCTGTACTTGAAATAATTTATTGCAGTAGGTGAACATTTGTCAGAAGGGTTGTATGAGAAAAGCCGACTTTTATTTTCATTAGATAATTTCACCTATATACCATTGTCTTTCAAAAATTTCAGGTAAAGAACAATGATGACTTCAATACTTTAATCAGTTTATTATGCGGAAGAAAATTTCTCATGAAACATTTAAAAACTCTCTGATCTGCAGACCCACACAAGGGTCCATTCACCTTATTTATCACTTACTTCCATTTGAAAATCATTGTTACATTTGTATTGCTCTTTCCTTGGCCAAAAATGTTCACCCAAAGACCCCCAAAATTCCACAAATATAAAGGAGTAAAAAAAGTCTTTGAGTTATGAAAGAGGTCTGCAGATCATTTTTTTTTACAAAGGAATTCAAACAGGAACTAATTTTTTTTTACATAGACAAGCTTTTCACTTAGAGCGTGAGTTAATGAGGTCCCACTGTACTGTACAGTATTAGTAAGTTCAAGAGGTGTTACAATTTCTAGATTGTTAGAATAACTATTTTTTCTTTGCAATGAAGACGTGGCGAGAAGCTACCGGGAATGACTGTTGATGAGCTATGGCGAGCAAAGCATACCTACGATTCCGCTTTCCATCCCGAGACAGGAGAAAAACAGATGTTGATTGGCCGAATGTCTGCACAAGTACCATGTAACATGGTGATCTCTGGCTGCATGCTGACGTGGTACAGGTGAGTTCAGCTAAAACATATATAATTCGTCACGACGATAAGATCCACTAATAGTTTCTCATGACCCAAAAATCATTGATTTTCGAGTCAGGTTTTCCTGAAGAAAAAAAAGGATTACTTAAAGAAAAGATGACCAGGAAAAAAATAGGTTTCGCATAACAACAACAAAATGTCGGACAATAAATGTGCATTTTAATGGCCGGAGTAGTCTTGCCTTCCTCGCGATATTGCGCATTCCAGGATAACACTCGGGAGAGAAGGCAGATTTCACAAGTCTGCTGTTCATATCTGCAGATTTACGATCGAATACACCTGATGCAAGGGGGGGATCGAATTTGCTTTCAGGTTCTTGACCTGAAAGGCCTATAATATACACGAGGGCATGGTCATAAGTTTTCTCAATGAATTCGAAAGGTTTTTTGATTTACAAAAAAGCTGTTCAAATTCCCGATATACTACTGTATTCTGTATCGAGCTATATCGTGTTAAGATATACAGTATTGTAAAATATTTAAGAGGAGGAATAGTAACAGAAATGAAACGCAATCATAAGCTGCATTTCATAAACCATAACGCAGTTCTAAAATTCATAAAATAGCTTCACGCGATATACGCGTGAACCCTTCCAAAACCAACGCATGGATTGAGTCAAGATCACAGAAGACGTGACACGTGCGACTTCCATTAATTGATGAATTGTCAAAATTTAAACTTATTTTCTCGTCCTTTTCATAAGGTCAAATGTTGCGGCATTTTTCTGGCAATGGATCAACCAATCCTTCAATGCTTTGGTCAACTACACCAATAGAAGTGGAAAATCTCCAATAACCAACGAGTGAGTTTCCTAGGAGATATACACACATCATACAATTATACCCTTCAGGATTTTAAATTTCCAACTGAACAAGCTTTATTGTGGTATTGAACTTCCGCTCATGCCTTTCTTTCACAGACAGCTTGCGGCATCTTATTTCTTGGCAACCAGCGGAGCAGTCGGTACAGCAATCGGATTGAACAAACTCGTCAGAGTAAGTTCGTCATCATCGCCAGTTGTGAATGCGAATGTACAACATTAAAACCATAACAAATAAACATCCCACAATATCATCGCGTTTCAGTTCATGCCACCTTTGATCGGAAGATGGGTTCCTTTCGCAGCTATAGCAGCCGCGAACTGCGTCAACATCCCGATGATGAGGCGAAAGTGCGTGTTTATGTTTTCCTATCCCGATGAGCTGGCTGCTGACACTCATCGCATTCCATTGTTCTTATTGGATGTTTTCAGAGAGATAACAGAAGGAATCCCGGTGCTCGATGATCATAGTGGAAACCCCGTGGCAGTCTCCCAGGAAGCAGCGAAACGAGGCATTTCCCACGTGGTTGTCAGCAGAATCGCCACAGCTGCTCCTCATTTTGGTGGGTTTTTTTGTTTGTTGGGAACATGCAGGTGGAGACTCTCTACAACAAATATCAGGAGACCAGAAAAATGATTGCAGGGAACCCCTAAAAGATGGGTCAGATGGGACTCAGACGAGAACCCTACTCTGATACCAAAAAAATATCTGCAATAAAGCGAAAAGTGTTGTAGAGAGAATATATACCTGTATACAGCAGAATATTGCACATGCAACGGTTGTCCCACTCCAGCATAACCAGGGAAAATCCGACAAGATTAAAAATTGAAAAACAAATTTTAAAATTTACTTTTAAAGCTCTAACAAGCACTAGCGATTTTTTCAAATTTAAAATAATTTTTTTGATTCAAAATAACTAAAAGTCCACATTGTGAATTAAAACCTTCTCATTGCCACCCTGGAAAAAATGTTGCAGGTTTTATGTGCGTATTACTAGAAAACTGTTTTCTTTTATTTGCATCAAATATGAGTAACATATACACAACACGTATCTCAACTTTTAAACTCGTGATAAGATTTCAACATGCTGTGAAAGGATTGGGAAACTCTGGCCATAAGAAAGAACAAAGAACTGAAAAAAGTTTTCACTTTTCCCTATGAGACGTCTATAATACAGTATCTGAAAAATTGCAAATGTTCAGAACACAATGAAAAATTGTTGATTACACTAACAATGTCAGATTATCCTTACCGTGCAGGAGAAAGACAACCCTCGTGACTGCCCAATGAAAAGCGATCCTATTGAATTGATTAGGCAATACCTGACAAATCCAAGTATAAAAGGAAGGATCCACAACAATAACGATCATCACTCAGAATTCATAAAATGCACCACGACGGCTCTTTTTCTTCAACTATACAACCAAAACGGGTTCGAGAGATCAGTCATGAACTCTTAAATCGAAATGTATTGCATAAATTAAGAGTAAAGTATATCGATTTCGCGATTCACAACCGCGTTTCTCATGAAGAATGTACGTATTTCCAGTGCTCCTGCCGATCTTGATGAATCATCTGGACAAGAGAGGCTTTCTGAGACGCAACCCGTGGTCAGCTCTACCGATTCAGTTGGCAGGAGTGGGGTTCCTTCGATCTTTCGCAACCCCGCTGTGCACGGCATTCTTTCCACAAATCTCATCCATCGAGGTCTCCAGACTCGAGCCAGAAGTTCAGGTGCGTGGACTTCTTGCTTCCGCAGCATCACCGCATTTCTCTGATGCAAATGAACATTTCAACCTTCTTCATTTAGGAAGTGATCAGAAAACTGGAAAACCCCCCGGAAATCGTCTACTACAACAAGGGTTTATAATAAATTGGCTGGGAAGTGCTTGTACCGCAGTGTTCGTGAATAAAGCTTATGATTCGTGCTCTTCATCATTTCAAATTTTGTTACGCGGATTGCATGCTTTACTATAGTTACGTGTAAACGTTGAAGAATAAAAGCTGTGCGATTAATCAGAATTCAGCAGCATAGTCATCTCAAGTTGAATTCTGCTTAACTCCAGGTATAAGCAAATATTTTAAAATTGGTTTCAGCACTTCAAGTTCACCTCACACGAGCATGTCTTGATGGCAACCACAGGCAAATGTCAGGAAGAAACGACGTATCGGAGGGAAAAATAAAACTTTCGGGTTAGCGATGTCCGACAACATTCACGAACATGCTGTATACCAAAACAATAAAAAACTCTTCCAAAGTTCATTCTTTCACGACGTCATTTTTCAGATCACTCATAAAGCTGTTCAGAACAATCCAACGCGATTATATAAACGTTGAAAGCAAGTTGAAATTGCAAAATCATAAAACCCCGTTTCAGAGAATAGTCACAGCAGAAATTCAGGTCGGTAAAGATTTTCGTAAATTCTCATCATCCCTTACGAATAGCAACAGGTGACTTGTGAGCCATCGCAGCATGTTGTTGGACCTGGTACGCTATGGGATGTATCTTGAATCCGAACAACCTGTCGATGTGAAGATCGTTCAACCGGACACATTATTACAGCTAGAATAATATAAAGATGAGGTACTGCAGAGTGCAGACGCATGGTACTGTAATAGACACGAGAATATTTATGATGCCGTTAAGAGCTTTACAGTAACATGCCTCATATAGCGAAGGCCCTTCTGAATACAAATTAAATTCTCGGAGTTTCAGTCTCAATGTCTCTACACTATAGACAGCACGAAAATTTCCCGCGTCGAAACAATTTGTCCGATAACTTTTAATTTTAAAAATAAATAGAAAGCTTTCTCGTATCGAAAAAGCTAGTACAGTACCAAAATACTGTAAAATCGTAATTCACTGCCAAATCTGGCACGTCATTGTGAATTTTTTCGAGCATTTTAGCGAAATTGTGCGAAGAGTGCTGCATGGTGATCCGGGAAAAGTCAACTTATTCATGAGCGGTCCTCCGATGGAAGCTCAGGGTCAAATAAGTGATTGAAAATATATTATCTTCGGGAAAATTCCTTCATTATTTTTGAATCCATTATCTTACAAAAATGTAGGAGTATTGCAGGAATTGATGTTTTTAGGACGGATAATATTTAGTTAGCTAAGGCATTGACGTACAATATTTGATCTTATATCAAGATTGCAGACTGAAACGTTTAACGTACACACTTACTGTGGAAGTTGTCGTTGGAAAATATATACGAGTACATATTACGATCTTATTTCTTCAAAAATATTTTCAGACAAAAAAATTATCCAACGTGAAACAAGGTCGTATATACTTTCTGTTCAGTCCTGGGCGAAAATAACGCTATGTCTGAAGTCTTTTCACGGAAATTTAAAATTCCGACGAATTCTACCATATGAACTATATGGAGACTCGCCACCAAAATACGCGCTTCGAAATAACCCTTATAGTTGCTAAAATACAGTCTATACATAAAGCCAAAGTACTTTTAAGAATAAAAATTCAATAAAATTGGAATATGCAGCCGAAAGGCTTAAAGTAAAAATTGGAAACATCCAGGGACCAGCAAAAAATCAAGTTATGTAGGTTTCGAGTTTAGCAAACACTAAATTTTTTGAGGGTGAGAGAGAAGAATTACAGAAAATTGTAATCGGTGATTTCTGGGTCTTAAATTACTTCTTAAATGATTTGACAGGATCAAAGGATGCTAAACTTGGAGGCAATAGGGTTAATTTGCCCGAATGGTCTTGCTTTTCACTTAAAAAAAAAAAAGAAGCCGTAAGGCTCCATGGACTGAAGGAGGTTTGGAAGGGAAAGATTTCGATTTAGGGAGGTTTTTAATCCATAGTTTGTGAGGGAATTCAGAGAGGGACTTATTAAAAAATTCGGCGCGAGTTGTCGAGATTCAACTATATTCCATGGATACTCGCCTCGCAATGTACTGGTTGGTAGGACGCTTCGGACGATATTCCGGATGAACCATAAAAAGTACATGTGGAAATCCGGTGCCGAAGAACGAACCGTCAGTATGATGATGTCTAGAACTTTTCGGGTTGTACACATCCATGCATTTAGGACAATATAGTTTCACCATAGCATCGCCGGGCACGTCAGATAATCCTATCGGCAACATGGGCTGGTTTTCACAGTAAACCCGAGGACAATGTCCGAAATCTCCGTTTTGGTACTTCTCAATCATTTGACCAAGTCCGTGTCCCGTAAGAATGAACCGTGCGTGAATCAGTCCGTAGAGCAAAATCGACGCCTGGTGGACCTGATCTTGTTGACTCGGAGCCAAGTCCAAGATCTCTTCCTCTAACGCAGCACATCAAACCGGGAAATTCGAGGAGCGAGTAGTCATGCATGAAACAAAATTAAGTACTAGTTTTAATCGAAATTGGAACGATCGACGGAGGCATGATGAATTACATTCATATGAATAACCGGCGGAACCCTATACAATCCTGAGATTTTCTGATCTTCCGCGATCATTTGACTACCGCGGCCGTAAGGTAATGTCTGCAGTCAGAAGTTTAAGAAAAACCAACTCATATTTAGGCGAAGAGTAAGTTTTCGTCGCATCAGCGTACGACGAATACATTAGTAAAGAACCAACCTGGCTCGGAGAGATCCAAAATCTTTGCCAAGGCGTAATGATAGTGAGGGACCTGTTCACTCAAACCGGTCAGGTTGAATTTGTCTTGAATGTAATCCTCATCCACCTCAAGTAAAATAAAAAAATATTTAAATTACGAACACATGAATTAAACGCTGAATTTTCCGTCACGGCACCTCGCAGAAGAACTCATTGCCTTTTAAACCACAGAACCAGGAAATCCAAGAATGCTCCTCAGAACTACTCATTCTCCAGTAGTGATTTGGAAGGCGATTAATGGAAGATATTTTTTTTCGAACTGGAACATCCAATTAAACTGCATCATCCAATGACACATCGCGATATTTGGAAAATAACGATGAAAGTTCGCATTGAGGAATTCTCGAAATCATTGCAATTTTATCGTGATTCTGCGAATATGCACTAACGCGTATGTTGCATATTTTACTTCATAAGACGAGGTTGCTTTATTAATCTCTGTCACCTGCCGGATGCTATGCATATCACGCAAGCATAAAAGAAACTTGAGAACATAAAAAACCGCAATACACGTGATAAATTATTCAATACATTGATACATTCAATACATTAACAATACTTTGATTGGTCAGATAATCAATGATAATCGCTGTTCGACTACTTCAGCTTCGCATCGCACCGTGCGACACTCCCTTCCTATACACAACACAGACTTTCATTTAATGTCTTCCACCATTAAAGAACAACTCCTTGGCGAAATGTAAATCTCCAACAAGATAAATCCCGTTTTTCAATAACAAAGATATAACGTAGATAAGCCCTTTAAGATGTGTCTTAAGTAGTAGAAAAGAGTAATAGCATAGATTAGTATCTAGCAAAGCAGAAAAGACCGGAATATATGCCCGAATTAGAGCTCGTCAGCAGGATTAACTTCAGCGCTTCGCCGTCCAGAAAAGAACCGGCAAATATGATCTTCCGATCATGTCGAATTGATAGTCGTTTCCGAACACTCTTGATCCATTCACCTTGGAAATGCACACGGAAGCTTCGGAAGTTTTGTCTTGTCACGTATAGCGAGTTAGCGACCCATGCTCAGATCACAGAAGACGAGAACTCATAATTCAGTCACATGAATAAAATCAACATACAGAACACATGTAACCGCAAAACCATTCTCAATGACAAAGAAGAGCTACGTTCTTCGTTCGGGGTCAGCGGAATCTTCCTAAAACTCCAGCTTAAGCCGCTGAGCAATATATTTACACGAATGACCAGCGAAAACCATCTGCAGCTATGCAGACGTTGAGACGTGAATTTCATGCACACCTTTCCATCGCGATTGAATGAGAGTTCGTGACACGTGCATACTGATTACCCGGACCTATGGTTCTGACTCACGGGTGTGGCAGGCATGATTATTGAGAGATTTGCAGCGCCTTGAAGTACTTTACAACTCCAACTAGTTCACTACGCCTCAAGCAGATGTCGCACATATGATCAGATCACAAACTGACCCAGAATTGTTTTCGTGACAATAAGAAACTGACACGGTAAAATTTGAAATAATGATGCACATACAATATTCTGTTGCACTTTTGAATAACAGGGAATGCGCCATATTCACTTCACCAGCACACGCATGCCCCGAACATCTGTACCTGAAACAGCAGATTTACAGTACTTTGATCCGTTACTTCTATTCAAGAGATGTACCAGCACAGGATTAATTTATGGCTTAGGGTTTTCACAGAAATGCTGCGAATGAACTATTTTTCCAGGAACCATCGGTAGATTTACTTTTCACAATCAAGTTGAATTTTGACAGAATAGAAAATATTGTCCTCAGCATTCAAGAAGATTTTAAAGCTGGTTAACGATTTTCATAACAAAGCAAATGGAATTTTTGAACACAAATGGAGCTCAATTTTCCAAGGCCTTTTCACTATTTTTTTACTGACACACACAAGAGAAATGTGTTGAAACGTGAAACATGTTTTAAAAGGAATTGAAAGACTAATTTTACAAATGAACACAGTCTTCCAAAAAGTTCAGCATCCTCTCAACTTATTTACTGAAATAAAAAATTTACTGCTTAGAATATCAGCAATTTATATTTCCTGTAATTATTCCTTTCACCTGAACAAAGATGCTCATATTCCTCATCACCCGATTTATTTTGTTGGTCTCTTTAAGTTTGACTTGAGGGTTGACTGTTCTGTACTTGAAAATAATAATTTTGAATATTGCTTCCTTGCTCATGCAATCAAAACTCCGAAGATTTGTAGGAAATAAAAAAGACATTTATTATTCTGCGAATAAAATTTCGTTTGGAAACAGCGGACCTTCATGAATTTCAATACTTAGGTACTAACTTTAGCGTGCAGGTAATTTCAATTCTCGAGAAGCATGCAGAGATTTATGACATACAATGAATAGATAAGAAAAGGTTCCAACTGCTTAATTGGAATTTCTTTATATTTCAACGTCCCGTGCAAAGGATGAGGGAAAATCGAGCCCGCATTCACGCGAAAGTCCACAAGAAACAAAACAAAATGTCCCGCTGAAGCGCAAAATTGTACTTCGAGCGCAATAAAATTCGAATAAAATAATACAAGGCGAGATGCGTGGAAAGAAACCACTTCACTCAACACACGTTACTCGAAAAAAAAAAAAAATTCAGCACGAGACGAATCTTTCGAGGCTAATCATACGAATTCGACCATTGCTTGGAATCATCGTTGTTTACCATTGTATGAGATGCTGCGCATCGGAGTTTTGAAATTCGCCGCAGCTTGCTGTTGGATCTGGTACGCAACTGGGTGAATCTTGAATCCATACAACCTGCGAAAATATAATTGAAACGGTAAATTTCAAGAGCCAAGTGAAATACGACGCTTCTGCCCATGTGAAACTCCGCCCCTTCAGGTGGCAAATGAACACTGGATCATTTTGATTAACGATCAAAACCAACAAGAAACGTAGAAAAAAAAAAACTGGGTGAACTGTGTAGAATATAAAGAGAGTGGATCACTCACCTTGCTATAAACTGATTCGCAGGGCGCTTCGGACGGTATTCAGGATGCACCATGAACAGCATATGCGGAAATCCAGTTCCGAAGTAAGCCCCATCAGTGTGATGATGCCTCGAGCTCTTCGGGTTATAGACGTCCATGCACTTGGGACAGTAGAGCTTCACCATGGCCTCTCCGGGCACGTCGGACAGCCCAATCGGCAGCATAGGCTGGTTTTCACAGTAGACCCGCGGGCAGTGGCCGAAGTCCCCAGCCTGGTACTTCTCGATCATCTGGGCTATTCCGCGGTTCGTCAGTATGTACCTTGCGTGGATCAGGCCGTACAGCATTTCCGCAGCCTGTTCCACTAAATCACTTTGATTCGGGTTGTCTTCCAGCTCTTCGTCTGCAAAAATTAAAAAAAAATCGAACATAAATCGCGTTACAAAGAATTACTGACACAAGAACATTCCCGCCCCTGATTACAATGCTTTATCCAAATAAGAAAAGGAAATCGTTGATTCCTTTGATACAATTTTCACACGTCGAAATCAGAAACAACGCCATCGGTTCCCCTTCGCAATTAAAATTCAATTGCTTCTCAGTGACTCATAGTATCCCAAAAAATCTATGAACAAATTTTAGCAATTCGATGGATTTTAATTTTTATAATGAAACGCACGCAGAAGTTCATTGAATCTAGTGGTGAATGCGTGAAGATTCGCATTAAACAATAAGAAATTCGAGGCATGGAAAAACTCTCGTACCAGTTGAAGTACCACTATCTTCCAGCACAGTAATGTTTTTTAAATAAGGATTAAAATTCTGTCTGAAATAGGATATAAAACGTCGATGGCAAGACACACCTAGAACAAAGTTTTGACTACCACGAGTAGAAAAAAACATAAGTTCATAACGTACCGCTTTCACGCTTACCCTTGCGAGACGTCTCCTTTCCCACCGCAAGACGGTAATTTCAATCATTCCAGCAGGAATATTTTTCAAGAACAGACTAAACGGACCCAAAATTCGCGCAGGTCCAAAATTTGTGTATACCAGAGGTGATTACAAAGAAATTGGTCTTTCTTTCGAGAGGACTAATCCCTAACCTCGCAAACGCTCATTACGTTCTGCCTCGTGACCACGCGGCCATTGCGATGCACGGTTTCGGGGCGGATTTGACCTTGATCGATCAAGTCGCGCGTTAAAAGGCATGTTCATGGCACCAGCACTGGCCATGTGTGATTGAGAGGACACTGTCGTCAAAACTACTGGATACGAGCTGCCACCCGCACCTTCGAACACGGCAGCAATGCTGATTCAGAGAAAATCCCGAGACATTTTCTCAAACCCAAGGCTGTGCAAGACTTTCAACAATGGGTTATCCATACTGGACCGCTAATGGGTGGTATGAAAGCCGCCAAACATAATCATATTTCACGTCGTAATCCGTATTAGAGAGAGGACAGGACGCCTTAGATTATATGTACCTGAATTTACTAATCTTTCGAATTGAAGAAATGGCTGTAGCAAATCTCGGACACACTTTCTTTAAAGCATGCGAGCATTTACTTTTTATAGATAGGACTGAGAAGTTCAAAAGCCGTTTAACTTAAGGACATCTTCCCAAACAATCGCACTAAAATGACCAAAATTGCACCACCTGTTCAGACACAACTTAACTGAGAACACATGAGAAAACAAATTAATTTTAAAAATGAACTTCTTACAAAGATACTCTGGTTTTAATTAGGGATTCGTAATGTTGTACCACGGTTTATAATGATCTCTTTCGGCCGTTTATGTTACATTATAATGAAATAATGAAATTGTAATCTAAACAGATTACATAGCGCATAAAACTTAGCCTTCGTAAAACGAGGAATTACGATAATTACAGTAAATCCTTCGCACGGGTACCAAACCAATCAAAATCATATAACATCGATTCCCTGACGGGCCATTTTCGGCGCGTCAAAATCGACAAATGCGTGTTACATTCGAAAAAATAGTGCGAATTTCCAGATAACGAAGTGCTCACCTGGTTCGAGATCTAAAATCATATCCAACGCTTGCCGGTAGTGCGGAACTTGCTCATTCAAACCCGTCAAGTTGAACTTGTCCTGGATATAGTCCTCATCCACCTGAGATTTCAATAAAAAAAATGTACGCATTCATAATACTGTAATGCGGGGAAAAGTGAAAAAATAAGTAAATCTGGTTCAGCATTCTAACCTCGCAGAAGAACTCGTTTCCTCTCAAACCGCAGAACCAGGAAATCCAGGAAACTTCCTCGGAGCTACTCATCTCTACGCCTTTGAACCTCTCGCTTTGTCACGAATTCACTCAAGGAATGGATAAACTGCCGGAGGTTCTACAGTGGAACCACGGGCTTGGTAACGAGCCCTGCAAATTTGGAACATCGAGAACTTCAGTCGGGAATTTTCTTTATTCAGACAAAAGCCCAGCAGAAAAGCACAGTGCAGGTCTACACAAGTCACGAGTGAAAAACTCTGTGCCACACGTCCATTATCGTACAAAAATCACTGGCCAACACGAATAAAATCAAAACCGTTTACGAAAAACTCATCAACCTTCGACTCCGCAGTTCCACGAAGAAACGCGAGGTTGAGAAATTTCACATCATTATATCTCAGATCTCTCACAGCGCGGCTTTCTTCCTAAACGATGAATTTCAAACATCGCGTTTCTTTGTGAACTTCAAAGCACTTCAATTGACAATATTTGGAACCACATGTGACGCAACTGTAACGCGCGAAAAATCCACAGACGGCGCATAATTTCGGAGATGGAATGCGGGAAGGCCCCGCTCGGGCAGAAGCGTAATTCGGTGGTTTCAATCCAACCGCCTGCAGTTCTTCTTCCAAAAGCATAGCAACGTTTTTCCGTGATTTCTGTTTCCAATAATCGGCAGATTTAGCGCCGCGGCCCGCAGTCGACCGCCTCTTCACCGACGAGCTCGAAGTATCTTGCAGAGCTTCTTCGAATTTCGGCGCTTTCTTGTGCATCACGAGATTTCCGTGGGGATCATCCTGGAAGTTATCCTGCTCGAGTGCTTCGAGCGCTCTTCGTTTGCGACGATTTCGCGTGGCTTCGTCCAAAACTTTGACTGATTGTTCTTTCAGTCGCGGCCCCTCGCGCACTATTGCAGTCGGCGTCGCGACTGCATCCATTTTTTTTTTCCTCGAAGAAATTACTTTGCGAACGAGTCGCCTGGGAAAGTATAAAATGAATGTCACGGAAACGAAATACCATTTCATATTGGAATTACTAGTAAACACGGAACACCAACCATTTGAGTCACTCCTCATGTTACGAACTTGACAGTAAGTTGCAAAGCGAACACCAAGAAGATTTGAAGATCACTGAGTGAATCGGATTTCCCGAATAATTAGTACCCTATGTAGATCCAAAATTTCACTAAGAAGTAGTCAAAGAAATTAACCATCGACACGGATGTCATTGACCATATCAACGGATGAGGTCCGAACGTGAGCGAAAAATCTTATTTGCCCAAAATTGTTTACTTCCCAGAAATCTTAGAGACTGTTTATGACAGCACTGTATGTTCAAGTTTATTCAATAATGGGAATGCTAGAATTTCAATAAAATTCGTCGTGAAAATCAACATTAAGCTTGGCATTTTTAGCTTCCCTACTCGGATCTAATGAATTATTTTAGACTCTGATATCGGCAAATCAGGAATGTACGCTTTGAAATTAAAATTTATAGCAGGTGAAACACGGAAACTAGGCTTAAGGAATGGGAAAAATAATAGCAATAGAATTCTTTCGGAGTTTACAAAAAAAAAGAACCAACATGCTCTTCCATGTTCATCATGATTAAAATTCGGAACAGCGATAAAAAAATATGAATACTTATCCTAGTGCAGGAGCATCAGCTTTTTAAAATGTGCACAACGGATTTGAAAATTGGAAATTTCAGGGGTTACTTTGAACAGTCAGACACCAGCTGAAAGAATGTCTTGAACCTCGTGGCGATTTTAGGTTGAGAAAAAAATCAGGCAAGATTTCTCTAGTCCGACCTTTTTTCAAACTTTCCGACCTCCACCTTTTTTCGATGGGTTCGAACTAAACTAGAGAAAAACATATTTCCATTCTTCAATACCACACGTAGAATGATCACAAATGTTTGGCGCAGAAACTTGGGAAGGCATCATTTGCAAAAGGTTACATTTGGGCACAAATTGCAATACTCGACCAAAACAACATCAACGTCCATCAGTCATCACAGTAAAACCGCCTCCGAAATAGCAATAGAACGGAATCGGATCGCGCAAATCGTTCACATGCAACGGACCGAGTCTGGCCGGTCCAAACTCCCGGAACTTCCGCCGTAATTATTGGCCGTTTCCGGGACGTGGCTCACGTGAGGCATGGGTTTTCCGGACTCGAGCCGATTGGTCATCTCTTCCAGTTCGCGAATATTACTCTCCGTCATCTCGTACTTGTGCGTAACAAGTTTCCGATAAAAATGAACAGCGAAGAGGAGGAAGACGATTACTATTGGAACCAAAAGGAGGCTGGCCGCCGACGCAGCAGCAAACGAGTAATCGTAAAAAATCACCCAACTAAGAACTGCGATTTCACACAGGAATAATATAATACCCAATACCGTCGAGAACGCCCAAGCCATTTCAATGTACCTGCAAAAAAAATAAGCACGAAACAAAACTGTTAGCGGATGAAAATACAGTAATCCGAATTTAGAAAAATATTTTATTATGATTAAAGTGTACCACAGCTCTGTGAATCATGTAAATAGACTTACTTTCAATGCAACAGGAAGTATAAAAAAATCTAAAATATGAACTCTTTCTGTTATAATACAAGACTTAACTGTGTTTTTTTTCTGAAGCAAATCAGGGAACAACGTCAGTCAAGACCGTTTCAATTAAGGCAATTATCCTCCATCTGAATGAAGATCGCACGGAGAGTAAAAATTAAATAGGCTTTAAATATTAAGCTTACATGATTAGCTTTCTTTCTCAACTCCACGTACAATATTTTTTAAACCCTTTCCATCTTCGACAGCGGCTAAAAATGATGCTGCATTTTAAAGATCTACGGAAATAAGTCCGCCCTTCAAAGGAATCAAAAAGTACTCCAGGGAAACCATTTTGCGAAATTTCAATAATCTCATGTTTGACCGATTGTGATTTTATAAATCCAGGTATACTGAGAGCGGAATTTTGGAGAAAACAAAAATACAACTACGCTGTTGAACCCACCAATGCATCCTCCAATGCGGAGACTCCGACACCGCAGCCAAAGACGGTATGGAACTCACGGCTTCCACGTTGGGCAGAATACAGGTACTGATCATCAACGCCAACATGTGAACGGCGACTAACAATGTGGTGCAAATTGCGAAAGTCACCAAAAGAAACTGAGGAATATTTTCACTCAAGTTCACTTCAACCATAGCAACCTGAACAGAAAATAGAAATAATTGAACCATTTATACAAGAATTCGTCGAAAAACCGTCACGAGGGAAACGTAAGAGAAGTCGTTTCTTTTTGTGGTTGGCATTAGTAGTCTCAATTTTCTCTTTAGTACCTGAGTTGATCTTGAATCGTAATTGTATCAAGTGGGTGGCAAACATGTATTGTAATTGATTAATTCAAAAAATGTAAATTGTCACACGACATATTCACCATTGCAAATCCGGAGAGTAAAGCTGACGTTCTGCTTGAAGCTTTGAGCTTCGCTCGAGCTAAATGCAACCGCTTCCAAGATAACATTCCTTGTTGCTGATCCGCTGTCTGAACCAAGCTCGTCGCCGACATTGCGGCCTAGGATGTCGATAGTCGCATTAGAAAAAGTTTAAAATTCGACAAGATGTAACTCATACACAACACGCTGTTTGAAAGAATCCCCAAAAAAATCTAGATTTCCTCAAACAGTCCCGATCACCGGAGACTAAAAATCTATCACTCACTACGGCCGAGACAACGCAAACGAAGACAAACTAGAGGGAACGAAAAAACGTCGCACTCACGAATCCGGGCGACTGCAAGGTTAGTAATGGTTGAAAAGCAGAAGACCTCATCCTCGTCAAATCCAAGAAAAGCAGAAACAACCAACACGGTCCTTCTCACGTAAGCAAAACGACTCGCCCAAAACCCAGCGTTAGCACAGAGAAGTACAGTCGAAAAGCAGCATGAAAGAAGCCATTACCGAATTGAACCCAACATGTCCTCCTGCTTGGCTCATATCTCACTGTAAAACAGGCAGTTGTCAGCTACAAGCTCAGGTTAGAACTGAACTCGATCTCACCTCGAATCCATCCATCGCCGACGACAAACAATTCCCCGCTGGAAAACAGCGGAAACTGGACGGAATTCCGCGCGAACTAACACAAATACATTCTCATATAACTATAGACTGGAAAGACGTAGAGATTATTAGAAGCGCACATGAGAAACAACAGCAGAAAGTCAATAACATTCCCATCACACCAGTGAAGCTTTTCCCCAGGTCCCATTTCGAAGCTTTTATTCAACGGGAAAGCATTTTTCGATCGACTGAAACATCGACCGCAATCGAGAATCTTTCACTTGGTGTTTCAACAAATCACTTCACTTTCTTAAAAGCGCTGACGGTCAGGCTTCCATTTACGACCTCTTCGCTTCATTTCTCGAAACTTCCGTCGAATATTTCTCTGACGCGGGGAAAAAATGGAATCGGTGCCTATTGTTGGTTAGCTTGATTTGCAATAACGCTAGGATTGCTGACGATTTCTCCCAGCGCATCCAGAACTTCTTTCCTGTAATCATCGAAATCGCCGTCCACTTCGACAATATTCTGATCTTCGATGACCCACAACTGACAATTTGTTTCTCGGATGAGCCTCTCGTCGTGACTCACAATGATCACACCTAAAAACATTAATATACAATTTTTTAAATTGGGGCAGACAGATGGCCCACGATTTCCGAATTTGTCTTTATTTAGAAAGGTGAAGACACTTGCTAGCTTTAGATCGAAAAAAGCACCGTATCTACTCATAAAAAAAAATTGGGAAATTAACTGACCTCCTTTATAGCTGTTGATGGCTTCTGATAACGCATCAATCGACTCAAGATCCAAATTATTCGTGGGTTCATCGAGAATCACAACATCGGGCGCATTCAGGGTCAATTCAGCCAAGGCAACACGAGCTTTCTGTCCTCCACTCAAATCCTTCATACGAACGGTGTGGGCATACCCAGGCAAACCAAAACTCCCTAGTTGTTTCCGCGCTTTTTCATATTGTAGGTCAAATAAGCGCATCAAATACTCGGCCGGAGTTTCTTCGGCTGTCAAATGCTCGCCTGAATGTTGATCGAATCTGCCTATTCGCTACAAAAATAATGCGAAAGGTTACTCAGGGTGACAAAAATGCCCAATCTCTTTTGAAAATACGGAGGCTGGTCGGAAAATTCACTCGGGGTACATTGAAAAAATATTTCGGCGTTTCCCAACGCATTTTTTAAACAGTAAAAATTAAATAAAGTAAAATAAAAAAAATCCAGATGCTTAAGGTATTTATACATATTATTTTTCAAGAATATGAACCAACGAAATTTTCGAGTAGATTACAAACCTATTTATTCGCCATCGTCTTTGTGCCCCTCACTGACGATTAAAAAAATAGCCAAACTCAAACCAACAAAACACGATAAACTATGAAACCAACAAGATTAAACCTGATCTACGAACTCTAAAGATGACGTGAAGTACTGTACAGTAGTTCGTTTTTCTCTCTCGCAGACGTCGCGAAGACGTGGAACCGCAGAAAGAAGTAACGTCAATTTTAAAAGCCGTTGAGCCACAGGAAAAAAATACGGAATTCAAAAAGCTAGGAAAATTTGATTTTTGATTCGGTGTAATTATGATCCGGTTCAAGTTGAGACAACGAACATCGAGAATCTAAACCATTTTCATTCCGGAATTCTCAACAAAGGAATACAGTAAAGTACAAAAAAAAAAAATTTCAGCCGAGGATGTTCACTCGTCCTCATTCTTTCCATCTCGCAAAAGGAGTTTGAAAACACTATAAGTAAAATTACCCCTAGAATACCGGATAAATACTACGAGAAAATATAAATCATTCGCTTACACATCTGGGCAGCGAACACGCAAAGCCGAATGCATGCAACACTCACCAAGGTATGATGCTTGCGAACTTCACCTTGTTGAGGGGTTAATTCGCCAACTAGCAATTTCAAGAATGTAGATTTTCCTACTCCGTTGGGTCCCACAATTGCGACACGAGATGACATGTCAATACCGAACTCCAACTTTTTGAAAAGCGATTTCTGCCCATCATAGGCAAATGTTACGTCTATGGAAATTCAAGACAATGAAGTACATCGAACAAATGCGCAAAAAGAGATGTGATCAGTGAAACTAACCGTAAGCTCCGAGAACAGATGTCTGGAGAGGAGGTGGATCGGGAAACCTAAACTTCACAATATAATCCTTCGGCCGTTGCATCAATTCAACTGGTCCATTTTCATCGTCATTAGCCTTCGCTGCTTTCGTCTTGTTCTTCTCCTGCTTTCTTGTGAGCACTTCTTTCTGTTTTCTCTCCTGGAAATTGAAGGATTGGGTCACGTTGAAAAAAAAAAAATCGTTCCAAGGAATCGTTGAAAGATTGAAACTAATGCAGCGACTGAAAAAAATACAACTCACCGCCTGTTTCGATGACTGACCGGATTTTTTCATCTCTTTTATTTTCCTCTCTTGCTTTTCATACTCCTTGAGCATTTCCTTTTTCTTTTGGGAATACATCTTCTTGAACATGGTGTAATTTCCCTTGTAATAATGCAGTTTCAATTGGTCCAAATGAACGATGTCCGAGCATACATTGTCGAGAAAACTCTGGTCGTGGCTCACAATCAGAAGAGTTTTCTTCCATCCTTGAAGGTAACTGTTTACAGGAAGATGACGCTTCATTTCGATACTGTACTGTAGCAGTGCAATTACATAAACGATCATCAAGCAAGAATATAGTTGAACAAAGAACGAACTAGGAATGTCAGATTTTTGCGCGGAAGCGAATTTTTTGGATTTCTAGTCTTTTAAGCAAATTCATCAATTTATCCACACTTTTCAAGAGGTATAGGAGTTAAGCTGGTATGTGTATGAACAGTTTAGATCTCAAGTTCGAAAAATAAAAAAATCTCGAAATTTGCATGCGCGGAATAATTTAATGATCTGAGAGCTCAGTAATTGGTTCACCGTCGCAAATGAAATTTTGAGAAAGACACAGAGAATCAACAAGGAAATTTGTTAAACCTGACGGTAAATTATTTTTTTCAACCACGCGAGGAAATCAAAACCCCGTCGGGGAACTTCTATTAAGCATAATAGCAAGAATAATCAACTGTAAAAAAATAGTATCAACACTCACTTGTCTAACCAGATGACGGCATTCAAGTCTAAATGATTCGTCGGTTCATCTAGCAAAAGTAACGTTGGCTCCACAAATAAAGCTCGAGCTAAAGATATTCTCATTCTCCAGCCACCGGAAAACTGGTTCGTTTTTCTATCTTGCATAGATTTCGAAAATCCAAGACCAGCAAGAATTCGACGAGCGCGGGGTTCCGCAGAATCAGCTCCGATCGCTTTCAATTCATCATAAACTTCGTTCAATCTCCCGGTCACTTTCGTGTCGCCTTTTTCCTGCAAGGCTTCCAACGTTTTCGCCTCTTCCAGCAAAGCGGTTCGTTTCACGTCAGCCTTCAGAACAACTTCCACAGCAGGGATTTCTTCAACGACGACCTCCTGTTCGCAGTACAGGACATCGATATTTGCTGGGATATTCAAGGCACGGGAAGCAATATGACGCAGCAAAGTTGTCTTGCCGTGACCATTCGGTCCAACGAGGCCGTATCTTCGACCTTGAGCTATGAGTAAGCTTGCGTTCAGAAACAAGTCTTGGCCTTTGGCGGATATTGAGAAATTTTCTACTTTAATGTCTACTGCATTATCGAGTTCGACGTCGCGTTTCCCAGAGCGTTCGGCCTGCGAAACTGTGAAGTTCTCATCCAGAGTTGAATGACCAGATCCACCCTTCTTTGTCATCGACTCCATTTGTGCTTCGTAATCCAGCTGAAAAACAAGGAGAAATTCCCAATCACATTTACAAGAAAACAACTGAGAGCCCCAGACATTTTGCTTCTTCCTCAACTTGCACAATTTCAAGTAAAAGCCTTCTAATCGAATATATATTATAATTCCTCAGAGCGCTTTAAAACCAGGTACACCGCAAAGAAAAAAAGGGTGAGCGACATACGCTTAGTTACATACCAGCTTTTTCTTCTTCTTCATTTCTTTCCGAGAAACTTTCGGCTGATTTGCATCACCAGCTGACTTTCCGTCTTCCACCTCGTCATTCTCGGGTTCCTTAACAACTTTTTCGTTTAATTCTTCATCATCATGATCCTCGTCGAAATGATCCTCATCATCATCGAGTCGCACATCGGCCATCTTTTCATCCAGTTCTTCATCGGAATCAGCCTTCTTGGCCGCAGGCTTTTTCCCTCCCTTTTTTGCAGGTTTTTTAGGCATCGCGATTAATTGCTAAAAATGATCACACTTCTCTCAGCCACAGTTTCTAAAACAAATAAAAATAAATCGGTTTCGTCAAATTTCACGAGTACCAAAGAACAGCGATGGTTTAAGACTTCGTCGCACCCCAAATTTATTGAAACACTTCAAAATATTCCCAGTTCCGTTCGAGACCGAAGGTGCTTCACATCTTCTTCCCCTTCAGCAAGAATACCGTGATACCATGCAATATCCATCGTCATCCCAGGAGCATATCGAAGTACGGGCTCCAGAAAACTGAATCTCGATCTAGTAAACTTCCTGAAAGCGATGGTCCTCGAAACGGTTTCAACATTTTGCGCCGCTGAGGCGCCAGGTACCAAGGTACTTAGTTCTTGAGCTTCAAGATCCGCCGCACACAACCAAGATGGCCAAATCCGCAAGGAACAATTCTTGCAAACGCTTAATGCAATTGAATACGCCCGTTGCAGTTCCTTGGCCAAGTCCCAACGATCAAGCGCTGTCAGTGTGATGAGTGCCTCGCGCACGTCATTCTTCGTCACATAAACGGCGATTATTTGAGAATGTATTGTAGCGACTAAGGCCAGATCTTCAGTTCTACTTCCTTCCCGAAGACTTCGCATTTTCCTCTCCTCTTTTTTCTTCTTACGGGCAATGGATCGCTGAGATCTTGAAGAAGCCAACGACGAAGCTTCAGATACGCTTGTTTCAGTTTCAGAAATAACATCGGGAAAGTTTTCGCCATCGCCGGTATTGAACGCGTCTTCGAACTTGGATTTCGTGACCACTTCATATCGACCCGTTCGCTGCGACAACTGTTCCCCAGTTTCACTGAAGGTACGTATCAGGTTGTTCACAAAATCCAGAAGCTTCTCTACAATCGTCTCGTGGAATGAGCAAGAGAACCGTTGAGATATTCCAATGGCTTCACTCCACAGACGCCCATCCATCAGCAACTGAACAGCTGTGTCCACGTCTTCGCACCATTCGATGGCTATTCTTGCAGCCCGCGAGAATTCGCGCTTCGTCGCCAACGCATTCGCCAAAACGCGTCCCACGTCCACGAATCCAATTCCACACTTCTGCACTTCCGAATAAGCAAGATGTTCTTCCCCACTAGCGGCAAATGCTTTGGCTGCATTCTCATGATGACCACCTGTCGCGTACACCAATGCTGCCTCTTCTCTGCGACCCATCTTGAGGAGAAACTCGCCGTACATCAAAGTTACTTCCCTAAAAAGCTCTGAACCACGTGGAGACAATTTCATGGCATGCTTGAATAATGCTTTTTCTTTTACAAGCTTGAGAAATAATGCTTTCGCGTCGGCCGAAGTGTCCCAAATGCTTGAGAGGTGATTCAAGGCATGTCCCCAACGTTGCAAATGAATATCAATGCTGTACTCCCTGAAAGGAGAATCCAACTTCTTGAACGCTTCCAAAAACGGAATGTACTCTTTTGGGTCTTTCTGTGAAAGCTCAGCAACCATGGCAGCAAGTTGAGTATCGTAGGTTCCAAGTGCAGCATTGAATAAAGCATCAACATTGCTCAGATATATCAAATACTTCAGGCCAGCCTGGAGAACTTCCCGGTTCATCGATGCCAGAAAACAAATGGCTCCTTCCAAGTTTGGAGAAACACACTGAGCGAACGAGGCGAGAATTGGTTTGTAAAGAGTCACAGGATCTTTCGCCAACATCACTCTTCTCAGCTCACCACAAACTACATCAACTTTGCAGGTAAAATCACCAGAATTCTTCAAGACGCTCCGCCAAGTGGATTCCCGTTCATACGAGGCTATGTACAAGGTCTTTGTGACATCGTCATTTGTCAATTCAAGAACAAACTGCGCGATGTATTCAGGACTCAACACCGAAACGAATAAACTAATATTACTCAGAAAATTCTCAGCATCATAGTCACTCAAAACGTTTAAATTTATCCTATGTCTTCTCATCATTTCGTACGCCATAAGCCAGGCATTTTCCTGCAACAGACTTGCAATTCTGGAGAGCAAGAGTTCCCTCGGATAAACAGTTTCTATATTTCCTCGCGGCATTTGAAGAATCACGGCAGATGATTCTGGGCAAGAGACAACGATTTTAGCTCCGTTTTCAACCTTCCGCTTCACTCCTAAATCTTCCACACTTCTCCGCTCCTTAGCTTTGAGTTCTTGAGAGAGCTTCTTCGTTGAAATACACCAAAGCACACAGTCGGAACCACCAGTCGTCACCAAAAGAAAATTCGAATCGTGTATCCGGAAAGACGTCACACCACGAATCAACTCCCAATCATTAGCGAACAGTTTTCCACCAACAGCGTCCCATCCGAATCCGATGTTGTTATGATCGTCATACGCAATATCGACACAATTTCCGCCCAGCTTCAAGGTATTGTCAATGTTTCCTTTGCTTCGAGAGACATGAAGAATCCCACCGCCATCTAGAAAGCACGCTCCGGATGCGAACGTACAAGTATTCTTGATTGATGTGATGTGCTGTGCCCAAGGAGCTTCCTCAACGCACATTTTTTCGTCGACCGCACACAGGATAACCAACTTTCCATCTTGGATGGCATACATCAGTCCTTCACCTACAAACGCCCACAAATATAAGTTAGGCGCAGATTTACATTCGTAGTGAGCAACGGCGCTGAATTCTCCGATGTCATCTGCACGTGGAACAGAGCTGTAAATTGAGATCACTGAATTCTGTACGCAGGCAAAACAATTTTCGTGCGGGTTTTGACTGAATTCGACGCACTGCACTGGCTGTGAGTTCTTCATCACCTGGTGACTCATGGGAGGAGGTATCGTTCGCTTGCCCAACGGTGTCACCCGAACTTCGTTTCCACTAACAACAGCAATCCAGGCTGCAGATATGTGCCTGGAGGTGGTAACTTTAGTACTCCAGAGAAAGCACTCGTAAGAATCTCGACAAATAATATGCAGTTTGAAGGCACTTCTTTGATCCCAGCAAACGTTGAGGAGATCTCGACAGCTCAGATCAATTGTAAATTTACAATCCCAGTGGTAGTTACTTCTCGACCACAATTGTACCTTCTCATTTTCTGGTGACTTTGTCGCGACGCACAATATATCAGACGATGAATTCCACTCCAGAGCAGTAACTGAAATTTCATGGCTTTTTGTCGATGCCAACACAAATTCACTCCAAGGCATACAATTCTTTTCGAAGAATACGATGCACAGTCTATCGGCTTTGTGGAGTGATGAAGCAAGAAGTGATCCGGAGGGCTGCCACGCCAGACATAGACCGAGGGCATTGGGAGCGCTTGAATGCATCAATTGCCCTTGACGATCAAAAACACGCAGTACTCGGGATCCACTCGACATTAGGTGACTCACTGCGAAGAATTCGCCATCTCCCCGCCAAGAAATGAAGTACTTGCCAACGTCGACAACGGAATGTGACACATCCGCTCCAACTTTCCCTTCACGTGCAGCCTTGGCTGCCCCAACTCCTTTGAATTGAGTCTTCTCGTCACCCCAGCCAACGGATACTGATGTTTCGATTGCATGCATAACGTCTTCAAGAGCCACCGCACAGATTTCATACCATGCCGAATCAAGCAAGGTAAGAACGCCACTCGATCTCAGCAAAATGAAGATTTCACCATCCGAACTCCGCGATACTTCAACAACAGGGTCATCGGTTTCATCAGATGGGCGGCATATACTCCAAGATCCATCTGCATAAACGGCTATGGATCCATCCCTGGAAACTATCGCCAATCCATCCCACGTCCACGCGAGAGATGCCACTTCTGCTTTCAGTAACAAAAATGAATGAGAACGATAGCTCTCTGATAGAATGATTTATTCAGGACAAACTCAATAAATCGGAACTCACTCACCCTTATGGAGAAGTTCCTCAGAAAGCCGGAGCAATCCATCTTCCAAATTTACTCGCCCATCACCAACCCCTCGGAATGAAACCACGCACATCTTGTCGGATTCTCGCTCTAATGCGATTCCAACCAAGTCAGCCGCTTCTAAGCCAGGAATTTCACATTGCGGCGGCTGTAGCGCAACACACTCGCTAAATGAACCGATAGTATCTCTAGAATCCGGCAAACGGCTCACGTGATGACCGACACATTTCAAGTCCCTCATCTTGGAATCTGAAGGGAAAGCGTAACTTTAGAGAGCACTCCGCACGAATATCCTCGGAATCTTTCAGAAGAATACAAAAGCGCTCTAAAAGCACTCCAGCAACTTTCCGCGGATCTTCACGAAGTAACAGCACTAGTTTCCGCAACCAAATAAACGAGCGACATCGAAGTTTTTTGGAAATTCCAAGTGATCTCCCTTCCAGCACAACTCAGCGCGAGTCAACTGAGGGCTGCCTGTTTCACGCCACGATCGCCAGCGCCACTTTCTCTCAGAGCCACCAGCAGCTTTTAGTGAGTTGCTTTAACTGCAATGATTTCGGTGGTGTAGTTTCTCGCCTGATCATGGGAACAATAAGGGGGACGCGAGTGGGAAGGTTGTCGCGCGTCGTCGCGGTTAAGGGTAGATGTCGCCGCTGAGGGTAAGGAGGAGTCCTTACTGTGTTGACCGGGGTTGCAGTAGCAGCTGAGCTAGTTCGTGAAAGTTGGATTAGTAGGTATAGATATTAAAGTGTGACGTTTTGGTGTTCCGATGGTCCTGATGTATTCATCACACATGACCTCCTATTGCGATTTTGTTTTGTGTTTCAGAAAGCCAATGCGAGCGAGTGTGAGCTGTGCTTTGTGGAAGCATTCATTCCTGGGCCCCTTCCCCGAAACCCTTCACTCATTCGTCAGTCGTGGTGGTGGCTCCTTAATTTGTTTTTGGGTAATAGGAGAAGGATTTGCTGTGTTTATCTCTACCACTTTCATTCCTTTTCCTCTTCATCTGCATTTCCTGACTGGTGTCCCTTTGCATTAGCGAACCCGTGCATACATCTGTGTACATTATTGTATGTGCGTATATTTTAAAACATGCTTTTCAGTGAAGGGAGATGGTTTTTTTGCAGAAATCTGTGACAATTAGTTGTGAGAATGATTGAAAAGTAACTAATTTTGTTCCGGGTTTTTCAGGAGGGAATTGCGGCGACAACTGCCACATCCTCTGCCAGAATCGTCATCCTGGCTGGTGTTCGTATTGTTTTCTTTTACTTGGCGCTGGTTTAAGTTGCGTGTTGGTTGACAGTGTACAGTAATGGCCTGCGTTGGGAACGCGAGCTATGGTGTTCAAGTGAATCTGAACACCATTCCTAAATTAGATGACATTCCCTTTATTGTTATTGGTGCAAAACGTGATGTTTACGTCATTGAGAGAGGTGAAGCTCTTGGAATGTTTCCAAAATTCATCAAAAAATGATCTCTGGTTTCCAGAATTCGGTTATTGTCAATTGCAATGCATCTTTCTTTTGACGTTTCAGGCTTACGCATGTAGTGAGATATTTTGAATGATATTTTGAACTATATCATGTACTATAACTATACTACTATATATACTACTATAACTACTATAACTATCATGTACTTGAACTATATTGAATGTAGTGAGATATTTTGAACTAATGAACAACAAAAAGCGTTCTTCATGCGCATATCAGAATTAAATTGCTTCGATGCAAAATACTGTTCTGTGAAACTTCCTGCTGCATTCATATGCAGAAGCATCAGCGCATATTTTATCTTCACTGTTCATGAGAGAAATTGTCTTTTTGAAAACAGCTCGTGATGGTCATGATGAGGAATAATAATAGGACGCAGCAATATCGATATTAAAAGGGAAACATTTATGATAAATTTTCTTATTAATTGTATTCAAGTTATTTCCAATGAACAGTATAAGTACTGTATATGATGCATTTATTTTGGATATGAACTCGGCAATAAATATAAGACTTTTTAATAGTATGCAATGAATAAATTATTTGTACGCAGCATCAGTTGTAAATATTTTACAGTGCTGCTGCTGATGGGCAGCATATCCGTGTTGAATTTCTAATTTTTGCTTGCCATCACCAATGGGAGACGTCAAAAGCATCATCGATCTGCATCTAATTCTGATTCAAAAGCAATGTCATCCAGCTGTATATACTGATGCAGATCTTCGCATACCTGTCTCAGCAGACTTGGATTTTATGCAGTACAAAACCGGCTTAATGAGCCCCATATTTTGAAAACCCCAGCATATATCAGCTGTTACGTAAGTTATCAATTCTCTTCTATATATACAGTTCTGTATATAAGCGTTTTGAAGTAAACGTATTCAAATCATAAACCGACCGCTATTTTTCATCAGTTTTATACAACATCTGCATGCATGTAACCTTGCTGCTGAGGAACGATTTGAAAATAGAATAAGCAGCAGAATGATAATAGAAGTGAACTACAGTACAAAATGCTGTACTTGATTCGATTATTTATTATCATCCTTGAATGGACCAGCATATTTTACAGCGCATGCCAATTTGGAACTTGAGCTATTCTCAACGGTGGTCTATGTTTTTATATATAGCTTATATTTATTGAATAAGAATTACTTGTGTACAGGACGCACACAAGAATATTTACTTCATATGAAAGGTATACGTTTTATTGTTCTTTAAGCAGCAACCTCACTATAATTTATGATGATGGTTTAATTTTTGAATAGTGTACATCTCCTGCTTCATGCTTGAAGAACTTCATGATATAGATTTGTTCCTACATCCATTTTTATTAATATTTTATTAATAGTGGAAAGTATACAAATCTAAATCATGTATCCTGCGCATGCAGCTTTTCTTGAAATGAAAATGTAGAATATCACTCAAACAAAACTTTATGCATTATATTTTTGTTCATTTAAGAAATCAATGCATAAAATGTCCCTGCAATAGAGCCACTATGTTATATTAACCAAACTGTATTATGGAGAATTATTCATACTAACAAAGGCGTTTCCAGGTCTTTGAGGGTGCTTTTTTTTAAAGCAAGATTTTAATTTCGTATCTGAATTCCGAGCATATACTGTAGTAGTTAGCTAATAAATCTTAAATTTATGCCTGCTAGAAATAACAAATCAAACTTCAATTTTGATGGCGAATCGGCCGAATCAAAACAGCTGGAACCCTATTTTGAATACATTGGAATATAACTTGATTTTTTTTTTCAAATTTATTGCATTAGTATAAATATATACTTATTCTGCTGATGCATAATTCATAAAATAAGTGGGTATTATGTTGGGCAAAGCACCACTATGTAAACAAACTCTTGAGTTCCTTTGAGTTAGCTCCAATGAAATGACAGTTTTTTTCTCGTTTATAGAGCGTTCATTATGTAAGAGCGAGAAGTAAGATAAGCTCTCAGATACATATTTGTTGAAATACTGTCATACCCACTATTGTTTGATGAGGGGGAGGATATACAGTACAAATATGCATCCTCGGTCCAGCGGGATTTCATGACTTCATTGATCACAGTTACTGGGAAGATGGAAGCCACATGCTGTTGCTGGTGAGGTAAATGACCTAGATACCCAGATGCCCCGAGGGGCCACAAAATAGCGGTGAGTCCTGGTGAACGTGGCGCCTGACTTTTCCTGCAACATCTTTCACTCAACAACGGTACATGCTGGCAATAAGGCGCGTTTGGCTGAGATTCACTGTTTTTGCTCTCCAGAGAAACATTTTCTCACAATACCCAAAATTTCAAGATTAAATATGATTTTTAAAGCTAAGTCGAAGTGGAAACATTAGTAGAAATATGCAACTAAATAGACAGAAAACCCAAACGCTGTTATTTGGTTATGTCCAACTTGATATTTCACAATTGAAATTTAAGGAAAAATAATCCATACTGTATTTACATGTAGTAATCATCATATGACTTGGCCAAAACGATAAATGAAAAAATTTTGATTCAAAAACAAAGAGAAAGATAATTTGATTTAAGCTGCTCTCATCTGCTTAAGGGCTTGGACTAATTCCTGCACATGTATGAATAATGATCAGTTGCAATACTTTGGTCAGAAAATAATGTACAAAATCAGCAGAATTAAAAAAATAAAATTCTCTCTAAGTAAAAAAAATTTGAGTCCCTCCAAAATTTCATTAGAGAAAGAGAGGTTCAAATGTGCATATTCAGAAATTCAAAAATAAAAATAAAAACTGACGAGCACTCTAAGTTTTATTCATAAAAAGTCCTCCATAGTTTGACATGCTTTCATAAATTGACTCCCTATAAGGATGCAAAGATATGTAACTCTTATACAAGTCATGTCACAGTCAAACCTTATTAAGACACCCCTTGATAAGCCAGCACCCTGGACAACTGCCAATTTATTTGCAAACAAACATTCCCTGATGATAATAGCATCGGAAACCCTGTTAAAATTCCCACCGCCATTTGCCAAAATTACTGACAACTCAGCAAATAAGCTTCTGACGATTATTTTTTTATACCCTGCTAACATGATTCAAGTTTTTGTGCAAGATCTCTGCTTAAAAAGACACAGATGACTTGATTTAATTAATGGGAAGGTCAAATACAATCAACTTATTCCAGTGTTATTTTGCATGTTCTTTATTGAAGAATAAAAATTTCATTTCATATAATACTTATTGATTTTCATATTACATTAGTACAGTGTTTTGTTGTTCTTCATAAACCGTCAACACCTTTAAACTTTCAATCCTGGTCATCGAACCAAAAAAACTTACAAGCAATTGAACAAATGGTGGCTGCTTATCACGGGTTTAGGGTTGACCGCACAGTACTGCTGTATAACATATGCTGTTTGATCCCCACATTCCTTTTATTCCTAATACAGTACTGATGTCCATCCCATCCACGTACCTACAATATCTTCTATAATTTCGAGTAACATTGCGTATTGACGGGTTTGTCTGACGAGGATTAATTTGAACATACTAGCTGTATTGCATGCTGTAATATGATTTGTGCCCCGGGAAAAGTGGATGACGGAAAAGACAGGACCCGGGAAACCGACTCGGGGGGAACAAAACTCCACTTTCTCCCCTCTTGCAGGTGGACGAGTGAGACAGTCGCCGGGCTCAGCTTGGCGTCGGTGCACGGAAATATTCCTCGAAGTTCCTGCAGACATTCTGTGTTCATTTTGTGTTCACATTATTTCTCTGATTCTCAAGCGTTGTGTATATATACAAATACCCATGAATTCAATCAACACGCAGTTCTGTTGCCCTTGCACAGATTTCAACTAGTAATACGCGTAAGACTACCTGAAGGAAGCCGCCTGTGGATGCTGTGAATAATACAGTACTGTACTACAGTATAATCAAACCTCTTCAAGTCGAACTTAAAGGGATCATCCGAAATTCGACTTAGGGAGGTTTTGACGAGTTATGTGAAACAAGAATTTTTGTTGGGGAGAAGAAAAAAGAATTGCAGGACATTGTAATTGGTGATATTCTATACTATCTATAGGACCTTAGATTTTTTCTGAAATATTGAGTTGGAATAAGGATGCTGAACTTCAAGGCGGGGGTTTACAAGTAGATATTAACATATTTGCCTAATTTGTCTTTCATTATTTACTTTCAAAGCACATCAAATTGCATTTTTATTGCTTTTCTCTTTCCCGTGCGTGTCAAAAAATATAACCATCAGAAGACCTGAAAATTTGAATCTCGGAGGTTTGAGTCTTTTAGATACGCAAGTATTGAGATTTTCAACTCATAGTTTCTAAGGGATTCAGATGTGGACTTCGAAAAATCCGACGAAGAGATGCCATTTGAGCAAGGGATGTGATTCGATATCCAGCAGGTTTAGCTGATGCATGCGTATCTATATATCTTTATGCAGTATGTGTACGTTATTGTTGTGCGTGGAGATACTGTAATATGATTCCCCGTTTGCTTTCATTTGAAGCAGAAAGCAAGTACTGTACAGTATGATAAGAATAGACATCTTCCTTCTACATAGGCTTCTACATCTTTTTTTGATGGTGATGAGACATGATTGGTGCAATTCTGTTCACAACACTCGCGATCATCCTGTGGATGGTGTACGCCTACAAATCGTGTTTGAACTGGCGAACTGCGGCGAATTTGCCTCCGGGGCCGCCCGGAAGTCGGGCATTCGTGGGCCACTATTTCCTGTTCAATTCGACTGCCCAAGTGCCCGTGAAGAAGCTTGCGGCATTCGCTGCTGACTTGGGATCCGTTTTCACGCTCAAGATGGGTTTTAGGAACCTGGTTGTGGTGAACGATTTCAATTCTGCCGTGTTGGTCTGCAAGGGCCATGATTTCCATGACAAGCCCTTCTCGATGCTCAAGTTCCTGCACAGGAACCGAGGTTGGTGCTCTGCTGATAAATCAAGTTGGAATTCATTTCTGAAAGAATAATAATAAGATACCATTGGCAGAGATTGCTAATACGCAGCAGGGTATACTACTGTACTATAATAATCATGGACACATGTTTGTACCCGTACTATGAAATATTCACGAATAAATTGAAACCCCTGCAAGAATAAGTTTTCAGCTCATGAAGGATAAAACCCGCAGTATTTCCATGGTTATTCATTAAGTTCCACTTGTGGTCGGCCCTGACCAATGCCCTCAAGCCCATTCAATTCAAAATTTAAAACTCATGAAATCAAAACTTGTTTATATAATCTCCTGGCCACTGAAAAATTCCCTCGAACCCAATTCAAAATTTAAGCCTCGTCACTAAATCAAATTTGTATTCGGTATGATCTCCATATTCGAAAATACAAGGCCTTTTTATTGAACTGGGGCTGAATTTTAGAAAAAAATATCTCTTCCAGAAAACCAAAACAAAGCAGATGAAACTTTTTTTCTGCTCTTCAGCAGGTAGGACATAGAGTAAATGAATAATGAACAGTTCTAATAATTTGTTGAGAAAGTAATTTTCTAATAATTAACCTACACGAATGAAGCAAAGTTCCCCAAATCAAGAACTCTAAAAGTTTAAAAAATTGATTCTCTTCAAATTTGACTCGAAGTATCACTACGGAAAAATCCCTCGAAAATTAAAAAATTCGAATAAAGTTGAACCTCTCTATACATAAATCAAATTCAAAGAGACTTGAACATTTGGCGGCATTGAAAGATTTTTAGTCAGTGAATTTTGCCTGATTTGTGTTCAGATCAATTAAGGAAAACGACATTCTGACCTGATCTTCAAGAGGGCTTCTTACTCATTAATGCGTTCTATATACCCGCAGTAATTTATGTAAGTCCTTGTGGAAAAATAATAATCAACATCTTTTCTACTGGAAAATGTGTTCTAATATTTAGCCACACACACCAAGTTCAATGATACGAAGGCTTTCGATAATATATGACTGGGAAGGTTAGAGTTGAAATGCTTGGATTTATAGAGGGTTAAACTTCCAGTTACGTATAATGTAGGACGAGTTTTTTTCAACTTATATAGAGTTTTCCCTTATTGGATAAGCCCAGCAACTGCATTTATGTATAGCTTCTTCATTGTTAGACATTTTCAAGTTTACTCAACTCGGAATGGTTTGAGAATTTTTATTCTGCTTTCGAGACAGTCCACTCCTTTTGGCTTAACCTATTGTACGAGTATTAATACCTCTATCGATTTGTAACTAATTTTCATATCAAATTCAATGCTTCTCTTCGCTGAAACAGTCTGAAAAATGCGATATGTACAGGAATGGTGAATGCAGAAGGTGATACCTGGTACACAAACAAGAAATTTTGCGCAAAAACGCTAAAGGAGCAAGGCTTTGGTGGACGTTACTCCGAACAAATCTGTTCTTTAGAAGCCAAGGACTATCTAGAACATTTGAAGGTACGGTATATCATGCATGGATTATTAATTGAGATATTCGGAGGTACTTCTGTGTTTTGAATCCGTATCTTTAAAACAGTTTGATTAATATATCCGCAGACGTGTTGTAACAAGCCGTACGATTTCACCCGTGATCTTTACGAAGCAGTCTCAAACGTCGTTGGAACATTCCTGATTGGACCGATTTACAAGGCCAAAAATCTGAAGGCGAATGTGCCGGAGCTCGGACAAATTTTGGCAGTTTTCAACCAGGCTGATCCAAGGGGAGCAGCTCCTGAACTACAGTAAGATACTGTACTCTTGAACATAATACGATACCTGATGCATGTAGAACGTTTTTCTCAGAAGTAGAAGCGATGGCCTGAAATGGGAATTTTCTTCAAAACATTGACCTCAGCTTATTATGATGAGGATTTTCCATTATACAATATACTGGTACAATATACAGGTGGTTCCTTACAATTCAACCTCCCGCAAATTGATTGATGGTCAAATTTGCAGGGAGGTTGATTTTCAGTTTGACCCATGACTCACAATTACACCTGCTTTGGCCATTTTTTTGCATTTTTTTTACTAATTTTTTTGAATTTCACAGTGCCTTGCAATTTGACTGCTCTGCAATTCGACCCTAGTTTGGCAATGGATTAGGGTTGAATTGCAAGGTACCACGTGTATATATATATGCGTCTTATAGATTTGTAGAAAAATGAAGATAGCCTTTAAAATCAATTAGATCACTGTGTGTGTTCATTAATCTTTTTGAGGTGCCATGAACATGTTTATTCTTGTGCTGTGCAATCTTCTCAGCAACATTAGTCACAACACATTAACAACAGAGTTGATGAAAAAACCATAAAAAGAGACGCACAAAATTAGCCTGTTTTGAAAAACTCGTTTCATATGTATCATAAAATGTGTTATGAATTTATATCCACGACAGTATCTCACTTTGTTTAAAAGGTATCAATATTTTGAAAACAATTTTTTTTTTCATATTTCTTCTAGGTTTTTGTGTTTTCAATATATTTTGAGACATTTGCTAAGTGGCGAGGAAAATATTTTTATTTCAAAGTGCGGCCTTTACTGAAATTGTCCACATGTTGAATAAAATGCTAAAATTACTTCTTTCTGCCGTGTGCTGCAGGCTATTGAGCTTATTGTCAGCAAGCACAAGGCTGCCCAAGCTGCTGATGGCATACATCAAGCTCAAGACTTTTGTCAATCAGTTGATTGAAGAAGCCCGGGCTGCCAGGAAAGATGGAGAAGATGCTTGTGGGGTTCTCGGGGCTTACATTGGCGAAAAAGAAAGGATAATGAAATCCAGACCGAATTCTGCGAATTTCTTCAACTGTTGCAAAATGTTCTGCCAGGATGCGAGCAAGGAAGATCCAGTGCACAATGGCAGCACGGAGGACTCGGTTCTGGCAGGTGATTAATTGCACGTTTCGTCCACGTAATTAACTCTAATTAACGGCACAATGACGTTATCTCTAAATTTACAGAATACCGTAATATTATAAAATCATGTCATTAAGAGTTACGGGACAAATCGCACAGCGAACACTCGCGTAATTTTTCATTTCAATTACTTTATTTTTAATTTTAGCGCAGGGAAATGTGTATAATTAATTTTTTGAAAATATTCTCTTTCGTTCAAATTTGATTGTATCGTACTCTACAATATTTTTGGATTCATTTTAAACTTAACAAACGAAATTCTTTTGATGCATTCTTCTGCACCACAATCGAACAGTGTGTGTTTCCATGCCAAAAACACGGAACTTTATTTGAAAGAAACAAATTCTTGGAGATAAAGAATGAGCAGACAGTTGTGTAGCCTCAGTGTGATATTTCAGAGAATCATTAGAAAGTTTACTGTGCAGTGAGAAATTCGTGATTTAAATGTTGAGCTTTTCTACCTTGCCCATCACAACGAGGATACGCACGCGTCCCCTTTTTTCTTCAAATTGAATAGATTTTTCAATTAACGATTCACGCTTCTTTTTAATAATGAAAATATTTTGTACACTGTGTAACTCTTCATCTGTTGAGAGGAGGAATGCATTATACAAGCGCCATTTCAAGAATGTAGAAATGAATCCAAAAATACTGTAAAATTCATGAAGGACAGAAGAGGATCAGGGCGAAATTTTTTTACACATTCCCCTGTGTTAAACTTGTATAAAAAATGACAAAAGAGTAAAGAATGAAAAGTTATACGAGTTGTCGCTTTTGGCAAGTATGTTCATGGATAAGAAGATTTCGTTCGATTAGCAATCATGTTACGTCAATTTATTTCATCCTTCGGTGGACAGAGGAAGCTTGTAAATTTCGTATACGTGTCAATATACTTTTTTAAAGAATTTTCCTGCCATTTTTGGAGTCTTCAACTTCTCAAAATTATTGACGCATCAATTCCAGAGACATTTTGTTTGCTCCTAACTTTATTCTGACGACAAAAATGCTAAAGAAAATTTATTAAAAATCTACAATGTATAATCTACATTTATTGGTCTCCTCCAATGAATGCTGGTTTATTGTGAATGCCTTATTGAAATCGAGGGTTTTCAGGAAATCCTTTTACGTAAAATAACATTGTTTTAAAAACGCTTTCAGAATTTTCAATTTCTCAATTTAAAAAAAAAGTTTCTTGTGAACGTATGAATGATGCATTGGAAATTATTATTTAATGCTGTAGTATGCTGGAAAGTTTATTTTCAGGGTTGATCGAAATTACGATACTGAACGTTTTTCGAATTGCGATTCATCCTCCAATACTACACATATACCGATGACAAAATTCAAACCAAGGTAGAATTTAATTTATTTTCCAGTGAAGTTGAGCTTTGCTGATAAGTACTGTATATACAGTACAGTATTAAAATATATGGAGAAAGCTAATCATCATAAAAAATAAATTGCCTTTTGCTTTTGTGTACCTGTCTGCATGATCTCAGTTCAAATCATGCTTCATACTTATTATTCAAGGCACACAGACAGTTTAATGTGCACTAATCATTTCAAAGTGTGCATAATTTTTTTTTTACTTGACAACCTTCATTCAAAAAAAATTTTATATATTATAAATTTAAATAAAAGCATTTGTCATGCAAATATATATAAGAAGCCAAAACTTATTCTTTTCCATGGAAAAATGTGAATTTGTACATAAACAAATAAGGTGTTTTATGTTTTACATTGGGATTTTAGATGAGAATCAGATGAAAACGGTGGCATCAGACATTCTGATTGGCGGTGTGGACACTATGACGTCAGCCCTCAGCTGGATCATTTACTCTCTTTGCAAATACCCTGAAATGCAAAAGCGGATTGCGAATGAAGTTGAGGCTGAAATTGGTTCAAAAATTCAGCCAAGGTTGATAAAAATAAATTGTGAATTCCCTTAATCGATTTATTTTTAATTTTATTTGTTTACTTTTCCTAGTTTCAGCGACAGAAACAGCATGAATTTCACAAGAGCTTTCTTATATGAAGTTGCAAGAATGTATCCAGCCATTGCTGCTCAAACTGTTTGCAGCAACAAGTCGGATCACGATTTTTGTTTCTCAGGTGATTTCAAAAAGTTTTGAATTCGGGGATGACCGGCAACTATCACAGTACCGTGTTTCATTACTTCAACAGATGGAATTAGTATACCCAAGGGTACACCAGTGTACATCAACATTTGGGCAGCACTGCGAGATCCACAAATGTGGAAAGATCCAAATGTTTTCCATCCGGAACGTTTTCTTGACTCAGAAATGAAATTCAAGAAACCTGGACATCCCTACAACCCTTTTGGATTTGGTATGAATTGAGAATCAAGTCACGCGCAAATTTGCGAAGAAATAAGTTTATTAAAAATAATATAGAAGGTATTCAATGTTGATTTTTTTTACATCAGGCAGGATATTGAAAAATTTTCGAAGACATTTTGGTCTAATTTTCGAATTATTTGAAATGCAATGCCTGTAATTAGTGTGAGTAGTTTCAATCAAATTCAAACTCGAATAATATTCTATCAACATGTAGCCTTTTTTGCCCGCGTTATTCAAATGCAGTAAGATTATAGCGGCTTTGAACATTTTAAATAACTCATCACAATTTTCCTTTGGCTATCATCGGCTATAATAATAGCTTATTTTTCTTCTATCATTTTTCTGGATTCTGTAGGTTCATTTGCCATAACCTGACTTTATTCAGCATAGGTTTACAAATTCTTTTATCTCACCCTTCACTCACGTAAATATTTCGCGCATTATAGTAAAGGATCATTTCTTTTTTAATCGCTTTTTTGTAAGCGTATCTTCGATCAGTCATGCTGTAACCAATCTAAAGAACTAAAAACATGAGATAAAGTCATGACTTCTCGTCTGCATTTTTCAAGGAAAACGGATGTGTCTCGGAGAACCGCTGGTCATGCAGATGATGTTCATTTTCACGACCTCTCTCTTGCAAGAATTCAAAGTGTCGTTCGCCGACGATAATGACACCCCTGCTTTGCAACCAGACGACGAGGAGGGAGAGATGGGCGTTAGTTATTTCCCACGTCCGTTTCACATTGTCTTGTGCAAACATCCCACGATCTGACAAAAACCAGGGGATATGTCGTGGACAGACGACAACCTCAAATGGCCAGTGCGGACGCTGCAAGATTCATCATAAAAAGAAAAGGCTCTCAAGGTTGCAAATAACAATGGGAACTGAGCTGTGACTCCAAGGACGAAAAAATTTGATCGAGAGAGAAGTTGTTCACGTTCAAGTAGCTCTAATACACTGTACTAATATTTGAATATTATTCTTGAATATTTTTTGATGGCATCGCGCGTATCAAGTGCATGGTTTCATTATATTCAAAACAGAATGATCATGAGACTTGGACAAAAGCTATGTTAAAAGAATGAACGTTTTGTCATTTCCTGGGCCAAGATACGCAAGAAAAAAATAAACACCAATTTATTGGGTAATTTTCATTTTCTTGGGCCTAAAATCATAGGGTGTTCAACAAGTTACTGCTGTTCAATTGTGGAACGTGAAGTCAAGAGCTGAAAATTGTTGGGTTGCTGTTAAACTGAAGTCTGTCAGAAAGTTTAACCGAAGAGTTTCAATCATAAAAAAGTTCAATGTAGAATGATGATAGTACAGTTTTGATTTCCAGCAAGATACAGTACCCCAACTCAGAAAAGTAATGCCTCTGGCTACACTACTTCCAGAGATCTACATCACATGCACCATTTGTCATCACAGGTGGACCCTCCCTACAACAAAATTCAAGGAAAAAATTTTTTTTATAGAGAATATCCATGATATATGGGCAGAGATCCATCAATGGGACCATAAAAATTCATTATTAAGAAAATATTGTGGAGAGTCCATCTGTATTGCACCATTTCAAATAGACATCACTGACATATTGCCACAGCACAGTCAAGTACTTAGTACTGTAGGTGTTCAGCTAGCTCATGTCATTTTTAATCAAAGCCCCATCTGAATTCCCTTGAAAAGCAATGTATTAAGAACCTCCCTAACTTGAAGTTTTCTCTCAAATCTCTGCAAGTCAAATTTTCTGCAGCCTTTTGGCTATTATTTTCTTGATACATGAAAGGTAAAAGCAATAGAACATGTAACTTCATGTGTTTTAAATGGAAGTGACAGAATAATTGGTCAAATGAACCCTTGCCTCCAAGTTCAGCATATGCTGTAAACTCATTACAGAAATAATTTCTAAGGCCCAGAATATCATAGTTATATTAATAATATCACAGAATATCATAGTTTCCTGCAATTATTTTATGTTTTCCAAAAAAATGCTTGTTTTCCTAACTAGAAACTTCTTCAATTCAAATTTTGTTGCTAGTCCCTTTAAATTTGACTTAGAAAGGTTAAACTGTACTATATTTTAGATGCACAAGATTACAAAATTTGTTGAGGCTATATAAAGTGAGTTAAAATTGTTGGGTATCAATGTTTTTCCATGTGGCAACTCTAAATTCCATTGTTTGATCAGATGGAATATTTACTGATCATTTTCATTTTTGGTCACTTCTTATGCACTTATGGTATGTAAGTGTTTTGCAGTTGGGTCAGTCCCAATTGATGTGGATGTTCATAAACAAATTTCTGTTTTCAGAAAAGTATTTTTCCCACACTGTATTTCCTGAGATGCTGGTGCCATCACCCAGCTCAAGGTTTTAATTCTGCAAACACTCTGGCTATTCACACATTCAGAAATCTTCCTCAATTTCTAACTTTACAGTCACCTTTTGGACAGTTGATGAATAAACCAGAAAATTGATTGATTATGATGTAGATGATTACTTTGACACTTTCCCATGCCATGAGGCATCTGTTCAGTAGTCCAAAAACAACCAAAAAATAGTACCACCTCATAGTTTTAAAGCAACAAAAGCTCCAATTTTATTTTGTTGTCGAACACCTTGGAAATAATCAATTTTTTGAGAGCACAGGCTGCACTCAGTGTACTGGTATCACAACTGATGCGTTTGTTGGACGACTTCGGCGGGAATGGCTGCGATCAGAACTTGACTTGGATTTTTGTCTTTTCCTTGACGGTTCAGAAGAAGCTTGCTTTGTTCCAAAAATTGCGTGAACTTGAGATTGAGTTTCTTCGACAAAATCCACCACGTCTTCGATTGGATAAGCTATCGGGGCTTTCCTAAAGTTGTCACCGTGGGCATCAAGTCGATCCATAAGAAATCTGAAAACCGGTGGAATAATAAAAAAAAAACTTGTACTGAACCCACATCAGAGCATGAGTTGATTGAAAGTTTTAAAAATTTAGCAATTTAAAAAAAGTGAACTGAATAACGTGACACGTGAATTTTCAGAATGGCAATACTTCGCTCACTTTCGCTCTTTCCGTCGTCTTTTGATTGCACGCTTCAGCTGCTGCAGATGAAATACGATCCTCTCGTTCTCCTAAAAACAAGGAAGTAGACCTCAAAATTATGCAAATGCAAAGATTTCGCAGAAACCAACCTTCTGTAAACTGGCGCACTTCTGACATATCCGTTCGTACTTTCTTTTAAGGCGTTCTTGTTCAACAGCAGATTCATCTTGCGAAACGTCTGTTGAATTCAATGCGTGATTTTGCGTTACATCTCGTGCACAATCACTTTTGCAGGGACTGCCTCGTGGACTTGAATAAGCGTGCTCCAGCTCAGGACCATAATTTTCCGGACACTGATCAACCAGATCATCTTCAAAATCTGAATCTAAACACACTCGCGCCATCTGTGTGAAAAAATAACTCAAAAACACAGATCAAGATGAAAAATGCGTCTTTTTTTTTTCTTATATGCCCGACTTATTTGAAGATCAAGGGAAATCAAGTGTTATGTTGGCAACGCACTGAGCCAAGTTCTAATCGTAAGATCATCAGAAACCATTATCCATTTTCAGGAGAAACCATTATCTCAAACGCAGTATGCCAGGACAAACACAACTTCATTCTTCTGCAATTATTTATTAGTCCATTTCTACTTTCATCTCCAGTGAATGGCATCTCGGTGATTGATGAAAAACAAAATAAATGCTTACACAGTATCGCAGTACAGTATTTTTTCTTGCTGCACTGCTTCGATCTCTTTTTTGAATTTGGCGCAGAAGAAACTTCATGGGTTGCTCGGAAACCCTTTTGTGGTTCTTATTTGATGCACAACCTGCTAGACTTATTCACGTGGATTCTGAAGACAAGACCACGTTGCCAACAACTTGAAAAACCTTGCAAAAAAGCTAGAAGCAAGTAAATATCAAAACTCTTGTAACAGCCAGAAGCAATACCTCTTTAGTCATCCAGCAATAAAAAAAGCGATCATTTGCGCTTCTGAATATTGCAAGAGCTGACCCGCTTTTCAACGCAGGGTAAAAGATTCTATCATTTGATTGCAAATGCGGGAGTTCACAATTTACTCAACCCCAGTCACCAATTGCAAAGCACTTGTGCTGCACGACAGACGGTTTGCCTGAGCAGGATAAAAATCGAGCCTCGGGAAATGCAATCACAGCTCAAGTAGAACAAATTTGGGAGTCCGGACGGAACAAGGGAAGCAGCGTTAGTGAATATGTATATAAAAGAAAAAAACACGTTTCATGGGAAAAACTGGTTGCGAATGCCACTTTCAAATATGTCATCCACTCTTGCTCTCTCTCTCTCTTGTACTCATCATCACAAAAACAGGGTCGGTAATGCGCCAAACAGAGAAGGAGATCATCACTGCTGACGTAGTTTTGGCGGCCTTCGCTTTGTACCTCCAGGCATCACTTTCGCAGCTGGGACTTTCTTCTTGCTCGCTGTGCGTGACGCGACAAACGCCGGAATATTCTCTTCACTCGGCGACGGCAGCATTTCTCTTGGGAAAAACTCGCGTTCAAACGAATTTGATCTCGCGAGCTCAATCAGATCTTCGTCCATTTGTTCCTCGTCATCAGTGACAGCGGGTGAAACATCGCGCTGAATCTGAATCTGCGGTGGCTTGCGGGCATTCTGCTGTCTCCTGCGTTGCTGAGTTTTCGCCACAGCCACAGGCGCTGAGGGCGGGGGTTCATCGTCAGACAGTTCAGAAATCAACTGCTGTCGAGAGTCGCCCTCGTCACCATGGGCCTCGGGCTCTGCAGGCAGGGATCGTCCTTGTGCAGAACTTGTCAGCACGCTTCTCGGTCTTGTCTGAACTGCGCCGAAGGCTAGCTGAGGAGCCACTTTGAGCAACGCTTCTGCGAGCGTTGCAGAGAGCTGTGCCACCACTCGAGAGCTGAGACTGACAATCAACACAATTCCTTGCCTGTGCACTCTGCCAAGGTAAATATCAATCTCGTGCGCCCTTTCATTGAAAAAGGGATGCACGAAATTCCGGTACAAATACGAAGAACCGCGGGTAGCAGGAGCTAGAAACCAAATGACTGTGAGAATCTTGAGTTCTTGATAGAAGGGACACCAGAAGGCTACGAACACATCGGCAAATGCTTCAGCCACGCAGAAAAGCGCGAACACGACCCAGTACATCATCCATTTAACGTATTCCCTGGTATTCTTATCACGGATCGCTTTGTAGGAATTGAAAGCTGGGTACAAAAAGCCGAGGGAAAGGATGATGAGTCTTGCGAACACAGCTGGAACCATTGCGTCTCGAAATCTTGAGCTCAACACTCCTCACAGCACATTACGCCTCACAAATTTTACGCATAAAGATTCCCACGGTGTCTGCGAAAGATGAAAAAGAACACACACACACGTTCAGTAGACAATACTATAGTGAGCTTGGGAAACGTTTCGCAACATAATGTATAAACTTTCTGTCATCAGAAGGTTCAATAAAAATATTGGATGACAGAAAAATTCTTTAATCTTCACGTACGACTGCTGCTTCCCTCAAAGCTCAATTAAAATAGCAAAACACATTCAATCAAATCAAATGTTAATAACACCACATTTTTCAAGGTTTTACTTAGAAAAAAAAAAAAAACATGCGAAGTTTCTCGTTGCTCATCCACGAAGAGCTCAAAACACTTTTTTCTGACTTTTTTGAAAAGACATACGCACAAATAGCACGGGGGATTCCAAAGAGTATTCAACATATTGAGATATTTGAATATTTCAAGAATTTCAAATTCACAGGAAGTTTGTCACGCCACGTAGACCAGATAAATTTAAAAATTTGGGGGTTTTCATCAAAATCCACTCCACAAAAATCTCCCGATTGCACAAGGTAATAAAAAGTTAGCACAGTAATCATACTGATTTGGTACTTCAGGAAATGTATCACAAAACACATTGACCAACATTTCCCCAACGTAACGCAGGTCTAACGCTTCAAAAACAAAAGGCACATAAGACTATTGATACTAATTTTCATTATGGAATGTTGACTCACACAACTCAAGCTCAGGATCTAATGTAAGACAAAATCATAAATTTCTTTTGTCTTATCTCCGCAGATCAACTTACAGAATGCTTGTACACCTTTCTTGTCTTTCAACCAAGAGACTAGACTAGAAACATAAAAAAATTGCATGCCTTGTATCACGACCGACTAGTTCGAACATTATTTGGTAAGAATAAATTCACTGAAGATTAATATGTTGAATGCACATTCAGTATAAACGTCATCTTCCCAAAGACACCAAAAATACCCCACAGAAAAAAAAACTAGGAAGAAACACTAAGGATGTCTGAGAAACGTTTCAGGAAATCAGCAGATATTGATCTACTGTCACAAAATTGTTAAAGCAGACTGGAAGCATGTTTGAAGAGGTACGAAAAGGAAGCTGCATAATTCCTCCAACTTCCGCAAAAGTCAGGCGTCCAAAAATGCTCTCTCATACACAAAAATGTTCCTCAAGCTATTGAATCGAATTCCATTACCGATGCAGAACTTCACGACTGGAAAACAATGCGTCGATGATTGCAGAAACGCCAAGGACGAGTACATTGGTACACCGCATAATGTACGTTTCACAAAATGAATTGGACCGATATCATTTTTTCTTTGCTTATTGAACCCTGTTTTAAACGATGGACAAAATAAGTAGCAATAGTGAAAAATATGAAGGAGTCCAAGAGAAATACGGCTGCCAGTTTCATTTTTCGAGTAGATGAAATCCTCTTCAACAACCTTGATTTAGTCATGTTTCAATTTCCCTTTGTGAGTATTTTTGCTTTTGGATCTTTTTTAAAATTCTAGGTAAATCAGATATCAATTATGAAAATGATGCGAAAATTAATGGAGATATCCAAACTTTTTGAAAAGGATCAGCCTTTCCATATTGCTTCAAATTACTAAATTGAAGTACTTTCTGGAGGGTGAGGAAACTACAAGTTATTAAGTTCATTAACTGAGACGCCATCGAAGCTTTGGAGCTCCATCAGATGCAAATACTGAATGCCTAACATTGTACGATTCCTGATTCCAAAGCAATGAAGATTCCACACAAAAAATAAAATGAAACACTTCCTCAATGCTGTCCCTTGTGAGGACGTTTCTTCCGATGCCTCGGCAACGCGCCATTTTTACTACTCTGTGTCTCAGCATCCTCGATCATTCCTTCAGCGTTGCCAATCAGGCTGTCTTTCATCCCAGTCCCCGACGTCGGAGTTTTCGGCCGGCCCACGGACATGCTCCAACGCTTGCTCTTCGTCGTAGTGGTCGTCGTCGACACGGAAACGTGCGTAAACGAATCCGTCTTCGGCGATCGCGTCAGAGAATAACTTTGCGTGGCAGAGAAGGATTTACTTCGAAGACAAGCACATTCTTGCGGTTGCCACGGCTCCAACGGCGCAGGGTCAATGAGAGTCTCCGTGGAGCGCGGTCGGTGTTTGATATCAAGGGCGTGTTGCGGCGTTACGCAGGCAGAAACGTGATGCTGGTGGCGGCACTCGTCGCCGCTGTCGTTTTCGACGCGGTACTGCTTGCTTTTCTGACTCCGACTGCGCCGCTTGTGGGCGTGGTTGTGATGACGATGCCGCTTTTCCGGGTTTGTCACGTGCGGTGGAGGAGGTGGCGGGATATTTTGAACCCCAGTTGCACCACGTTCACTTCCGACAACATCTAAAAAATAATATTCGAATATTTTCACGTGAAAAAAACATAGGATTCGCATTTGTTGTAGGGGAGAACACAAAACAGGCAAATAGGATTTGACACAAGCTCGAATTCCCATTCTTAACGTCAAAGTGGATTCCCGTATTTTTGTACAGTATATTGCGTTCTGTGGTGCAGTACCGACAATTCGAGAGGTTGGTACATACATTAAGGAGAAATGAATTTTCGATGCAGGTGTGGTAACACAGCCTCAATGCGAGAGACAGTTGAAAAAAGTTTCTCGAAACTAACATAATTGGATATTGAAACTTCGGGAGTTGAAGTACCACTGCGGGATCAATGACAAGAATGTTTTCTTCACTCATTGTCCTGACTTAAGCAGCTCAATCCTTACTAATTGACGCCTGTATGATGTTAAGCTTCAAATTCAGCGAGGATCAATAAGGGCAAACCAGTTTTCCATTGGAACATGGTCATCACATAACGAATATTCTTAACATTTTTCAAAGCACTGTACTGTATTCGGAAATAATACGACTGCCAGAAAATTCATGGATGACTAGCATGAGGAAATCAGAAACCTAAATAAACATGGTACAGAGCCTTTTACACCAAGTATGCCTTTCATTCTGGCGAGCAAAGACTTGAAAAGCGGTCAAAAAATCGAAATAAAAAACAGTAAAAGTTTTAGTGAATCAACATCTTTTCAAAAAGACCGACAAGTGAAGGACAGAACTGGAAATTTTCAAGAACTAACCCCAGTATTTTAGTATGACAGCATCGAAAAAGTATAATACTGTACCGTAATTTTCGAGCGCGAACTTTTGTCGAATCCTATTTACAGTATAAACTAAAGCCGAAGTCAGGGACAGGTAAAAGTTGACTATGGTAATTGACTACAGTACTGTATTATAAATTCATTTCCGAACTCTACTACGGAAAATGGGACATTCTATTCTAGCCGAATTGGCTGAGGATCAAGTTCGGAACTAAACCACTCAAAATGCCGCCCTCGTGATTTCGATGAGCCACAATAAGATTCAATAGTCAACGTTCCTCGGATCTTAGAACTCGAGCATCGAGACTTACACCTTGAACTCAAATCTTCTGGAAGGGCCAAGAGCCAAGCGACAGATGCTTCGCAGGTGCAATATGAAAGAAATATATATGCGTTATTCTGAGAACGCAAGTGCGTGACGTTCAAGCAAAATATTTTTGCCGTTAGAACTTGGCTCAGAAACAAAATAGATTACCAGCAGTCTGAGTAGAATCATCCTTTACAGCTTTGCCAATATCATGACATGAGCTCCAGCAGTTGAAAGATTTGCACTTGCCGGTTGGTGACTTCTCCTCGAGTTTCGCTTTCATCAGGAGTTTCAGGACACTTCTTCCGGGAAAAAACTGCTCAGCTTTATCCGACATCGGGGACTGAGTCGTTTGGCACACATTCTCGAGTTGGCGCCCACTTGCCGGCGGATGGGCAAGAGTTGAAGGAGCAGATTGATTCGGGTTCCGAGATCGTCTGCCTGGGTGAGGCGATGACGCAGCTGCGCCGGCAGATTTGTCTCTTCTTCGACGACTGCATCTCTTTTGCGCAGCTGTTTAGGCAAATAATTAGTCACGCGGCGAAAATATGGTCATAATTCACTAAAAAAGTTGCCTCGATTAATCAATCGGCTTGATCAGATTCAGCAGGATATTTATTACCCGAAAAGTCTATTAACCTACTAGTGATGCAAAAAGGAGAAGGTATACGGGCTATACGCCATGCATAATCCGTTCAAGATCCTTTGAAAATTTCTTCCGAAACGTTTAAAATTGATCTCTGAATGACTACATGTTTAGCACAAAATAACAGCAATAAAATACAAAAACAAGGAATCCTCCACATGATCAAAAATGATAAAAAAGCTTTTATAAAGAAGACAAATTATTCTTGAAGCCGCATTTTTGTACAGTTTCCGAAGGACGAGCAGGATACTACAGTACACAAAGTAAGGTATAAAATCCTAAGCAAAAATTGGAGACTGCCCAGGTTCTTTACGCAAAAAATACTGTACATGAGAGGTCCAGTATCCGGGGTAATGGAGCATTATTTCATTTTTTTCTCTTACATTGTAAAAATCAAAACGTAGTTCTTGGCTCCGGACTCGACTTCCTCGTTGATCGCCCAATGTTTTTTACACACTTAAGCAAGGGTAGGTAAATCGGATAACTCAGCGTAAAATAAAAATGTCATTTCGACTGCCAGCAACTATCTTCCAACAATAAATCATTGTAATTGACTAAGAACGAAAATTCATTAACCGGATTCCCAATTTCTGATGGCAGCGTAGCTCAGCATTTTCTTGACACATTTCATGTCTCCAATACTGTATTTATTGATTTTTAAACATTATGAATCGCTTAAAAGTTGAAAATTTTCAAGCACGCTTAAAAAAAATATTCAGTCAAAAATTCCACTGCATTTTGTGATTTTTAACACAACTACAGTACTGACGCCACAAGATCATCCGCTCAAAAATAAAATCAAAATATCTCACAAGCACTCACTGAACAAAACCTGTTTTTCCCGCTTGCATAACTGCTTGAATTCAGCTACGGCATACTGGAGTTTTTGAGTGAGAGTGATGTAGCGCATGTGCAAGTCCACACGACGAGCACAGTCTTCGTATAGCACCACCATCCGAAGTCTCGTAGACGTTTGAATCAAGGCCACCAAATCTTTGTGGTCTGCTCGCTCAACGTCAGTACCGTTGATGGAAAGAATCACATCGCCTAGAGAGAGAGACACGTTCGTTTTTTGTTTGTTTTCTTTTATTCCAAAGTTTGGTTCCACGGTCAAGAGCAACACTTAATCTTTAAGCGACGTGATTTCCTCACCAGTACGCAATCCGGCTTTATATGCAACTCCATTCTCGTCGACAAAGTCAACGTAGGTAAGTACTTCAACTTCTCCATCAGAATGCCCGTATTGAATACCATAGCTCTGGAATACAAATTAGGCGTAGTAATTTAAATGAAAAGCACAAGACAAAGTTCTCAGAAGTCCTGCGGGTCCCCGAAAAATTTTCTATGTAGGCGGAATAAATTTCCTAAAATTGCTTGGTGAGGGGTCCCCAGATTTGACATGCGTCACAATATCTAGGTCACAAAAATGCATGATTTGCAAATACTGTACAGTCAACCCTCAATTTAGTACCACAAATTTCTCTCAAAAACATCTCCCTCAATATTTTGTAAGGGAACCCGTGATTTAGTGCATAAAATTCCTTGACATAAAATACTGTATATTGCAATGAAGTACTGTACTGTGGAAAAAGTTAATTTGAGCTTTAAATTATTTCGTGGTGCTTTCTCTCTTATAAGACAGAATCAGCGGTCAAAGAATTCTGCGAAAAAGCTTATTTTACCTACAGTAGAAACCCTCAACCGAACCTTCCTCTCATACAAAACCCTAAATGTAGTGCCACACAATATGTCTGGACAAATGATGGGACTAAATTGAGGTTTTACTGTACATGTTAGCGTTGATTTACACGTTCAATTATTTTCATTTACAAATTAAATGTTTGATCAGACAGGAGGAGATAAAATTTCTCCATAATTAAGAGAAGGCACAAAATGTGTTTACATCCTTCGTAGGACTTCCGATGGAAGTTAATGGACGATACGCTAGACTTTGGAGAAACCCCGCGCGAATTATGCGTAGTTACCTGAAGGGTAAACCCGTATGAACCATTCACTCGTTCGAGAAGAACAGTACGCCGTAATCTTAAATCCTCAGGGTTGTCAACCACGGAACCCAGCGCATTGTTCCTCGGCACATCGTCCGCAGAATAACCCTGATAAATGAAAGCGGATATTATTCACGTACGTCTAGGGAATACTGACTGAAATTTCAATTTTCACCTGCATCGGAGCGTCCATGTACGGCATTGCATGACGGTAGCAATGCAACGATCGATCGAGGCTTTTAGATCTTGGCGGGGGATGCGCGAGGCATGTGTGCCGCTTCGTTAGAACTCCTATAGTTTTGTCTCTGCGTTTCTCAGAACTCATTTCGACAGACGATCTCTACGAGAGATCCATTCGTACCACAACGGTAACGCACTGCAACATCATGTATTCCACGCACATCCCCTTCTGAATATAAAAACATTTGTACTTCAAACGATTAGACAAACACAACAGTAAAATTGAAGTCTCGCCATGAATTTATCATCCCACTGCATGTTTCGTGCGATTCGGAAAACATTAGCGAAGCACAAAAAAAAGCATCAACGGTTATCCAACGTAAGTTCTCGACATCAGTACACAACGATCGAAATCTCTCCCTTCTTGAAAGAGAAATGAAGCCTTCGAAAACAACCGAAGGAAAATAATGGGGCGACGCAGTCCCTGAAGTAAAGCTCAGACGATATGGAACCTTATCGCTCGTTCTGGAAATGTTCGCACGGCTTCAAGACAAAAAAAAAATCAACCAAACACAAGTCAGGTCACGCGAAAAACTTTCACGTGGACAAGGCACCTCTACATCTAAAATATCGTCCATGTCCTCAACTCGGCTAAGTCCACGTTACATAAATACGTACGCATAAACGCAAGCTATCCACAATCGTTCCGATCCTTTCATATATAAACCGATTCTCAAAAACTCGAATTCCTGGAAGGAAAGACTCGCGCCAATTCGCGTCAGCCTGAACTTATAAAAATATCATCATAAACTCCGAAGGATGTCGTCATTTTTTTTTTCAAATTGAACTCAAAAGAATGTAAGCGCAGGAATCAACGTTTCATTTTCTTTTTGAAGAATTACGTCGAATTAGGTATGGAGCGGAAAGTTACTGCACTACATTTTAGAGAAGGATTTTCAATAGAGAGCTGAAGTCAAAAAATGACTCCCATTGAATCTGCGAGCTATCGATTCTTGTCAGAGACAAACTCCTTTCGCTGAAAATACAAAATTCGGTTGAAAATAAGTACCTCGTTTCAGGAAGCGGCCTAATGAACGTTGGCAGACTGACCACGCCAAAATGGTTAGAAAAATAAATTCCAATCGTACGATAACTCGTCACTTGTAGTACGACGGAACTACGTGAGCAGAACATGATAAAACTGTACTTACGGGCATCAACCGTAATGACAGAATATACTAGGTCTCTCGATGGAAAAGGCAATACAGTAGTCCTAAGACAGGCTTTCAAAAAAGGGAAAAAAGGAGAAGAGCATCTCAAGTAGATTGAGACTTGTAGCAGGAAAATGCACAGTGATGAGCATCTAATAAGGCTCGGAAACTCGAATGAATCACGCATCTTAAACCAACACGCTTCGAAAAGAAATGTTCGAGAATCGAACCATACTTGAATATTTGCTTCAGCAGCGGAAAGGAACAAGTTCCAATGAAACCTACGCCAAAATTCTATCATGAGTCAGGATTTCATCGAATCAGTTAAACAAAGCGCGGGAAAGTAGACCAATATGCTGGCGAAGACTTTTCAGACTGATTCTGAGATGTTGGTGAACTCTGACAAAGCCGTCAGAGGTTGAACTTGCTTCTTCTGACTTCCCTTTCGAACTTTGGCCTTTACTTCATCGGGTCGCTCACGCCTAACCAGCGGCTTCTTCTCCGGGGCTTTCATTTTCCAAACGACAATCGGTGACTGAAATTTTAAAATAAGAATAACAATAAATTCAAGCTTTCTTGAAGATATATTTTTGAAAATATTCGAAACTCTCCGAAACCATGACAAGAACAACTCACAACAATCGGATCCAGTCTCGGATACTTCGTCGATGCAACATAGCATGCCTTGACGGTCAAAACAACGGCGTTCATTAAATTCTTCGCAGCTTGAATCAAAGAAGTGGCACTATCCAACTGAAATACAGAACATATAATGAATAATATGAAAAAATGACAAAAATAACGCTCCTTCCATACCCCAGACACGATCAGCTCCCCGGAAATATTCTGCACATCCGCTTTCACTTTCGACGTGATGTTCAGCTGATGGCAATACAAAGCAATGCGTTGCAAATACGCCAAAAGATCTTTCTTTGTAGATGACTCCGGGCACTGATCCGCTATCTGTCGCGCAAATTTATCCAGTTTCGTTCCGGCTTCGGAAATCTTCTTAGCAGCGTTGATGACATCCATGGTATGCTTCAGAGGACCACGACCTCTGATAAAGCAATTAAAAAATCAAAATCTAAACCTCCTCGGAATTCAGAAACATTCAGCAAAACTTACCGCGTGAAATCTGTCATCTCCATCATTATCATGCACATGTGTTTCGCGAGTACAATGATATCATTCCCAGCGTCGTCCCACTTCGCCACTTCTTGATCGAATTTCATTTTTTCAGTGCGGAAGATTTCTACTTCAGCGGAAATCTTCTCCTTATCTTCTTCCTTCAAGGCCCTCATAGCGTCCTGCAGAATGAATCCCAAAAAATCAAGTGTTCTTACGATTAAAACAAATCGTTACAAAACCCACCCTGGCAGTCGTAACACCAGAAACTTCTGGATATTCGTCAAAATGCGATTCCGTGTGAATAGATGAACGAGAACGGGCGTCGATGTTGTACGTTTCGTCAAATATGACTTCTTCTGGATCCAAGTCTTCGTCAGCCTGCCAATGGGAGAAAAAAGTGATTAGAATGAAATTTGCGTATAAATGTATTCGTCGTTTTACCCGGTTCATCAGAACAGCCAGCCTTATTTCCCTGACACCGTCATAAACCAGTCGGGATGCGTCAATGAATTCGTTTTCGTCAACATCTTTCTGGGGATTTGCTGTAAGACCATCAATGGCAACTTCGACTCGTTGGGCGAAATTCGGCATTACTAGGGGACCAAAAAAAAAACCAGTTATTTAACGACGATTTGCACACATGGAAATTCTTACCATCATTCTTAAGGACACCAACAGCTTCCATGACGCGTTCAGTGTAAAGGCCAGGCTCATAATTATCCATTTCGGCTTCAACAACGGCGGCAACTCGAGCAGCCCGTCCTCTGATTGCTCCTGCAGTCCTATCCAATAGATCAGCATTTGCCTCTTGCAGCGCCATTACACACTTATTCACGTCTTCCAATATGTGGCTCTCTGAAAGAATAATTTAGATGCTTAACACATTCTATACTTCGTTTCAAATGAAGCAAAACTAACCTGACACCGCGAGGAAGTCATCGATCGTAGTAATATCGTCAACAGCCTCCGTAAGCAATCTCACATGCCTTTCCCAGGCATGGCGGAATGAGTCCATGTTTTCTTGCGCTTCTTTGGAACTTGGACAAGACACGAGAACTCGGGCAGCGTTGATGACTTCGGGACACAACGCTTCAATCTGGCTAGCAGCGCAACGAACCATTTTCACACCGTCTTCATTACTTGACATCGAACACGCCAGGTTCGCCACTTCAACGAGCTTATCCGCGTGTTCAGTGAAAACTTGCGCATATTTCTCCACTTCCTGTTCGTTTCCATTCTTCGCTGCCTCAATCAGCACCAAGAGAGGAACATTTGTTTCCAGAAAACTGAAAATAAATATGAACGTGATCATGTAAACGCCGGGAAATTTCAGAACAGACATGGAAACTCAAATCAGAAAGCAGCCTAAACTATGAGATTTTCCAAAAGCAGAGACAGCTTTCGGGTGAATCACACGGATTTATTATGCGCCATTCTGAACAGGTAGTACAGTAATTAAATTCGTGACAAAGGATAAAAAAGAGGAAAAAACTGGGTTCATCCAGACAAGGAAAAATATTCGGCGCATGGAAGATTCTTACATTTTTAGGGAGTTATTGAATATTGAGTCTAATTACGCGACGGAATTAGGAACATCGTCGAAGGACAATTTTTGTGGTTGTGGAAAATGCAATAGAACGTTACCTGTCTGAAACATGGTCAACCACTGCTTTGCGCAGCTGACGGCGTAGATCCCCGGTTTTACGGCACATGTGGTCAATGGCACGGCCCAAGTTATCACTGGGTTCTTTCTTTCCAACATTCGACATGTATTCACTAAGAAGATCTTGCAGGGCTTGCCGAACCGCATTACATTCAGCAACGATTCGTTCACGACGCTCATCGCGAGTGCATGACGAATCTGCCATTAAAGCCGCACCACTTATGATGGACTCGAGTCGCTCTTCCAAACTTGGTCTTGTTCGCACTTCATTGTAGGTCAGAGGATCCAGAATTATTCCATCCTTCGATGACACAATAAAAAGGTAGAAGGATTATTGGAAGGGCAGGAAAATAAAATTTCTTCGTTCTTCAATTTTGATGAGATAGGACTCTTCACATACGTCGAAATCATCCAATGCAGCAGCCAATTCTCCAGGACCATCATAGGGAAGAGCAATTTGACTCTGCGGAGTTGGTTTTCCCTGCGCAACGTCCGATATGGTGTTGACTGCTTGACAAACTTGCTTCATGATAAAGTCACGATTCGCTTTAGCGGCGGCAAGAGTTGGGTGCCGCACGTACGCCTGATGCAAAAGGACACACAAACACAGTACAGTATACGAATGAACGATGTATAATATATTTTCGCGAAAATACGATGCAATTTTTCGAAGAAGTGCGTCGGGCTATGAAAAAATTAAATTTCGGAAGAAACAATCGGGAAAAAGAACCAATTTTCTCGAGAGAAAATTACACGCAATGCCGAACAATATCAAAGATAGGCCGCACTTCCCGGTGAAACACAGCAATGTAAATATGCGAACTTCCAAGAATAAATAAAAAATCACCTTGGAAGCAGTGAGGAGCAACATCGAGTGCTTTTTCAGAACGGCTCTCGCAGCTGCCAAATCATCTCTAAGTCGTCTGTCTTTCATTTCCACTTGCCGTTTGGCTGCAGCATTCACTAAGTTTGACGCGTTCTTTCCGAAGGCACGAAACGTTTCCATCAGTTCTTGCTGACTCTTGACATTCCGAATGCGCTCCAAGTCATTTTCCACCATGTGCAATGATCGCATCAAGCAGTGCACATCAACCATGTCGGCTAATATCAGAAGACGAGTCACTGCACTCAACAGAGCTCTTGCGGCTCGAACCATGTTGCCACGCTTAAGAGAACTGCATGGATCATCCGCAAATTCTCGCGATGCCGAACTCATGGCTTGCCCTAGATTTCCAGCAGATGCAAGAGATTCAAAATGAAATGCGTCATAAACACAAAAACATAAAAATGCCCTTACCAGTTTTGCGAACTTCTTCAACTGCCGAGAGCATTTCTTGCTGAATATCCGGATTTTCGATCGCAATAGTTTGGCCTTTCTGAATGAAATTCTCGGTTGCTGCTTCAACTGCCGCAACTAGAACATGAGCTCGTTTCGATCGACCTTTCTTCTTTTTGGATTGCCCATTACTATTCACCAATGTGGTAACCTAAAAAATAAATCCACATTATCCAGGAACTCACCAACGAAAGATGAAGCACTAATTTCAAACCTGGACGACCAGCGGCTCTAAAGCACGCTGAACTGCCAACGTCTTAACTTCCAAATTCTCGGTGTTCCACTTAGAGAACACTTCTCCAGAGTCATTGAGCGACATGACTACAACAGCAAATCACGTGCAGAACCCAGACTGCAAACACTAATCCACGTAGCGAATAAAACACAATCTGAATCACATGAATCGAGAAGGAAATAAATAATAACAACGTGGGAGTCACTACACTACAGTACTGCACATGCATTCATGAAATACGTCTTGTGGACGAAACCTAGCGATCAACTTTTCCGTGCCGCACCGCATTGAACATAGACATGCATTCATACCTGGAAAACCAGAGGCTCGATTGTCTTCTCGACGGTGTTCGTTCGAATTTCCAAGGTTTTAGGATCCCACTTCATAATGCCTTTGAAGGGGAAAATATCCCTACCGTAAGACAATCCTCAACTCGGCATAAATGGTCACACGATTAGTGCCTCACAAACGAAGTTTTTGAACACATCAAATTACAGTATTCCACGAATTACATGAACGACTACTTCACGGAAATCCGCCACTCATTCGAACTGTATTCAATTGCAACAATTTCCATAGTCGTTATGGGGAATGTAAAAATCCTGGATTTATTTCCCCCACGACACAAATTTATTCCACTATCCCGCAAAGGTTCCTCGATTGAAGACCATACAATGCGATTTGTCTCACGTTGTGTTCAAGATCATGCAGATATTAGAGGTCAAGAAATTTTTACTCTACACATAATAAGGTACAGATATTGTTTGTGTGTGATTCCTTCTATTGTCCTTTATTTTCTTCAAGTCGCAATTTAAAGTCAATGAAATTATTTTTGATCGTTTTCATCAGTATACAGCATACAGCAGGGATATGGGAAATGATGAAATGCAACTTCAAATTAAGTAAAGATTTAATTTTATAAAGTAATAAATGAGATTTCCCCACATGGTGAGAATTGATAATTTCATGCAACATAAAATGCGTCGGCAGGCGAAAACCTGGAGAAGGACGAGGTTTAAAAAATAATTTGCCCCGCTTGTTAACGTTTCAAAGAAGCGCAATTCCCCTGGATATCGACATATCGGCGGATGCGGGGTTACATATAGGGATATTAACGTGGTTGGAACTGTAAGTGTGAAGTTAGTCACTACGGAATGCAACTCTCCGTTGGACTAGCCCAGGGTGCTGCGTCGCGCGGGTTTTCCTACGCCTGTCCTTCGCTCGCAAGCATTCTGCCGGCCGGCTGGGATGAGTTCACTTCGTAGTGGTGGGGCTGAGTGATCGGACATCGTTGAGGACGTCGACGTGCAACTAAGTTGAGACTGACAGTGGCGAGGTCAGCATTGATATCGTGTGAATCTCTGTCAGTGGCAAGCGAGCCAGATATGCAGTGTTATTCCGAATGTTTTCTTTACCATTTACTGACCGAATGATACGCTTAGTCAGAACGATCCGGAACATACCCAATTTTGTTTAGTGTAGCCGGCCTTATCAGGTTATTTTTCTATCAAACGTACTATTTATCCATTTATAGAGCACCTAAACGCCCAAAATACTCGGGTCAAAAAGTCTATTGCAAGGCAATGTAACCATTTACGCTTGTCCTCAAAGAAACGATTGCATCCTAGTGCCTTAGTAGACGGCGGGCAAATTTCGCTGAGAATTACATGGTCCCTAGTTTTGGCTATTCCGGACCGTTGAATATTGTAGGAAAGTGTTGAACGACTTGGCGGTCGTGGGAGTCAGCGTGCATGTCCGAAGTTGATCTGACCGCGATTTATTTACGTCCTCTATTTTTATCGATGTGAAGGTGGCATTGTGTGACATTCGAAGTGTGCGCATCTGAACTTGTGAGAATTGGGAGCTAATTCTAGTGTCGCGTGGTCTGTGTTACCAACTCGCGCAAGCTGCTCGAGTGCAGTAATCGTTGTCTGCAAAGTCTTTACATCGTGTGTAATCTGGCGGTTCAACGATCGATTTTCTTCTGAGTTCAATCCTGGTGAGTCATGTGATGAACTCAAGATTGTTGTTGGATTTTAAATCCTCGTAGATGATAGTTTTGCTGTAATTTATGTTCAGTTCTTTGAATATATCTTAACATGCTCGCAACATTGATTTATTGTGATCTTCGTTTCACGGATGTCGATGGCATTCGATGTCGAATCATTTATGGGGATCTTCGTTATCATTTTATCTTCGTTAACTTGGAGGCTTGTGAATTATTAAGTGGAATTGAGTAATTTATATTCACATCACTAAGCGCCTGTAAGTCTTTGAAGTGTGTCGATAGCTTGAGGTGAAGAACGCTTGTTTGTTGCGTTGAACGGATCTTGGAAGTACCTGTACAGAAATGCATTTCATTTCCTTTTTTGCCTCTCTGTTTCGCAGGTGGGATTACGATGCTGAAATTTATCCGTGGCAAAGGCCACCAGCCGTCGGCCGAGCGAGTCCGACTCCAGAAATTGCTCTTTAAATTTAGAAAGGTACGTTGCATCATTTTGATCTATTGAGCGTCTTCACGAATTTGGCATATGAAACGAAAGTTCACTTTTGCGGATGTAGGCCGAGTATCGTGTTTTATACATTTACTGCAGTTGAAATTCATCCGTTAACGGATTTCTTTATTTCGGTTTCTCTGGGAATTGAATACGAATGCACTATTTCTGAAGTACAGTACGAGATGAATTACGGTAGAATATTTGGTTTTTCGTGCCTGTGAATCACCGACTTACGGAATTCACGCGATTATTGGCCGCAATCTGATTTTTTCGTAGTAACGAAATTATGCATTTTTGCTGGGAAAAATTGCATATCCAGTAAAATGAAATGTGTAACGTGTATGGTGGAAAGATTAAACATGCTAGTTTAAAAATTCACGGAATACCGAAATAACCTACAGAAACTCTCGAAGAATAGCCTGGCATAAATTTTGGGCGTTTTTGTTTTAGTTACCATTTATTTTTCCGACTTTATCTTTTTACATCTTTAGTATACCCCGCACCTTAATTAAAAAGCCTCTGTTGCGTGTCCTCGAAAATACCGAGGGCAGGCAGCACCTGAGTATTTCGGTGCATTTTATTTTTGTGTGTGGGAAGAGAGCCGTACAGTAGTTAATTGCGCGAATACGGTAGTCGCGGAATTTCTCATCTGAAGCGCTTTTGAAATAGGAACTGGTAGAATTCGCAGAGATCGAGCAGTTTTAAGAGATTCAGGGAAGCGTTCCCGAGTGGGCACAGCGTATTTTCGGCTCTTGAGGTGGCCAGATTAGTTTGTATATTTAGGAGTCGCGATCGCGTTTGTTGATTTTGCCATCATTTGTTTATTTGCAGACCGTGCAACACGGATTCCCGGGGAAACCATCGGCGCTCGCCTACGACCCGTCCTTGTCGCTTCTCGCCGTCGGCACGAAATTCGGTGCCATCAAAATGTATCCTTTTCAATTCTCAACGCCATCTTGGCTACTTTTAAACACGTATCGTACACGTTTGTTGGGCTAGCCAGCACTGATCCGTAATCCTAGTTCGTTGTGTTGCACAGAGGCCAAATCGGGTCATTGACACTGCGAACGGGGTTCCTTTCATCGATAGTTGAGCTGCAAAAGTTCAGGTAACGAGGGCGCGTGAAAAGATTCGATGCGATGCGTGCGAACTGGGAGCGTGAACTGTCTGAAGAAGACGTCCAGTCTATCTTTCGAGCAGTTTTAATCGCAAGTTCCGTCTGGAGAATTAAAAAAAATGTCTTCTGCGTTCTTTGTTGGGGGGTTGAAGAAATTTAAGCTTCGGAGGGTAATACTGTACACTGTGTACAGTACAGTATTTTGACCATTCCCTGGTCGCAGTTGAGAGCTTTACTTACACTAGCTGAAATTAAAAGGAGATGGGAACTTTTAAGCGCACCCATTACTTTGATCATGTCGGAGTTTCTCGCCACCCTTGCCTAATTTTTCGATTGTCAGACTTCGAAATTGCTGACGAGTATTTATAATGCTTGAAAAATCTACATGCCGTATTTTCGCGAATGTAAGCAGTAAAAGACCCCCCCCCCCCCCAACTAAGGTTTACATGCGCGAAGTTGTATTATTGGGCAAACATAAGCACCCACTTACTTTCCTGGTATTCTGACTTTCCAGGAACCTAGAATTTCTGACCAAATTTAGGTCTTCGCTACAAAAAGAAAAACGGTGTCACACAACCCTTGCTCTTCCCCTTGAGTCAATGACTCATACATCCTGAAGTGCTAAAAGCTGATCGATTATTGATCATTTTCAACTGCTGTTCCAAAGGAACTGAAGAAAAGAAGCGCTCGTTGTTTTTTGAGCCGCGAACAAGGAATATTTAATGACAAACGCATATTTATGCAAATTGCGTAAAAAGTATGTGAATGACATAACCTCCCTCCGTTTTTGAGCGTCTGAAATTGGAGAAATTAGGGGGCTTGTATTCGCATGGATATGATTATCCATTATTTACCTTATCCCTAACAACCACGTTCCAATGAAAAACTAAAAATTTCCAATTTTTTTATATGCTTGAAAGTGGCTTTAAAAAGTTATTCGTCGAGTAGGATGTCGATGGTTAGGACAGCGATTGATGGTAATCATGAAAGATTCTGATCCCAAATTTTTAAAATGTACTTGAGCTACTGAATAATAAAATGCATGGACGAAATCGTTGAATTGTCTCTTGCATCTGTCAAGAAGAGCAAAGTTTTCTCATTGATTTTATTGCTATTATCAGAGGAGCTAGTGTGCGTTTAAATTTCATTATTCTTGTTTTGATCAGGCGGAATCGTGGTGGTAAGTTAGAAATATTACTGAAACTTGAATGCTGTGAAAATCCTTCAGTTTCAATGCGCAAAAATCAACCATGTCAATTTAGGGCTAACGGTATTACCGGCGGGGCTGAAGTGCTAAAAAGGGGATTTATATCCATCAGACACGGCTAAGGATGTCGTTCTGCCCATTTCTCTCCTTACCTTTTGATCAACTCTGGCAACCAGGTTCGAATAATAAATGCGAGGAGAGAAAAAGAGAGAGAGGCGTGGAGGATTGTGTGCATGCGCCCGCGAAGTGCATCAGACCCAGACGCCCGGCTGTAATGAGCATTTTCGTTCTCTGTTAGATTCGGTGTTTGGCGACGGATACGAGTCGCGAAGAGGGGGGGAAAAAGAGGTACTGGCCAGGCTAGCCAGACGGGGTCCGAGAGAGATTAATTGATCCGTGAACTGCGCACTGGCGTGTGGAAGCGCGGGGTGAACGCGCAGCAGCGATGGCGGTCGTGTCCTCGGCCGACGCGCTGGAGCGAGACACCCGAGTGAGTGGCTCCTGTGTGCGCCTCTTGTTTGACCAGACTTGCCAACCTTTTTATTTTATTTTTTAAACCCCTTCTTTAGCGAAGTTGGGAAATTATCACAAAATTGTATGCCCGTGAGCACTGCGAATTTTTATAAAATCATATTTTTGAACCAAGATCTAATTTGAGAAAAATGGATTTTTTTTTCTACAGGCAAAAAAATCCTCACTGGGTTGGGGTTTTCTCTCACCCTTGTACCATATGATTAACATTGAAAATTTCTCAAGGCAAATGCTTCCCAATTTTGGCCTCTACATCCCAAGACCATTTCTGTGGCCTTTGGTCAAAATGAAATACACTTGCTTTTTGGAAAAATCATCCTGACTTTGCTGCAAATATATGAGAATGAAATTGTAATAATAAAATGAATAAAAAAATGTTGAGTAATCTAGGAAATCTTGAATTCCTGACTTTCTGAAATTCCTGTAAATTCATGGTTATAAATTGAAAGATTACTGTTCCTCTCTTTCCCAATTTTGTAGGGGCCTGCAGATGCACTGTACTGTAATTGGTTATTTGAACCTTTGTCCGTATGGGGGAATGTTCACATGTTGGTTCACGTTTTCCCGTAAAATTCAATGGTAGCACATTCATTTGGTTCTCCTGTATTTTTTACATTTTTTATTTGGAAGAAAGTCCCCAACGCCTTGTATGAAATTAATTTACTGACAAACCTTTCTTAAGAATACGTCATATTTTTTAAAAACTCTGCTTATGTGCATGTTTGATATTTGAAACAGTAAGTTCAAGTAAAATATGAAGCAAATTGATAATGAATTTTGATACCTCGCCGTTAATTCATTTTATTTTCATTCTAACCCAGATCTCCCAAGCTTTTTTCCTTCATGATAAGTTCTGTGTTCCTGTTCACTCATGAGTGCTCAAGTGAAGGAGACCTGTCGTTAATCTCTGTTAATCTCTGAAGCTTCATCTTGTAGTTGGGTTAGTTCTTGATGGTTTAAAAAATGTTTTAATATGGGGATAATGCTATTTTTTAAAACTTATTTTTACGTGAAAAGTAATTCACCATGCCAGGATGAGCGTATCAGTAAGGAATAAATGTACAGTACATCGCGGATAGTTTTCCTGTAATGTTGTGCTTCAGGGAATTTGACCTAGGAGTTATGAGCAAGGCTGATGAATTGTTGGGGGCTACGTTATGGTTAGTGTCAGTAAAATCGCCCGGAAATAGTTTGCCGTAAGGTGAATGAGTTCCATCCCTGTGGAATTGTTCTTGCAGATTAAACGTATTAATTCTTTATTTTGTTCACAAAATTGGGTAGAATAAGAAAAAAAGGGTATAATTCTGTATTCTCTTGCATTTAAAATTTGTCAAATTCGGAAAGGTAAGCGCGCAAATTTATCAAGTTTACTTAAATTACACCGAGTACTTACCAATGTTGAATTCAGATTTTATTTTTAAAACATAAACAGTATTGATGTTTCCCAATGTCTTTTTGGTGAGTGTCTGGAATAAATTAAACTATTTACAATGCGCCCTTGAGGGAAATAGCGGTACGAAGATCCGAGTAACCAAACGCACGCAGGAATGAATCATTTTCGTTATGTGGGGAGCCACTGGACAAAGTGTTTTCTGCGTATCGATATTTTCGTGGTTCCTTTTTTGTCGGATAATGTATGTCGGGTTGTTGTTTTCTTGAATTTTCAGTCGATCACAATTTTATTAGCCTTGAAAACGTCAACTTGGTTGAGCAGCTACACCAGTCAGACCAGTGCTCAGCGTATAGGAACTAATTCAACTTCTGGGGTGTGTCTGGTGCGCAACCCTTCTTCACCACATGAAGCAAATGGAACCCGGTCGCGCAGCTGAGTGCTGGGTTGCGCAACGGGTTTCCCAAAAAGGGGGGAAGAGGGAGGGGATGTTCCGTTACGTTTCTCCATTCCCCCTCTTCCTACGGAGGAGTTATTTTTGAGTTAGCGAATTTGAGATCATCGAGTAACTTGAACCAGTACTTGGCATTTGCCTCGCTTTGATTCAGCGTTTGCAAAAAGCAGTACGGCGACGTTGACCCGTTTTCTGTGTTTGTGTGTATGTTTTTTTTAATATTCTTTATTCTTGGTGAACATTGTTGGCTATTGTTGCCGGTGAAAATAGTTCACAGTTCAACCGTTATTTTGACCAGCAGGAAGTAACGGGAGGTTTCTCTGGACAAGCATTTTCTCGTTCAGCGATACAAAGCATCATTTCTCTGATCGACTTTTTCAAAGATGCTATACAGGGGGGGATCGGAAAAATATTGACAAATATCTGGGAAAGGGGGGTCGAATGAACGCAGAGGACAAATGAACGTCAAATAACTGACTGGTGAATTGCTTTCTCAACAAGCTGGTTAATTAACTTTCCATGCTTCCATCTTTTTGGTACTGTGCAGTGATGAAGTATTTTGGAATATACGAACGTTTTAATATTTTAATTCAGTATTTTAAAACAAACGATTATTTTACGTTACGCAAGATGGTGGAAAAATAAAATGAACCGAAAAGGAGGAACATTTGAGATGTATCCACCCAGCAACAAAAAAAAAAAATTACTGATAGACTCTCCGCAACGATTTTATTTAAATTGTCTCAGTATATTTTCTCTATATTTTGTTTAAAAAATACGGAACAAAACTGTATTCACAATTATAAAAAATCAAATATCCACTTTCAAAAATAAACCCTCGTTAACCTGGCGCATATCGCATATTTTATTACAGTATTATAACACAGGAGATGACTTGAAGAGGTTTACGAGAGTTGTCCTAATGATGCATGAATTTAACAATTTTCCAGTCTTCCAAGGAATATTCCTTGGCTGTCTATGATCATAACTTGAGGGTTAACTGTTTTAATTTTTCTCACTTCATAGCTCTAGAGTTATTTTAGCTTGAAAAGTTGGAGGAGTTTGCTTCGGGGCCACCCGGTATAATTCTGCCGGAAAATCGCGCAAATTCGATGAACAGTCCTTTCGAACACTGCAATTTAAAGGGTCAATGCTCGGCTGAACCCTTTCTCTTGTTGGTCGTGGAAATTCGCGTATCTTCGCAATCCTTGATAAGCGTTGTTAATTAACCGGCGAACCGTATTTTCATCTGGGTCAGAATAACGATTCGTAACCTGCTATTTTTGAGGTATAGACTGGA